CCTAGGTGATGGATGGCTTCCTGCTGAACACCTTAAGTCAACGTGAAACCGCTTTCCATGAGAGGATTTGAACTTGCATTTAAAAGTTTCTGTGAGTATTTTATTCTAGGATTGCCGACATCTTATTCAAAGAGATCAAGTAAAGGAGTACTAGACAATGTGATACTTGTTTACATCCATCAACCCCTTAAAGTTTAACTTCAATGAGCGTATGAAGATATACATACCTATAGAGAGGATCCATGACACTCAAAATTTACAAGTTTTTTTGCTACTGAATATTATTGTTGAAAAAGTGTAAAAAAAAGAGTTTTTAACTCACTATCCGTCTTTATTCAGACCGTTTCCATCTGTCAAACTCGGCACCTTCGATTTTCATAATCAACACTATACAGTACTAATAAAACTACCAACAATACCAATCAAATCTTGATAAACATCGGTCTCCTTTTGTATTTGATTTGCCAGGTGCATCATTACTTCCAGGTTGAAAGTTTAATAGTCTTATTACACAGAACAAGCAGACTTCCGAGTTCTTTTCTCTTAAAATTTAGTGATGGTCGTTCTGCAGTCATCGAACTAAAATTAGCAATAAGTCTCATTGTGTTTTACACTCGACCACAGTTTATCAAGAGATTGGAAATGTAGGGCCGTTGGGTCTAAACATCGTAGCCCAGTGATAGCATATCTGCCACAAAGTCTAACAATGATACTGACGAAACCTAAACTTAGGTGAAACAGTTACCCAGTACTTCTAGGTTTTCAATAGCTCTCCAGCAGATGACAATTCCTGATGTGAACTGTTTAGAAATCTGTACGAAATGACTTGATGGCTTGTAGGGATTGACTGATTTAAAAGCAGTTTTGATCGCGAAATGATGTCTGCTAGAGGATCATTGAAAACCTGGTAGTAAGGCTCAGATATTTTATCATAGTTTGCGATTCCTTACAGAGTCATATCCATAACCCTATAATTGGTCGCCATTAGGACAATTTGCTTCCATCAGATGGACTTGACCATTCAACTACTTGATACAACCCAGTGTTTCACATATTCCTACTCCCCTCAATTCGCGATACAGTGTGACCATCTACCAGTATCATCGCTGAGTATTCGTCCTCACATTCAACTTAGTTGATCCCATAAGTCAAGAATTCTTATCAGAATCACCGAAAATCCATCTTCAAGACAAGTTGCTAATGAACACTGAACAGTAAGTAGTTCATCTCGTGATCTATGGGTATTGGTTGGTCTCGAGGTAGTCTAAATAAATAAAAAATGTCAGCAGTGTACACATAAATGCATATATAATGCTTTCTTAAGTTTGATTATACGAGGTAGCCGTGATTTAACAGACTTGTATTGATATTGTTTGATGACTGAAGGTAAAAACCCAGACCGTGGTAAAGTTCGAAAGGGTAACTTGTGGACTAGATGGCCAATGCTCTACCCAACGAGTTACAAGTTCCAGGGGTTGAATAGATATTATTTTCACTTCAGTCACTAAGGGCTTAAGATCTAGTCAGCTTCCGGACGTCTTAGGTTGGTTGGTAGAATGTTTAACTCACAATCGCGTCGTTGGTGGTTCGAATCCTCACATGACCCAAGTTTCATTTCATCTTCACTTATCACCCAGTATAAATACCATCTCTAGTACTCCCAACCCTGCTACTGAATAGGTGAACAGATTAAGTTAACTGTGTATTGAATTAAACTAATGGATATTTCAACTGCTTGTTAATAATTACATTCAATTATTAATTACTTTTAATTAACTGTTGTACATAAATACTTGGACACACACACACATACACATACGCAGTGAGGATTCTTAGAAGGTGTTAATATGATTATTTCCGATTCCATTTATCTTTAATTGAAAAATTACTGATTGTTTTGTTCAACATCTTGTCCTTCATTACACTTCGTCTTCCTATTTTGTTTATTATCACTACTGATTTCCCATTTTCTATCCTCATTTTGTTTCTAATCTTTCGATGACCAATTTTCTCAGTGAAGTGTGTTTACATTAAACAGTAGTGGTGGTGGTGGTGGGGGGAATGGGATAAATCGACTAGCTTGTTGAATTAAGTTTCAAAGATGGAGATTAAAGTTTTATCTAAGATTTTTGTAGAGAAACCACACAACACTCAGATACTTCATTCAAGGTAGTCAACATCACGGAATGACATCAGATGGTGAACCATTTTCATTCGTCTTAGTATGGAAATCGTCATCAGTAACCATCCACGACCCGACCAGGGATCGGATTAAGGAGTTCCAGGTCTTGATGCTAATGCCTTAGCTACTGAGCCAATGGGTTAGAGTTCAACGGTCCACAATTTCCTAACTGACCAGTTAGCTATAATTCCCTCATCTAGCTATGCTTTTAAATGACCAACCTGAAGGAACGTCGTTTGATGCTGTGACTGAGAAGACATCACGCAGTAAACTTACAAGCAAGTCCTAAAATATGTCAGTAATCCCAGTTGAATCCTTTTAATCGGTAGACTCAAACTCTTTGCTTTACACAGACAGTATCCAGGGGTTATTCCCCTGGACAATTCTCTAATTAAACCAAAGAACAGTTCACCAGTAATTCACTTTTCTATGATTCAGATGAAAACTTTCCCTGCTGAAAAGTATTCTGACCTTTTCTAGAAAACTCAGATATATAACTTTTGGTACACTGGAGTTTTATTAGTTCTCGTGGTTCTTATCCTTTTTGATATATTACAAATTAACAGAAAGACCATTTTAAATGTCATAGCTCAGGAATCTTCGTCGAGAATTGGACCGAATCGATCGGCCACTATTGGCACCTGGGTTCCTATGTAGATGCCTCGATAGTGCCTTAATTATCAATTCTGACATTACTGATGAAAGGTTACTAGCAGAGGAATTAAGGATGCGAGTTTAATCCTACTTAAGACTTGTCAGCTGGAGATTCACAAGCTCAAGGTATCTAAACCTTTATGATACTCATTGCACAAGGACTCCCTGCCATGAATCAGTAGCTTTGTGAGTAATGTTCCAGCATTTGAAATGGTTGGTCTCCGTTTTGAGTCCTGGTGGGGAAAACACTCATATTCGACTGACAAGTACCAAGCTGAATGGAACGCATGTACTGGAGTCCACTATTAGTCATTACCCACATTTCCGAAGTATCTATCCATCCAAATGAAATAAGTCCAAACCCTTTACGATAAACAATGTATTCAATCTCATTGATAAAATAGGAATATCCGTACTACGATACAGATCTCAGTGACAGCACACGACCTACAACGGATTGGGGGACATAACAGAGTACTGAAGTAATGGAGTACATTGCAGTGTCAGACAAAAAGGTTGTATAACTTGTGATCCATAAGCTAAACTACCATCCTTTTAAATGACAAATCAACTAAGTTTAGGTCTTCTGGTTTTATGGCGGTGTTTGTCATTTGTTTCAAAAGGAAATTCTGATGCGGATTTGTAACCTGATATTGAAACACTTGCAGTCTGAACATCCTCATCCTGAGTTACAAACATTCGTCCCGATTTCTTTTTATTATTGCACAACATAGCTGCTAGTATAATTGCTTTTTAATATGATATCGTCGTTGCTTGGACCGAATTGAGCGGTCCCTATTGGCATATGGGCTCCTGTGTGGATGCCTCGATATTGCTTGCGTTCTAATTATATTAATGGTGGTTCGTGGCTAGAGGTGGAATCCAGGATGCGCATTTCATCCTATTTGGAACTCACTAGTCAGCTGGATATACCTGCTTCCTAGTGACTGATGTTGTTCCCACCCGTCGCACAAGAAATGGCTATCGTGGCTCGGTGGTGTAGTGGTATAACGCGCTGGTGTTCGAAGCGATCGCTCCAGAGTCCGAATCCCGGTGGGAACAACATCACTCACTGGGAAGCAGGTACATCCAGCTGACTAGTGAGTCGCATACAGGACGACATGCGCATCCTGGATTCCACTTCGAGCCACGATCCATCATTAATGTAATATGGCTACCGTTAAATTCTGTATCTGACCTAGATACTTACGTAACGTTTGAAATATAAAGTCTATAGAATGATAATTGATACGAGTGCATGTCAAAGTAGTTTACTTAGTCAACTCATTTGTCTTCTGTGTTTGCATGTTGAGAAATGCATGAATTTTTGTTTAAAACAGTAAACTGTACACTTATTTGTCTGCTTTGTATTCATACTGAACGTTTACTAGACAGAATGCAAGGTGTTACAATGTTATACACCTTAGAAAGTCATTTGTAACCAAAGTAATATGGGCAAAGACAGTTTTCACTAGATTTTTGAATGGTTTGCAGTATTTACTTAATCGGAAAGTTTGAAAAATTTTTCTGATGAACTGAAAGTATCATATTGTTCATATAAAATCGTCTAACAAACAGTTTGTATTACGTGGTACCCATTTATAATAACCACCATTTGATGGCTAGTTCATGTGAGTTGTTTATAGCCTGAATAGCTCAGTAGTGAAGCCTTTGAATTCCAGACTCAGTGATTCACATTTGAGGAGTCAAGGCTTCAGGTATACCTTATCAATGAATGCTGACATATCAAATAGACCTTCCTACTGACTGACTTCGACATTGAACAGTATCTATAGAAGTTGTAAAGCATCATCTATCCACCAGTTTGTATACCAAGTTAACTACTTCGGTATATACGTTGCTAATTTTTTGCATGCTTATACAGACAGATTTGTAACCAATCTTGTTCGTCAGTATGGAATTGCATATTGCATCGTTCTGAATTTGTCTTTCAACCTGTAAGTTTGACTTGTTGCATCGGTAAATTAACGTTTCGTCAGTTTAGTTTTGCTAATACCAACAACATACAAGTTGAAAATGTTTTCATTATTCATTTCAGTATTAATTTATTCAAATTTTATTTGGTAACTAAAAATTGTTTTACATATTTTTTACCAACAAAAAAAAATAACCAAACCAAAAATGAAAATCATCTTGTATAAAGGAACACGTGCGATAATTCGTCGAGGAGCTACTAGTGTTGAACCACCCGAAGAAAATAATAACGATCTTCTTGAAGATGATGAAAATGTGATGAGTGGAAATAATACAGATGAATTTACTACAAATTATCGCCTTCCACGTAGTTCAACAGTGATGACAACGATAAGCGGTGAACCGTTGTTGACATCGGGGGGTATACATCAATTTGATAGGTCAACTGAACACTTAAGAGGCAGTACTCATCATCAAAATGAACAGACAAGATCAATACGATCACATTCACACAATCGGTCTACATCACCTTATGATCAAAATGAATCAAGATATCTATATGATGCTGACATTCAGCCTAGAAGAAGTACATACCTTTCAGCGACTAGAACTAACAATTCCAACAGGAATGGGTATAGTGAGTTGTTATAAAAGTTTACTGGTGCACAGAGTATTTTCACGTCACTATTTCTCATTGTCGTTCGTTATCTCTCCATCATGTCATGTATGACTTCTTCGACAACATCTTCGTTAACACTTGCTATGAAAAGTGAACAGTGAACAGGCTGAATAATAACCATTGTGAAAGATCTGCATGCATGAATTCCGTCAAGTACATATGTCAAACCATGGTGGTATTCAACACGTGCTGACATCCGTTGTAGAATTACTAAAAACCTGGAGGTACCAGATAGCTATCTGCTCCTAATAAGGGGCTTCCCAGAACCCACGCCCCTATGAGGGATCAAACTAAGGATCTTAAGCTCTCGTTGCCAGGATGTTACTAATTAACCATTGGGTTAGAATCCAATGGAATACTATTGCCTAGTTCTGTCAGTTCTTGATGTAGCATGATTATCATCCAGTGGCATCGATGACTAATGATCATCACCTTGTTCTCCTAGGTTTTCAATGTTTCTCCAGATGATGTTAGTTCGTAACGAAAACATCACCTTAGAATCAATGAATCCTCAGAAACTTCTATACATATGTCTTGGTTGTATTGTGTTCTCTGAGCTGGGTTGTTTAGTCGTGAAGCTTTCATCGTCTTTCTCCTAGACGACATCATCAGCACTAACTTCACTATGAAGTGAGCTGTCAATATCTCTCCGTGAGTGATTCAGCACCTTGCCCTGAAGATGTGGTCTGTGATTGGTTGTTTCCTCGGATTGTTGTGTCATTGACTGTATAGCCTTTCCTGTTGACTGTTCCTCTGCTTGACATATGATCTTTCTGTCGTTTATCATCCTCCTCATTATTTCGTTAATAGGTTGGGTCTATGTCTATACATCTGTTGATTGCTGACTGACTGACTGACTGACTGACCTGAATGCCAAGCTTCTAGGAATTCTCTGATATTCTTTGTGTTCCTCTCTCCCTCCAAAATTTCTACATTGTCGAGATTGAATTCATGTCCATGGTGGTTATCCACATGCATTGAAATGAGTGATGAAATGTCGTCACGTTCAATAGCAGATTGGCGCTCATGTAGACGAAGGTGAAGAGGGCTATCACTTTGTCCATTATAGTGTTGACTACAGTTATTGGAGTTGATTTTGTAAATGATATTTGGTTTGTCTTCTTTGGTTGTTGCATCCTTTGCTCTGCATAATAGTGTTTGGAGTGGATTTGTTGGTTAACGAGTGGCCACAGCAATTCCAAGTTGTCTCAGCAATCTTGTTGTCATTTCCGATACATTCTTCATGTATGGTAGTGCGATGCGTCTATTGATTTCTGTCGATGACTTTTTAGTTGATGATGTGCGGCATAGGCATCTTCTGATAAAGTTTCGTGGGTAGCCGTTCTTCTTTAGGATGGACATCCAGTAATTTTATTCGTCTCTCCATGAAGTTGTTGTACTGCAGTGTGTTCTCGCTCTTCTGAATAGAGTCGGCATGCAACTGATCTTGTGGGTTGTTGGGTTGTTGCTATTGTAGTTGAGGACTTGGTCAGTGTGTGTTGGCTTACTGTACACTTGGGTTTCCAGCTTTTGGCATTTGTCCTACTGACTAAAACATCCAGGAATGGTAGTTGGTTGTTTGACTCTTTCTCCATTATGAACTTGATGTCACTGAAAACGTTGTTGATCAAACTGTGGGTGTTTCTTACATCGTCCTTTTTAAAGATGACAAAAGTGTCGTCTACATAACGAATCTAAATTTTTGGTTTGATCACAGATAGGATGATGGCTTTCAGTCACTGCATCACTGCTTCTGCAATAATCCGGATGTCAGTGATCCCATTGAAGTTCCTTTCATCTGTTTGTATATCTCGCCGTTGAATTGGAAGTATGTTGTCATACAAAGGTCGATGAGTTCCATCAGACTTGGACATTTGAGTTTTGTGAGTTCTGTAAGGTTTGTGTCTTCATTGAGCAGAAGAGACATCATTTTCTTGGCCAATCGGGGTTCGATGGATGTGTATAGTGCTGTGACATCAAAGGATACCATCAATTCATCGTTTTCAATATTATTGTCTTTGATCTTTTCTATGAATTCTGTTGGTGACTTGATGGAATGTTCGCATGATTGGACGAGGTGTTTCAGTTTTCTCGAAAGTTCTCTTGATATGTTGTATGTTGGAGTTCCCGGAAGTGAGACTATTGGTCGTAGAGAGATATAGGGGTTTGTGTAGTTTTGGTCTACCGTAGAACCAAGGAAGGACAGGTCCATTCGATTTCATACGACATTTGTCTTGCTTTGTTATTTCTTCTGCTTTGAAGAGTTTGTTCAATGTTTGTTTTACTGATCTGGTTGTTGAACTTTTGAATGGGGTTGCCTTCAAGTGGCTGATACACATTTTCGTCTTTGAGTGATTCTTCTGCCTTCTTGATATAGTCTTGTTTGTCCATGACTATTGTAGTGCGTTGTTTGTCTGCTGGAAGTATAAAGATATCTTTCCTATTTTTCAGTCTTTTTAATGTTTTCTGTTCTTGAGTATTCATTTGAGCATGTTGTCTCCTCTACCTTGAAAGTGGTACGATTGTTTGCCGTATTTCTTGTTGAGTGACCTCATTTAATCTTGATGTTTTAAGTGGCGATTCTAATGTCACATACATATGTTTTCCATCATTCAGAATGAAAGACTAATGATGAAAGTATTGTACGTAGCATTGATTAAGCCTACAGTGCATGCAAACTATTGCGTATATGCTAGCTTATTTGTTCTGAAGTACTGGAAGTTTGTTTTTCCAACTGATCACACTGCTATCATCATGAAATGTATGCTGCTTAAAAGTTATAGTCTATATCCACTTTGTGAACATGTTGTACAAAAAACAATCTGTAAAATGGAATGAGTAATTTTGTATTTTTTTGCTTGCTTAAGATTGTTGGCTGTGCATGTTTCTCATGCTTTTTTGTATAACGCTAAAGAGTAAGTTCTTTATTTGATCAGGGAGTCGAGATACAATCCACTTCCTAATTAGGATGGGAAACCTATGTATGAATAATTCGACTGTCTGAGGAAAACTTCTCTGAGTACACCAATGATGAGCTTAGCTTCGAACAAGCGAAATTGATGTTTGGACAACTCTAATCTGTCCAGTGAAACCTATGATTGGTTTCTAACCACTCGGCGATAGTATGTTGTGCTAGTTCATGGTACTTATGTATCAGATATGATACATTGGAATCTTGGCCTCAAAGTGACTTCCACCGGAAACCCTGCACACACCCTAGTTAGATGGCAGCTGAAAAACTAATCAACTCTAAGAAATGTCAATATAGACCGTTCAATACTTAACTCCTGTACAAACTAAGCGTCAAAGAAACTATCACTAACACGCAATACTGATCCTGTCAGTCAGGATGTCAGTAAAGTAATCAACTGTTGTTCCCTTTTATTTGGGCTACAAGATGCTATCATCCCGAAGTTTCTATGCACTCACTTTGCAAATAGAACAATTCATGAATAAGATAACAGGTTTCTTTGCAACCAGTAACTATAATTGGTCAAATAGTCCAAGTTGGATAGAACAGCCAGGTATTACTTTCTAAACGCATCATTGTTGTAGTATGTGACTCATGCTAACTGCTTCCATATCCTTTGATAAACAAATGAAAGACAGCCATTATCACCGATTTTTCGATCATTCACAAATGAATTCTGGAGAGTAGGTGAAACACAATTTCTATTCCTGTCGACTACTTTTGACCCAATCGATAAACACCAAGGAATGTGTTGTTTCTGACGGTTGTAAGTCATTTAGCTGATCCCATCTATACAAACATAAGTAAAGAGAGGCAAGGTATAGAGTACATTTGATAACAAAGCATATCTTTTAAGCTGTTGATCGTTTGGTTTGGTCATTCTTGTTTGTTACAATGACAGCCTTAAGGGGACAGTAAATTTTCAATCCTTCTGGCTACTTATAAACTGGTAAAACTTAACGTATGCGAATCCTTAGTAGATATTCTGCCACCCTTTGAGAAAATTTATTTAAATGGAAAAAGCTAATACTAAAGAGGATGAAAATAAAACTCCTGAAATGAAGAATATTGTGCATTCCATGTTAAGGCTGGTAATATAGATCCCCTGGTTGTTCTGTCACTTTAGTTCTTATGCGATCAACGTTAAGTAAGGGTATTATTTATGACTCACATCAGAAGAGTCATATAGGAAAAGAAGTAAGAGGAAGTTTTCTCACTGTGGCAAGTAAAATATACATATAGAAACACGAAACAGCATCAACATGTTCTTGCCCACATAGCTGATGAATATGCGTCAGTCGATTCGCCAAAATTCTCTCTAGTAGCACTAGTGGTTTGATACAACTACACATCCATATTTCCTCATTGACTACCAGAAAAAAAATTCACAAGAACATTTCAACTCCAAATTTTGACGCTGAATGATTGATTCACTAAGCTTATTCTGTCTTAAGTATTCAAGACGCTAACCCTCGGTTGATCAAACTGACTCCTTTAATCTAAAAGCTTGTTCTCAAAGTTATACTTAACAAATGCCATCATCATTTAGTCATAATAGACGACAATCAAATACTTATTATCATAAAAGAGTTTCTTATGCACATTATAGGACTTATCAGATAGACAGAAGTTTTTACAGCTGCACTATCAACCACTTTCTCTTATCAACCAATTGAACATTGAAGGTGACTGAAGATTACAGGATTACACTAATTTGTTACTGAAGAGTAGCTAACTTCTTATTATTTAGTTCTAAGTAATGAGTGAATTCCATTGACCATTTTGCAATATGGCCATCATGACTCATTGGGATATGATATTAATTGGATTGATGCAACCAGCAAGATGCCATCGACCTAGGGTCCAATGCTTTTTGGCACTCGCCAGCATGGCGTATTTGGACCCTCGATGGAACTGATGTCTCTCCAAAGATATGAACCTGTATCACTCAGTGCTGCAGTCAGAGACGTCACTACTGAGCCATTCGACGCCACAAAACCAAACATTCATCTTAATACAAATACAATCTGTTCTAAACATTTTTCATTTGGATCTGGATAAAATGACTTAAACTTTTCATGAATGTTTCCAGTTATCTTTAAATCAAACTGATTTAAAACTATTAGCTAAATGAACTGGAATACCATTTGTGTAGTCCGCCAAAATGCTGATAGAACTGAATGGTGTTGGTTGTCCACTCAACGACCAACTTTATCAAGCGCCAATGTCTTTTAGATGTATTATCGATTAATAGTGCACAAAAGCAGTTCATTTAAAATCCTAACAGGTTCACATATCCCTTAAAATCAGAAGGAAATTAGGGCTTTATGAATAAATACGAGTAAAAAGACGCCTCAGTACATTCATATTACACTGAAGGTAACGGTATTGGTTTTTGAAGATTCCTTACTGTTCAGAAATCTAAAGTATAGCACTTTAAAATAATTCTGTAGACTCTATGCGAATAATTTAAGGACAATGAACAAACGTACATGTTAATGGAGATGAAATACACAAGAATAGATGACTTGCTCATAGATAAGATGGGGTGATGGACTTATCAAGCTTGATGTTGAAACCTTTAGAAGTTTAGTTTTTGCGAAATATTTGAAATTGTCAGCTACTAGAATTCAGTCTGACAGTATCAAGTTTATTTATGGCTATCATAATAGAACCTGAGTATCTTGAACTTTGTCTCTCATGAGGACCATTCTATTGAAGTAGAATCAAATCCTTATTTAACTTTTATTATTCGTTCAGCTACATTAACTCTTCAGTCTATATTATTTTCAGTAGTATTGTTGGTACTAGTTTGCTAAGAACTTACATTTTTCTAAACCTTTTATTGTGTTACGTTTCGTTCAAATCATTAATAGCGCCAATGTGAATAAGTGCCATATTTTCTTATTCTTAGAAGATCCACACAATCGACACAGTCGCCGTTCTTCAACTCAGACCAATGAATATGATATGTTAATTCCAGGCCAACCACTAATATACAACGCTACAGTAATGGCGGTTAATCGATCAGGTCATGGTTCACGTGGACCGTATACAAGTCTCGGTCCTGGTCATTTTCGTATTGCTGGAAGAGCACCATTGGCCTATGATTCTACCTCTGTAGGGACTACAAGTCCTGTTCAAACACCTAAACGAACAATGAATGATGCCTTACAATTTTCATTTGAGAATGATCGCGTCCAACGTAACTCTTTGCTTGTTTCATCATCTCAAAATGAGAAAACATTGAAACCTGTACTTTTTGAGGATGAAGTGATAAACAAATCCTCTAGATCATGTTTTGCATCTTGTCTTCAATGGATTTCATCATTCTGTGGACGATTATTTGGACGTAACAATGATTCTGCAAAATTGAAGAAAACTAGTAATCTTAACCAAGAACAAGGAGGCATTAAAGGACCGAAAGAGTTCGCCACTTTACGTGCAATGGCTGCTTTGGCTGCAGCCACGGCAGCGACTGCTGTCGCTGATCCAACAAAAGGCGCCCATGGAGGTAGGTTAAGCTTACAATTTGAATTCTATATCATGTTTATTGATGGCAGTTTCATGCCTGTTTGTAGAATTCTATCCTAGTTTTCAAGCATAAACGTCATTTTACTTTTTTAAAAACTAAGTTTCTTTAAGTAAAGTTTATCATTCTAAGAAAGTCACTACAGCAAATGAATAAAGAGACAGTTTTCGTGAGGACTGTACTATAGTTAAGCCATTGGGTATGAAGATATAATTGACGTGGTTAACCAAGTAGTCAGCTAGAAAAGAGACTTACATGAACTGTTCTTGACGACCGTCTGATTCATTCACGAATGAATTGAAGTTAGGAAGTAAAGATTACTGGGTTTCGATCTAGTGGCAGAGTTGAAACGGACTCATCACTGAAGGAACTGGATATCTTGGATTGAAACCCTTATACAAACAAAAGTGGGGGATATAAGACAATCTGGACTTAATACGAAACTATTTTCCGTTGCTGCATCTTTCTGTGACAAACACTGCCATCAAGACAGACAGTTTCACACCGACTATTTCACTACTAGGATAACGGCATTTTAGCCATAATCGATTTTAACAGTCCCGTTTGTGAATTCTCATTCGGGATCTTTTGTTCATGCAAAATTGTAATTTACTATCGTTTATTTTACTGGAAAAAGTTGATTGGCCCATGCTTAATAGATGCCTTACTACTGCCTCGTATTTTATTGACTAGTTCATGACTAGAAAAGAAATGTAGAACTCATATGTCTTTCTATTTTCTGGGATCTTCAGTCTAGTGTATTTGCATCCTAAGAAGCTAAGGTTTGTCTACTTAGACGCTAGCCAAGAATCAGTTCCTTCACATGTTAAAGTGTTAACTACCTGATTACTTAGTAAAAAGAACTACCTCTTTTGATAATAAACTCACATTGTGTTAGGGGATGACCAGAGTTCATTTGATCCCCTAAATATATCCTCCCTAAACTTATCCACTGAACTGGCTGAGTTCACTCCACTGAGTCGACAGAATTAAACTTCAAATTATGATAATATATACAAACATAATGCCAGGTTCCAGTATACTAAACAAGATTCACTCACTTGACATCGCTAAACCCAGACAATTGAGAGAATTTCAAATTACATGAAAGTTTAGTCAAACGACTACTGGAGTAAACAACTATGCTTTTACTATTTATTGGCATACTTGTTATTCTCCGTTGTTTTGTTGGATCGAATTGTTCGACCTCTATTGGCATATAGGCCGCTATGCAGATGCTTCGATATTGCCTGAATGATAATTGTGATAATTTGGTTGATCCTGGATTCTTCTGCTAGCCACAACCAACCAAATTATCATAATTATCATTCAGGCATCTGCATAGGAGTCCGTGTGCCAATACAGGTCGAACAATACGATCCAACAAAACAATGGAATATAACAAGTATGTCAGTAAATAGTAATAACTAATAGCCGTTGTACAAGAAGCGGTTATCTTTCCTCCGTGGCATAGTAGATAACGCCTTGGCGTCTGAAACTATCGAGGTACGAGGTTCGTGCCTCAGTGGAAACAACATCACAGGGGTGCAAGTAAATCCAGCTGATAAGTCCCAGATAGGACAGAACGCGTGTCCTGGATTCTTCCGCCAGCCACAACCAACCAAATTATCAAATGTGACTTTGTTTGGCATGGAAAAAATCAGCTGGTTGGGCAGCTATATGTCCATGTATTTATCAATACATGGAAGTTTGTATTCTCTGTGACTAGTCCAACAGATATGAACATTTATTCCTGGACAAAGACAACTATAACTGGATAAAGTAGGCTGGATTTTTTCTACTAATCTACTTTACCAACCCTATCTCAACATCGTGCATCACGTCTGCAGAAAAATATTATGCCAGTTCGGATGCAATCGACCTATTTGAAAAGCTGTTAGCTTATCGACTTCATTTTTCATCACATTTGCCTAAATTAAATAGCTGCGTGCAGCAAATGATATCCAATAGGTGACAAAGATAGTGTCACGTTGAAATTTAGAAACGATCGCCTATTCTGTCTCTTTGTCTTTTCTACTTGACGCAAATTTTACCACTTTTGTCTTTATGATTGCTATTGTTATCGTTATCACTAGTTTTGTATCGCATATTCCACCCACCTGTTCTCATGAATCACAATCTATTTTACTTTGCTTGTGTGTGTGTGCGTGTCCATTGTGTTGTCCTGCACCTTTTCATCCACACAATTGTCATTTTCTGCACACTATGAAAAGGTTGCAGGCACACCAATAAAATACAGCCAGTAGTAAGTTACTTGTCCTTTAGATGTTACTGACAGTGGAATCTCGGACGCGTATTTTATCCTATTCAGGGTTTCCCGAGATCGACGTGTCTACATCTTAGTGCACCCACTGAGTCATCTCTTATGCACCCTTAAATGTGTCTATGTGTTGTTTTATTTTAAACAAGAGATATTCTGTGTGTTAACTCGAATGCTTATTCGTGATGCTTAGGGCTGTTTAACGTAAAATTTCGGTGTTCAGTTGAATGTAGCTTTTCCGTTGGCTAGACAACATAGACTTCAAAGCAAATCGGAAGCATTACTTTGAGATAACACACCGTACAACTGACTAACCTGACTCAAAATATATATGTAACTGTTCACCACTTCACTTGATTGGAATACATCATATGGTTCACTGAGTCATACAATCTGTTTTCAACCATCAACCAACCGTATCAGTAATCATCATAATGACCTACAGTCCAAGTATTGGAAACGCATACTTCAGCAGTTTAAAAGTACAACTGAATGGTTCAGAACTCTCAAAACAACTTTAGTTAAAAGCATCTTTTTATAAGAAATTTCTTTTCTATGCATTTCACATATTTCTCTTAGTTTTCACTATTCTATAATTTGGTGTATAAAATTTATTTCAGATTTACTTATTCCTCAAGGTTTACTTGAGCCAGGTAGTAATAAAATGTTGTCATTGTGTACTTTTGTTTAGTTGAAATTCCATTTTCTGCATTACTTAGTGATGATTAGTGGGATATTTTTAAAAAAAGTAGTATTGTTAATACATATACAGATAATACTGATCGATAAATTGATTGATTGATTGATTAATAACCTGCCTGAATCAATCCATTATTTTTCTGTTATACTACTTACTAATATATAATACTAACTGGTGTGGTACTCTTTTATGACATGCAATGAAAAGTTATATGTAGTTATTAATTAACGTTGGTGAATTATACTACTTATAAACTTTTTGAGTAGGTAAATTATATTTTGACTTTCAAGTTTTCCTCTCAAAGATTATTAGTAGTCAGTAGTTCAGTGGACTGCATTTTCGATGCTTTGAATATTGGTTAGTGTGTCTGTATTGGAGCAAAACACGAAGATAAACACGGTAGATCGTATAGCTTAGGAAGGCAGCTGATTATCATTTGATTTCAATGGATTTTCATATTGACACTTATAGTGACTGTCGTAGTTGAGTTACTTCATCCCAGTGAAAATCTTTTGTGAGAATTCACTTTCCCCACTAATTTCCATATCTTTACAACCCGTAGGAATATTTATATCTAGATTCATGAGCCCAGAAAAAACAAGGATTTTTCAGAGAAGAAATTTATGGGTATCCTTTTTTTCAACTATGTCGTTACCCAGTTATGTGGTCACATTGATAACCGCTTTAATTACGAATTTTTTCGGTTAATAATTCTTAGTACTGAGGTGGTAGTGGATCTTGTGTGTGTGTGCTTGCTGCCAAGGAGGTTTTTGTGATGAAATTTAAAAGAGCGTTATTTATATCATTCCGTTAATTTGCCTGTCATACAGTTAGATGGCAGAAATTGTTGCAGATAAAAAAAATATGTTTGAAGTTACTGAAGAAACAAATGAATGTCGTCAGATGTATCAGATAGCACCAGTGATAATCCATATAACTTCCTGTCTCCTTATCTAATCCAGCTTAATTTGAATCAAGATCACATGATCTGCCGGTTCAGCCAATGAAAAGACAGCCACGTGTCACTTGTTTACACAAGAGTTGGACAAGTCTCCGAGTGATTGAAGCGTAAAGTAAAGAGCTATTCTGCAGGTGGAGTCCCATGCAAGCCACCTAGTACCTACTAGTTAGAATCCTGCAGCAAACTAGATCTTTATTTAACCATAAAGTGAAATATGATTGACTATAGTGAGAACTATCAGCGGCAATGTAAAGTAAGGGGATTCTTAAAGCATTTTTAATGAAGAGTTTGGGCTTTCTTTCATGCTTAGAACTAGTGCTCCAGCTATAGAGAAGTGCTGAAAGTGTAGTCGCTTAGACTGATACTGTTCAGCTCTTCAGACAACTCTGAAAGATAAATCTTCGGAAACTGGATGATGCGACTGCATAAGATGTTCGCATGATGTACTCGTTGGGACTAAACGCCCACCTTGTGATAGGTAAACTGGATTGTGTCTGACAAGGCGTTTCCGAAGGGCCTACTGACAACGTTTAATGTTGTTAGCTGAACCGAAACATATGGAATTATGATTACACATTGAAGTGTACACAGAAGTAATCTATAGTTTAGAAAACCGTCCCCGTCAAGTTTTCACTCAACTGGAAGCATTCCATAGGCTTTTAATTTGTGCAATGCTGCCACTAAGTTAGGAAACTCACTATCACATGGCACTTTTGAAAGATGTTAGGAGGTTGCAGGCAAGTGGCAGGAAGTCTTCAACCTGGGTTTCGTGCTTACTGGTATTCATCAGCTACCAGAATAACCCGGTGGTAAGGTCTCTGATTTCCGCACCAAGTAGTGAAGACGTCAGTTCCCCAAAAGTTGAAGATACGTCTTGCTGACGAAAGCCAACAAGCACAGAAGTAAGGTGAAACAGGAATTCTTACCGATTTCCCCCAATCAACAATGATCTAAGGCACAAGACGGCTTGACATTACAATATGCCTTCCTATTTGAGGTTAGGAAAGTTCTTGGACGTGATCCTGCTGTGAAGAGATGAACATGGATAGTATAACTCAGGTTGGAGTCCAGACCTAAATGCTAAAGGCTTCTTAGTCAATCAGAATGGTTTTATCGACACTTTTAGAGTACAGAATACATGTTGTAGAACTGTCGTATGTCAGGCAGTTAAAAATCATCAGCATCCATGGATTAGAACGGCTGACTGTTTTCATCTATCCTATTTCGCCACAAATATCATCACAGAAACCAGTAGACATTGTTCGAACCCGTTGGCGTGTTTTTTTGCCCATTGGATGTAGGCTCACTTCAAGCCAAACAAGCAGCAAATGAATTCCATGCTTTATAACTGAACAGCTCAATGCGACTCACTTCCTGAGGAACTGAAATCTATAAGATATTCATCCGTAAAAAAAACAATACCATAGGGTTTACTCATAACACAAAGCTTGTTAAGTGAATTCACATCATGCTTCACTGAGTATTTGCTCCCCCATCCCCTACCACTAAAAAACAAGTTAAAATGATGGAGAACATTAAGCGTATATACACATATTGCATCATTATCGTCTACAATACTCGAAAGAGAGATAGAAACATAGCTGGTCAGTGAAATTCGTCTACTGCTACCTGGGCATGATTAATTCACACAGAATGACAGACACACTTCAGATAGATATACCAGTCACCCTCCCAGCAACAGGTTCATCGATTTGTAATGTTCACATGGTATATTCTTGAAAAAAAAATCAAAAATCTCTCTGTTATGTATAAATATTCTGTGTTATTTTATCGTGAATATATATTATCACCAACTTTTACACACATTTCATGCCCACCCTTACAGTTAGAATGGTACATTTAGACCATGCGGATACTGCCACCGAAGACTGTAAGTACCTCAATGTTACCTTCTGTCTATCGCTTAAGTAACAAGTTGATTCTAGTATCATCAAAGTTGAATAAGTTAAACCCAATTCATGAAATTAATCGCAATATCGATTCGAAAGAAAAACAATTGTGCATGATCCTCCCCCCCCTTTTTTTTACTTCTCTCATGAATCGTTGAATTCATCTCTGTGTTTGTATGCGTTTTACCTTTTATAAATGTACGAAAGTGTATATATTTATGTATGTATGTATATATATGTGTGTATGTGTGTACATGTTTGCGTAATCATCAGCTTGCTTAACTCTAGACTGGTAGCTTTCAGTCAACCTACATTATGTTATTTTTCAAACAAAATGTTCAATGTTTCAATAAACGTACTAAACACAGTTTTGATGATCAATCATTGTTCGATGTTTGCAGAATTAAAGTACATCAAACAACAAGGAAGAAAGCGGGTAAAGGAAAGTTACAAAAATATAAAAAAGTTAACATGTGGCATCTAAAACATTGTTGTGTTTAATTAAAATTAAAAAAATTCACAGAAACAAAATTTTAAAAAATAACTTTGGTTGCTTAAACATGACTGATTGATAGTTTCAATTTTTATTTTCAAATGATGTTATTGCGTTTTTAAATTTATTGCCTTTGTTCAATGTGTTCAATTGCCTCTAATTTGACTTGTATTTTGTCTGAAAACAAGCTGTTAATTATTTGAGTAGAAATTAAGTCTTACTACTGATGAATCTAGTTTAATAACAAGAACCGTTAGAGTATAAATACCTTTATGATTTTGCTTCAGTTAACACAGGATATGTATAAATTCACCTAGCCGAAAAGTAGCCTTGAAAGTAAATTACAGACAATTTTTCATGGGAAATAAAAGTTTTAGGGCAAACATGCTGTTGGATCTAAAACGGTGATTGTTAAACCCCAGCCAAAGTGTTGCACAAATCCTGAAAGTCTAGAACAAAGTTGTTAAGGTTAATTATCTGAGAGGATTCTAAGTAGAATAATAACAATCCATACGTTCAACTGTGGCTCTTGATTGTAGAAAAAATACCGAATCATTTACAAGGGGAGCTAAAAAGATCCGACTGAATAATCTACAAATAATGTACTGGATAATGATTGACGATAAAACGGAAATTCGGGTCGTGGGAGGATTCACACCAGCGAGAACAGGATTTCCAGCCAGTTGCTCTAGTAACTGGGCTACGAGACCCAACTGATGACCAGATTTTTATTTCATTTCAATTGGTGTCATGATGCATTACTATAGCTTTATCGTACTCACATTGGCTGTCCAGTCACAACTTCTCATCTCAGTCTTAATCTGTTTAAATTAGATTAAAATCAAAATCGGGTATCTTAGCTCAGTTGGTAGAAAAAGGGCTGGAAACCATGTGGTCCTTGGTTCGAATCCGGCCGCGACCCAAATTTCAGTTTCGCCTGAAATCACTATCCAGTATCAATACAAATCTACCAAATCATGGCTGTCTCAGATGGCTAAAATGAAAATAATGTGCAGCTGAGACTAACTGCTGGTTTCTCAAAGGAGTGCACTAACCAAATCTCTAATATAGATATACAAAGACAGCTGATCAGAATAAGGGTCATAAGTGCGAATGGGTAGAAGGGCATAGGTGAGTACGTTTCATAGAACACTAACAATGGAATCCAAGACGCACGCTCCTTCCTATTTAGGACACGTCAGTTGGAAGTATCTGCATCCATGTGAGTGTTGTTCTCACTAAGATTCTTGGATTCCACTGTTAGACATCATCCGTCGTTGCTGTCAATACTCAAAATACGGGCAATATCAAGGCATCCATAGCTTCAGTCTATATGCTAAAAGAAACCAATCAATTCGGTCCAGTCAGTCCTGGGAAATTATGAGAAATAGTAGAGTTACTAATTTTACCTAAAGTCTTCAAAGGCCTTCTGTCTTAGTCACGGTTCAACATGGTGTGAAGCACAGCTAAAAAACAAGATGCTTCTGTGTTTCAGGTTTCGGTGGGTTAAGGTTTCAGTGCGTCGCTAGATCTCACCCTCAGAGCTTTACTAGAAGGTACCAGATAGTTGTCTTATTCTATTTCGATATTCAGGGATGGAGGTGAAAGGTGTTTATCTTGGCATTGTATCAAGTAGCCGAGGTTAACTGATGTGATATTCGACCAACATGCTCCCACTACCATATTATATGCGTTGAACTGAAGTTGACTGTAAATTATGGGCGAGTTGTCATACAAGAGTCAGATAGAAAAAAGTTTATCTCTGTATCTGTTTATCTCTTGTTTATAAGAGCCAGTACCTTTGAAATGGAAAGTTTTCTATCCTTTACTCAGTTGTCATTTCTTACTAGCATGACTATTCTTTGCATGCACTTCCCCCCTGGTATATTCTGTACGTAGTTTTGATAACCTTAAGACTAGTGTTCAGTGTCATTTAGTCAAAATTACTTCGTGGATGTAGCGCTGAACACCTATTCACAGATGATTAGTCCTAAGATGCAACAATATTCTCCACTATACAATTTCTTGTGTGTCGTTTATGCTCACAGAACTTGTGAGAATACATTGGACTGTGTTAATTTTACGGTGTGTATTCAAGTTTTTTTATCTGATCCGTAGCTTAGCAGTGTTTACCTATTGAATCCTATTCTAAGAAACGTATATTCACCAATGTTCCTTGATATAATCTCTAGCCTCCCCTTTTTTTGGAGTAAAACTAAGATTATTTAGCTCTGTTTTGCTTCTTTCTAGGCTTTGGTTATTTGCTGTAGGATTATAAATTATCCCATCCCGTTGGCTGTGTTAACTTCAGAGATCATTGAGATGAAATGTTTATCATGTCTATTGTCAGAGTATTTAGTTTCGCTTTTGTCAACATAGAGCTTACTTACGTCATATAGGGTCGTTTTTGTCACTTCCTTAATATAGGCATACAAGAGAAAATCTTTTGTAAGGCATAAATCGATAAAGGTAATTAAACTTTGTCTCCTGTTCCCCGGCTCCCGTGTCAACAACATGGAGGTTTGTATTGAAAATTTCAGATCAACATTGGTTAATAAGTTATTGACCATCTGATTTAGGTGCCAGCAGGGGAATCGGTAGCAACCAAACGGATATCAAATTCAGAACTCCTATGAGTGAATAGTATATACTAGAGAATGATGTAATCAGAACTCTTTCTGTTGGTAAATTGGTTCGGCGTCTAGAGAGTACAAGGACCATTTGCCACTTAAGTTATTCAGAGTCGGTTAGTGAAACTTGTAAACCTGTTTGACTATTGTTTCCATTCTGAAGACGGATAGTTTTCAGCTAAGCGACTCAATGTAAAACAGGGTTGTCTTGGCCTACTGTGAACTCTTCAACAGTGTACTTGTTCACTGTTTCTGAAATTTCAACCGTAAGACATTCCCATCTAGTGATAAGTACTAGGATGAGACGTCTATTTTAGCCTAAATTGAAGACAATTTGTTTAACCCGTTAGAACGTACTAGTGATCTAATTTAAATTCATAAAAATTCAACATCAGTTATTAATAATGTTTTTGGTTACTATATGGTCATTGATATTTGTTCACTTATTCAGCTTTTTATGTCCTGTGACTTCCATCAACTTCTGTATGCACGTTAATGATGAAACAGTAGACTTTTGCCTTCATAATTCCGTCTTATTTATGCCTATTTGTTTGTTTGCTTGTTTATTTCAATAATGTCTACTTTAAATTGGTGAATAAAGTTGTCTGTAAGTCATTATTGCATTGTGCACGATCATTAGTCATTAATATTTCCATCTTACGCTGTGGATATCGCTCTTTCTTCGTCACCGTTCACCTTTGTTTCTTTGTTTGTGCCTTCTGAGCGTATATCTGAATTTATCGGTGTGTGTGTATGTGTGTACTAGTGTAAAGTAACCGGTATAACCATTATTCCTGATTCAACCTTGGATACGAGAACACAATTATATATGCATTTGTCCACGTAGCAACTAAAGTTCTAAAATGTGATAGTTTTTTTGTCTATACTACTGGTTAAAAATCGCTTTTCTTCATACCTTTTTTTGTATCATGCTTTTTCTCCGCGAAATTTCATTGAAATTCAACATTTACATGTGCGTGTAATTGTATCGCGTCTATTTTCGTCAATGTATTCGCTTCAAACAATACTGGTACATATGTCTACATGTTTTTGTGTGTGTATATATGACTTCCTGTGAATCCACGCACGTATACCATCGTTACACAGATGAAGAACAAACAAAATCAATTCAACTGGATCGTCCTGCTAGAGAACTTCTGATTTGGTCAATTTTAGTGGGGAAATTACGTATGGCTGAATTGTTCTGGACTATGGAAAAAGTAAATGAAGTATTGTTTTCAGTATTATAACTAGTATTATTACTACTAATATTGCTAATGTCTTTTGGAGTAAATGAGCTAACTTACCATACACATCTCGCATATAGGATGTACAATTAGGTATACACAATCAGTTCGGTTAATTCATGCTTTAGTAAATGGTAATACTGAGTTTGATTAATTGAGATACGTAAATAACGATAATTAATAAACTTCTCTGCTGTATTAAGCTGGGACAGCAAACCATTTGATTTCGTCAGACTGAAGTGTCGTCGCTTTACGGCGTTTTGTTCTCTAGTTTGTATGTTTCTGTGTCTGTGTCCAGGTGGATGTTGAAGACACTTTGAAAAGTCTATGAAAGAATATTGTCATAACTATCTGACAGATTGAGGAAAACAGGATATTGCGCATACTTAATAAACTGTTATGGTATTACATGTCAGTTGATGCAGTGGAGAATACTTGCTTGACAAAAGACAGGAGGATGAATTCTGCCATATCAAGATATTAGTTTCGAGGAAGATTATGCTTCTTTGTGTTCTTAAATATTTATTGCTATCCCAACTAGCACTAAAGGGTAATGAGATTTACATTTATAGAATAACAGATCAAAATTGTTCCCTATAAAACTGAACAGAACAAATTATACATTCCAGTTGAATGAAATTTGTGCTGTTCACGTTCAGTAGATTGGTGAGCTCGACTGAATATGAATCGGTTGATGAAATCCAATTGATGAAACACTGGATGCTTCAATGGGAAAGTGAATTTCATCATGGAACATTGGTGATATCTACAAGATTGGAACAATCAGAAAGTACTTAGACTTTATGAACATGATGACTAATCAGATGCTAAACAGTTTTGATAGACAATAAATTTCCTTCCAAGCTGACTGGAGTGTGCTGCCTTGACCACACTGCCCCAGGGGATACTTTGCTACCAGCCAAGAATATATTTCAACGAAAGTGATGACGGTAAATCCTCTACGCGTTCAACATTTCAAGTCGTAGTTACGTCGTCAGCTCTAACACATATCACGTAGTGGATAAACTTAGCAGATGAGTTTCCAACAGGGTGAAACTCCTGCTTTTGACTTCATTGCTAGGCGCCTTTAATGATCAACCGAAGTTTTTAGTTGTATATATACAGAGTATGGATCCTACGTTTTAGAAATTTTCGCTAGTTATCGTTACAAATATACATTTCATGATATGAGTCAGATAAAAATGACGCAACTCTCAGATTTATAGAATCTTTTCTGTATAAATCCTTTTGTTTAAAGGAACCCATAGCTGCAGCACTTTTGGCCTCAATTCTTTTAACATCTTTGGGGAATAAAACAGACGACTTCACAGATAAAGAGGATTACAGAAGCTTTGCAAAGTAAGTCACTTTTATCCTTATTCAATGAATATTTTGTTGTAATCTATGCTTTCCAACAGTTTTCAAGCAAGGGGAAATAGGTTGGGTGAAAGAGAGAGAGAGAGCGAGAGAGAGGGAGAGAGAGAGAGAGAGGAAATGACAAATTTAAAGAGGTAATTCTAAGACTGCCACTCCCAGCGGAAAACACTTCATATAGAGGCAGTATTTATATTATTCTGTAAGTATCATCGCCTATTTATTCTCGTCTCCTCAAAATATTTGCTGTCACTCTTCCTTTAGATGGTAACGAAGACAGTCTATAGCAAACGTTCATCATCATATGTGTATCATTTTCTGTTACCGAGATTCAATACAAGATCAGTCTCGCATAACTCAAAGGTAAAAATAAGAACTGCCATCACATATATAAACTGGTGACACGTAAATATTATTTATTAGTGTGAAATCTCCTACACGTGAATGGTTTGCCAACATCTAATTGTGAATTCATGATTCTTTCCACAGAAAAGCATGCCCTTCCACAAGGGATAAAACCATCAACCTAAGCAAACTTAATGATATGTGGTGCCAGTGAGATATCCGACTAACCATTTAAGATTCAGCTGTTCATTACAATAATAGGATATAAGAAAGGTTCAGATAATTGACCATATTATCTATGCAGCACTGGTTGCATGTCAAAGTACCATCACCTTAGTGATGCAGTAGTTAAATGTAGAATTTAAAGCCAAAGAAGCAGATTATTTGATGGAGTTTTGAACCTTCAGTGTCTGCGATGGCTGAGTTGTTTTATGAATGAATTTCTGGTCAACGCGTTTCACAACGAGTGATGTTAACTGAAGTGGGGTTATTTTAATTTTGAAGGTTTGTGAGGATTGATTGATTGATTTCAGACTGACATTTATCACGGACTGACATCACTTGGAGAAACACTAGAAACCTGGAAACACTGGACAGCTGTTTCGTTCTGGTATAGCACTCCTCAGCAGCGCACATATATGACCCTTCCAGGGGTCGAACCTAGGACCTTCGATTTTTGTGGACAGCACTGGGTCACTTTCGTGACACAACTTGACGTTCATCCAATCCTGTTGATGATTATCAGTTCTCGCCCCCAGCTGACGTCAGTCCATGATGGGGATTAACTTGAAATCAATAATTCCTCACAAACCCCAAAACTGAAATATCTAATTTCACTATTGTTTTATTCCCTCTTGTTCATTTCTTAAGGCCTAACTATGACTTTTGATGATTTCCTTCCTTATTTTACTATGCTTTATATTCGTGCCATCTACCGTGATTTGTTGATGTGAGATGTGGCAAGCTGAATTACCACTCAGTGTCACTGAGTTGAAAATCAATACAGACTGACTGATTATACGGCATAAAATGAGAAATTAAACTACATACTCGGTGATCGGCATCAATTTTCACTAAGTTGATCCATCTAATTTATAATCTAACTAGTCAATTTCGTTGGCAGAGTTTAAATTCACTACCATTTCTGTATGGCCCAGAGACTTGGAGCGTTACGAAAGGCATTTCCAACAAACTACAGACATTCATCAACAACTGTCTACGCTGGTTCGTCACTGAAGATCAGATGGCCAGAAATAATAAGCAACAAAGAACTCTGGCCCGGCAACGAACCAACTAAGAACATATCGCTGAAAAAATATGCAGGAGGAAGTGGAGATGGATCAGGCATACACTGAGAAGACCGACTGGGGACATCACATCATAGGCGAGGCTGTAGAGTGAAACCCAGATAGGAAGCGATGAGTTGCGCGTCCAAGGTGAGGCTGACATGGAGGAAATGGTGTGAGGAAGAAATGAGAGCTTGTGGGATGTCGTGGAGCAAGGTTCAAAAGGTTGCAGAGAAGTGCAAAGTGGGATGGAGGTGTGCTACTGAAGCCCTATGTTCCATTACGAACCCAAGGGATAAATAATAATAATAATAATAACCATTTCAAATCTCCAAATGATATAGGAACATATTGCACTTTGTGTTTGCTTTCGTGACTCCATTTTCACTCTTGTAAAGTCTTACAAGGCGTTTTAATTTCAAAGAGGAAAAAGGATATATCAGGTCTATAAACCAACCCGCAGAGCATTTTCAAACCATATCCAGATGACGAATAACAAATCATCACTTGCAATAAGACTCAAAGTAGACTATTTAATGTAACAAATTGATGAATAATCCTTCAAAATTGTAGCATTTCAACTCTCTACACTCACTAATTCTGCCTACGTTTTTATAGATTTCACATAAAACCTCTTATTTAGCTGTTCATCCTACACGCTGTATAATATATTGAAGTATGAAGAATGCTGAAGAGAAGGTTTCATTGCATAATTTTTGAATGAATAGAAGTCACATGACAGTGTACAGTCTCAGTAACATCAAAGAATCTAAGCTGTTGGTATAGTTCATATCCGATTGTGAAGCCATTTGAACCACTGCACTTAACTGTTCCTTTAAGAAAATTAGAGATGTTCATTCGAGAAGTTCAGTTGGTAACTAGTCTAGTTGGCGGATACAACATGTCAGACGGTAGTGACATATTATTCCTCAGTTTCACAGCTTTTGACTGTTACTTATTGATGTGAGAAACAATCTATAGCATTCTATTTAAGATTTGTTTATTTGATTTATATTACCCAGTGATAGCATCACTATTGTGACCTATTAGAAAATGTTCGAATTCCAGACTGGTAAACTCTAATGGCTTGCATATAGAAGTGGATGAAAAAATTTTTAGTTTCAGTGTATCAAGTGTTTATACCTAATACCAATGAATATAGCACTGGAGGTAGTCAGAAATCAACTAATTATTGACTCAAAGCTTACTCACAGAACTAAGATATCGGTTGATGAGATCATATTACGAAAATAATTATCCTTGACCTCCACAGTCTTCAAGTTTCAGGACAAAATATATAGACAAACAGAAGGAGTAGCAATGGGATCATCAATATCCCCAATTGTAGCATATATATTTACGGATAGTTGGGAAAACATGGCTTTACGAACGTTTAATCCTACACTAAAAATATGGTGGCGATATGTGGATGATACATTTACTACTGTGTTGAAATCGGAATATATTGACAATTTTCTCACACGTATAAACTCAGTAGTAGCCTTAATCCAATTTATTTACGAGGTAGAAGATGAGCAGGGAGAATAACCTATGCTAGATTGCAGGATAAAATGAAGGACGGACTGTGGTTTGGATACTACTTTCTACAGAAAACCGACACACTCCAACATTTGTCTGGACTTCAAGTCATCTCATCCAATGTCTGTTGAGGCAGGTTTAGTCAAATGTCTAAATGACACACACACATAGAGAGGAGTAATCGTGATATGCACAGTTAAGGAAGGTTGATCATGTAGTTAAGTAGCTACAAAAACAAATGACCTCAACAGATCCGATAAGTGCAGATGACAAACATCCATCTTCGTCTGTCAATAAACATATACTAAAAACTAACCATGCGTTAGATATGAAAACAGCCTTTAAAGTACAACATAAAAGTGGTCAGGGCTGAGTGCTTAAATTCATTGAAGCTATGACCATCCATAAATTCCAACCCCCTTTATGTATACAGAAACAATTTGTACTCACGTTGAACCTACCTTGGCAGTATTGATTCTAATTTTCATATCAAGAGTAAGGTGATTAACGTTTTTTTCTTTTTCTCTGTCCTATTCCTGTGTTTCCTATTAACTTCACTGACCCTTTTCGTAAACTTATGTATAAGCAGTTCAACAAGTCCATATGTGATCAGATTGTTTAAAATGTATAGCGCTAATACATCACATGTTTCAGATAATCATCTTCTCATTACGCTGTTTAAATTTATCAAAGGGACCAGTTGTTTTAAACGACAGAGCTAGAAAACTAACTAGTCATGAAAGGACCTAAACAAGGAACTGAAGCACATTAAAGAAGCCTCAATAATTAATAATTATCATCTGCAGTTTATTAAGAAGTTCTTACGAATACACAAGAAATGAAAAAATAACAATAACAGGAATACGAATAATAACGACAACACAAGTAGAAAGGAGTTCACAGCCTCCATTGTGTAACCCTATAAGGAAGGCACATCAGAAATTCTACATAGGATCCTCGACAAAGCTGGAATTAGGGTGGCATTTAAACCTACCAACACACTTAGAGATATGCCTTTTCAGCTGATTGACGGATCCGATAGAATCAATTAAGCAAAATAATCTCATCTATCAAATTCTATGTAATGACTGAGAGTTAGATTAAATACAATAAGGTGGGTGGGATAAAACTACTGAACTTAAGTCCAATAGAACTAGGTGAAGATTGAGAGAGAGTGAGAGACTGACTACTGAATCTTTCTTTGTTCATCGAATCACCCAACACATGTGATGGAGATGACGCAATACCTATACCAGGGATATGGAAAATTCTACGACCAATAGAAACGAAGAATAAAAGGTGACGGAACTATTGGAAACGAATGTTGAAAGTAGTGTGATTACATTGATATGATTATGAACAATGATAATTTATGCTTGAAGGGTAATTAAGTAAGTAATATTGTATCACTCACTGTGTGTTATAAATCAAATAAATAAATCCAATATGGAATTAAACCCTACCACAGTGCCCACGTTTTACGCTTACATATATAAATCTTTCACCTTATCAGAATTTGTAACTATGAGATCCAACATTTGCTTAACAGGCGTCTTTACCAAATAGTAAGTTCTCCAGTGACCAAATACCTCAAGGTCTAGTGGGACCTACTTGACAGAAAGCATTTAGTTTTTCGGCAGTGACTGTCTGTTAGATGAATTATACCCCCTGGTAAGTCTTTCAGCTTGGGATTTCTTCCAGTCGACCTCAGTTAATAAATTCATCAGTTGTCTGCATACGTGAGCTACTTTAAAGCTTGTTCTCTGAATTGTAGTTATCCCGTTGTACATTTTTGAGATATCATCTGAGTGTAAGTTACCAAACTATATCGTGATGTCCTTGATACTCAATAGCAAGAACTGTCTGCATCAAAACAGGGGAAGGTGTGGCTCATTAGTTTAGACAGGTAACTTTTGACTAGTGGCTTGTTGGTTCGAAAGAATCCTTACCTATGGAGGTTAGGGCACACAGTAGATGTGACTGGTTGCCCTACTGCAATAATGTGCACAAAGTTGCAAAGGGAATCATACTAATTAGAACGCCGCATAATGCCTTTCAAGTAGGGCTTCACCACTGTGTTGTGAACAAGAACTCCCGGTTTCAAAGTTGCTTACTGGAAGTAGCTAGCAAAGTGAAGTGTCTATCGCCTTCTGCACAAGGTCAGTATTTTATAGTCTATGCTATTCACTTGCTTAGCTCATACTGGAACGAATTAGATGCTGTAGTTCCACTCCAGGATCGGTTACTTTTACGTGGTCTTTAATCTTACACAGGTTGGAGCATCGATAAATGAATCATCTGGGTTAATAAGGCTCGCTAGACAGTTGATGATTTGCCAACAGTCCTCATCATGAGCTTTAACTTTTATACCTCATGTGAATAGAACTACAAACCAAGTGACTAGAAGGTAACATCCCAAGCAAGAGCAGCGGTGGTACGAGGTTCGATCCGATAAGAGGTCCAGAACGTAATGTGCTAAACAATCCTAGACTAGAACAGAGTGGGAATCTAGCGTTTTCAAGTCCTCATGGAGTATCCAGGTGGCATCAACTACCTGTAAAAGTTTATCTACAAGCCAGACAGCTCTCTTCAAACCGTTTTGCTTAACAGTTGAAATGAAATCGACAAAATTCAATGTTTGTTACGGCCGAATCAGTTCATTTGCCTGAAAAGATTTTGAAAGACAGTTTATTGGCTTCGGAGCTACCTCGTGAACCGAATTATCCCAGTAATGTGACGATTTAACTACTGGAGACGAAACACACTTGTTACTGTATTATTCCATTAACATCAGTGTTATCCAAAGGAAGAAACATCACACCTTGAAAAATATATTATGAGATTAGAACTGTGAACTTTTCAGTGAAAAATTTCTTGATATACTATAAAAAACCATCTTGGAGGTTTTCGACTGGAGGAAAGGGGTAGTTGATTTCAACGTAATTTTTATCATAGACTGATATCGGTCGGAGAATAATAGGAAAACTGGGAGCACCTCTCAGTCGTTTTGTCTTACCTTGTGACTACTCAGCAGCGCAGGTATATGAACTAAAGACAGTCAGGTTTCATGCCAAGTACGTTACGACTTAAAAATTGGGTTTATATCTAATAGTTTACTACTTCCATTCGTGATACAACGAAAACTTCATCTTATGTCATCCGGTTGTCCTTCCAACTTGGAGAAACCCATATTAAAGCAAGCCCTTAGTGATCATTAGGTAGTAAGTCAACTAATGGTCTGTTGAAACTGATAAATAAGAAAGTAGTTTTGCTCTAAGATAAACTTTTTGAAGCTGTAGTGAGAATTCATGACCTAAAGAGTCAATTACTTTGAATCTGAAGACAAGTAATCACCGATGATATTGTATGATAGTCACGCTATATCGTGAATTGACCTGAGTGGATCATTACTACATTTGGGAGTTAACCCAGTCGCCAGTTTTCTATAACTGTCTGACTATAAGCGATTTAAGAACGGGGTTTGGCTTAGTGAGTATTAATGCTGACCTTGAGCTTCATTGGTTTCGCTTATACCTGCCCAATCCCATATATTTAATTCCCCCACACGATAAGTCGTGAATTTTGGCCGTACCAACGCTTTTTAATGCAACAAAATGTCTAGTTCTAATCACCTGTATATCTTAAGGGATCTTATCCATCTGCATATAGCACTAAATTACTTTACCATAGCGCAGCATCAGATAAAATGGATAAGAACTCACTCGCTGGATGTCAACATTCTCCTTGTGATAGAAAACTGTACTGAGCTTGTTCCTTCGTAGAACTGTGAATGTATGTTACTAAGACATCCTAAAAAGAGGGCGAAAAAGTTTCCCAACGCTTATACAACTGACGTCAATTTATGAAAAAAAGCCTTTCCTTCGCTATGCTTCCAACCCTCCGGTTCCATCTGACCAGCTTGACTTTTCACGACATTATTATTGCCTCTATGTTATTAATTTTTACGGATATGGCTTTACTATTCACCTGATTTAGTATTATATACATGCATTCTGATGTCTAACAATTTCCTAAATATTAAGAACCAAACATTGATGAAACATTTGTGTTTCAGTTGGTCATAGAATTCTTAGAGTTGAACTGTTCCTCGCTCCCTTCTATTATTGTCTCTTTCAATAGGAATTTTCAAGAACGTGCAGAAGGTGTACTGAATGAATGTTATCGTGAGGATGAGCATCGTACACAGCTAATTATTAATCATGAATTAATTTACTATGGTCGTAGTTCAGTAATCAAGTTGGCTGCTGAGGGACAGAGTATCAAATTCATGGCACATCCATGTTGTCAAGATTTTCTTACTAATACATGGAGTGGTAATTTATCGACAAAGAATAGTGTATTTCGGGTAAATTCTTAAAAATAATACTTTTTTTTGTTTTCTTAATTTTTCTACAACAATGCTTATTTCATTTATATAACGAATTACAAACAAAATAATGGGGGGGGGAAAAACTTGATTTTATTGTTTGAACCCAGTGGAAACCCCGTGAAAAATCTGTCAGTGGCACTAACAGGTACTTAGTTGCCTCCATATATTTTCATTTCTCATCAGAACTAATAACATATGCTCCTGGTCTTGACTGAGAATCACTCACCAATTTGGTGATGCGAATAATGTACTGGATGAATGACCTACTGTTGTGGGACTTAGTTACATGAGGGATCGTGTGTACTCAAAATGGACTTGTCGGTCAATTTGACGAAAATAGTCTCCTTTTGTAACACGAGTATTACTAAGAAGCTGTTAGCTTGACAGTAACCGGTTTTATCAATCATATGATAAATTCTAAGGTTATCGGAAGTTAAACGGAGTAGCCTGCGACAGTTTCATCCGCCTAGGTAACACAAGATGTATATTTATTCTGATATATACAAATATATACCGCTTTAATCATTTCTCATCAAAGGACTTTGAGCGAAACTTGGTAGTTGCTTAATTGAAGCATCTTCTAAACTTATATAAAGAAAGAAAAATGATTGGAGCAAAATAACATGGTACTGTTTTAATTTCGCCAGTTCCTCATCAGCTGTTGACATCCTAAAAGGGGTTAAGCATCATATCACAAAGAATTTGAGCATACTTTTTATTACTGGAATGAATTTAGTTGACAAGTAACAACATAGTCAAATCCAGGTAAACGGTGAAAAATGTCCGTTGAGTCATAAAGAAAAGAGATATTTCAGGGGAGAACATTTTCTTTGTCAATAACATCATTTTCCGAAAGCTGTACAGTCGTATTTATATGTATCTCAAACATATAACAGCCTATTATTGAATTATAAGGTATAGCTGCATCATTAAACTAGTGCTAAAAGCTGAGATCAAGAATGGAGAGTAATTGCATAATACTAGTTTGGGCAATGAAATAATGAGAGTTTGACTAGGTGAAAACTGTTTTTAGACGATGAATACAGAACTTGACCGTTCACTTGGTAGATGTAACGAATGATGAAGGTGATAGCAGCAAACGGACTAATTCTAATGGAGTAGAAACAAATTGTAAAAGTGTTAAGACCATGGTAACATAAGAGTTTGAATATATTTTTTCTGTGCTCAAAAATCAGGCACAACTGTCGAAGGTATACTACTTTTGAACGATTCTCTTTGACTTTGTAAATGAGACACTAAAGGAGCGCTCTGGTAGAGCCATGTTTCTGTTCAAAGTTGACTGGATATTCAAGAATTCAACTGCTAACTGATTTACATTCTTCTCTTGACAACCAATCAGGATAGTGCCCAGAGATACATGCTGTGAGACCTATCTAACTATCTCCAGATAAAACTAAGCAGATATATGTTAAGAAGTTCCAGCTGTAAGTGTGACTGAATAAAAGAGTTTGAGAAAATACCATGAATAGTGACAGGAGATTAAGTTAAAAAGTTAAAGCTTCGGCTGTTTGGTGATAATTAATAGGCAGATTACGTAATCATATAACGAGTTGAACTCAGTTGGCAAAACGACTATCGAAATTTTATAAAAACAGAAAAAGGATTCAGTCAACAGATGGTTTTATCAAACACTCATGGTCCTTTCTTCATCCAAGTTATTAAGTGAGAGCATGTGTATGAAATATGTAAATTTCGGTTCCAACATATCTGTGGGACCCAAATCGCTTATGTTGTAGAGTCAGTTGAATTAATACTGAAACACACCGTAATTTAATATTGACTTGTGTAGTTATTGTGGACACTGAAATGTAAGCCTTTTCTCAAATTATTGACCAGCGGGTGACCGATCTAACTGTTAAGTCCTTATTGTTCAGATATGACCGGAGCCTATCGAGTAAGTTTGCGATGTGACCATTAGGCTTGGTAACACAACACTACAGTGCACTGTGACGTTAAGCACTAAAGGCATAGGCAGCTACACAGGTTACCTACCGGGGTCGAGTCCGTTTATATAATTCAGTCCAACAAGGGTTCAGTTCTGGCCAGGATAGCTTGGCTGTTAAGTCTTACTTGAAGCATTTTGGTGCCCTCCAGCATTTTCAGTGATTCAGTGCATGACTTTGGACTTGAAGTGACCGAGTGAAATAATCGTAAGTATGCGAATGGTATTAACGTGATGAGATACTTGGACTGGGTACAAATGGTGATTGTTCTCCCTCAGTACCGTATACTTCACTCAACCATGAGATTGTTATAAGACAAAGACCGGTGTGTAACTGTAAGTAAGGCAGTTTATTCGACAAAAATACATTATTTATCTACAGTTGTCATGAACATACGAAATATCTAGGTCAAAAGATGAATAGCCTATTCTGATTGGCCAACTGTAAGATACAATTGTCCGATAAAGTTTTTCCTGACCATGCAGCTACATCAGACAAGAACTGGAGTACAGAAATTTCTACTTTAGCGGTTGATGACTAAAAATGTCGATTTTTATTTAGGCCTCTTTCTATTAAAACTATTAGAAGGAGTGCTTCTAAATTAATCCGTCCCTCACTAAACTTTTTACTGATAAGCCCTAAGTTGTTAAGCAGACTAAAACGTTTGGGGTTGAAGTAAGGTATTTTCCTAGGATAACTAACTCTAATCACTCCATAAAGGTGCATGTCTAGAAAATACAAAGTTCAAGGTGAAAACTCCTCCCAGGAAACGAAATTCAATCTCGAAGTCCCCCTCAAGGTACTTTTAGAAACGGAAACTGTCAGATAGAGTTATATATTGTGCCTAACACTGATTTTAAAAAGCTGTCTAATATGTATACTACTGATTGAAATTAGTAGTTACTAATGGTTTACCTCGACGACTAGTCATATAAAGGTAGTTTATGAATCCTACGGGTGGAATTTCACAATTGGTTAACTTCTAACTGAATCATTCTCACCTTGAAAGGCGTAATTAATCAGACAACTTATTTCATTTTGCGTTAAAACTCAGTTGAGTTAATGTGAACTATTCTGTTATTTTGGTCGGTGTCAGTCCCAATACATTAGTGCTGAATGCTAGCCCAAATTAGTGACATAACTTAGATACTTTCCAGTCATTTTCATAAAGGAATCCAAACTTCATGTCATGTTTATATTTTACACTTACTATCATATGTCAGCTATTCTACGTCTACAAGTGTCTAACTTCTCTCCTTTTTTCTTCCTTTCATTATAGTATTTTATGGGGATTGTTTGTGGCTTAACACTGCCGTTTTTAATTCCCAAAGTTATCTTGTCTAAACCAAAATCTGGTACAACAGTTGAAGGAGAGGTAAGAATTATGATTAAACTTCCTTTGCTTTGCCAAAAAGAATGTTTATGTCAGTTAGAGAAATTGTGGCTTAACGGTTTGACCATTTGTCTATCAACCAGTGAGTCACGGGTTTCGAACCCATTCTGTCTACTAGGGTTTGATAAGTTAGGTAGTATCATTAACCGTCAAATAATAAGTGTAGTTGTTTGTTTTCAGTGCCAGTAATCCAGATGCTTGTAATTTGGGAGTAAATAATGACTGATAGACGTTTCAGTGTCGAGTTAAAAGTACATTTGTCAAAGTACACGCAGAAATTGGACACTTCAAAGCTAAAGTATGATATCATGGAGTAACTTAGCCAATCGTTCATTCTCGAAAAATGTAGGCTACTGAAAAATCCATTCTTCATCATTAATCTGCTTTCATTACTCTTACAAACATCACTAGGTTTATAATCTTTGTTTTATTTGAAAAGTAATATGAGCGGAGATATAACGTAAAGTAGTGGAGAATATTTGTAGCCGAAGAAGCTGATGTCCAGACTGACTAGTTCACGGAGTTGAGGTTTCGGTTAGACATCATCATTAGTGCTACACAAGAAATCGAAATCAATTCCCTATACATGGGTATTTTTAACATTCTTCTTTGCCTGGGTCAAATTTGACTTGTTGTTTGGTGAGTGTGTAGGGGACTGCTAAACTTGATTGGTTAAAATTCTCCTACTAGTTTTCTCCTCTAAGGATGTTTATTATAAATATACATGCACAGTCAACTTACTTCAATTATTTATGAAGCATTGATGATGATGTATGGTATGACACTGTCTAGTTTGCCAGCAATACTTTAGATGAGAGGAGGGCAGCCCATAGACACACAGACATATAAGACTTAAGGGTTTGACATAACTACGTATAGGTTTTTTTGCAATACTATGTCTAAATACATAGAGGTACCGGGTAATGGGAGAAAAGACGAGGAAGTTTTGGCAATAAATGAGGGAAAAAGTTCAAAACAATGAGAAAAGGTGAAAGAAAAGGTAACAACCAAAATCATCATTTAAATTTTCAGCTAGTGAACTAATACAGAGGGTAGGTGCATCCAGTCTGTACCAGGTTTATTGAAGTTTCTAAACTTTACTTGTCCACAGTAGATCCTAACAGAGAGGCCTGCACCTTCATCTATCGTTCTAATCAGCAATCAAATAAAAGGTTATAAACGACTGAGCGACTATTCATCACTTAAGAATGCTTAATTCGTATATGATTTGAAAACTGCATTCTCCAACTTGATATTTCTCACAACGGAGTTGTTTCTTAACTTTCCAGCAGTTATTTCAATAAGGTTTCCGCTGGAAAATATTCACCTGAGATCATAAGATATGATCTCTGGCACAAAAGTGTCATGAACTGGTGTAAGTTACTACTACTTGAATAATTTGAAACTGCTTAAGCCAATCTGTAAATTTCGGCTGTATGAGCTGAGTTTGTCCCAGTACACAGCTGACGAGCTCGGTTCAAGATGAGTGAAACTACCATACGATTTTTGGATCCATCTGATCTGGCTGATCAAACCTACAGGTAAGCCTGGGTGACTTCTAACTACTCAAGTGGTTAGGTAGTAGTATAATTACTTGGGAATGTCGTTTACCATCTGCTATTTAGATTCATTGAGCTAACTAAAGGCATGGAATGGAATGTTTCGACTTGTGTTAAGCAATACTTCCTTTTACAGTTTATCCCATTGCCAACTGAAAGAGTAAAGCAATAAAATGCTTGTGTCAGATATTTGTTTGTTTTCAGATGTTCTGTGGAGTAGACATAATAATCTGAACATGGTGGACGGTGACCACACGAATCAGTTTGATGTTGTGCAGCGTAGTGCATCATTTCAATTTGGTCGGAGTATCATGCTTAATAAATACTATTTTATTTGTGAATAAAAAAAAGCAGAGACCAAGGATGTTTCTGAGCATATGTCGACAAACTAATAATTTCAAGGTTTCCAGTGGGCCAAAATTACTCAGTGAATTTGGAACACTTCACAATTGCCGATCTCATGATGTTGTTCATTTGAAGAAAGAAAGCTCGCAAGTGATACTTTCACTCAGTAGACTGTCTTTTTACTTTTGTGGAGTCTTCAGGTGTAAACACTTTAGTTACCCGATCTATACAGGAAGTCTAAGCAACATTATCAGCTCGAACTGAATAAATGGATGCATCAACGAGCAATTGATCACTTTATCCTAACTGCCTTGGTCCCGAATGGTGCTGTGGCAACATGTAGTACTGAATTTTCTGGGATTATTTTCGTTAGCCAGATATCTATGTGACGCTTTTTATTGGCCGATAGATATGATCGATTTTCATATATCTACTGATCATCTTCCAACATGGGATCTCTCAACCTTCTTACAGTTTACCATTATTATTATTTTTCCCTTGGGCTCCCAGTGCAACATACACCTTCAGTAGCACGCCTCCATTCCGCTCAACCATTCTCTGCAGTCTTTTCAACCTTGCTCCATGACTGACCAGAAACTTTCATTTCTTCCTCACACCATCTCATCCATGTCATCCTCACCTCGGACGCTCAACTCATCGTTTCACCTTCGGATTCCACTCGACGACCTGACCTGACATGTGGTATCACCAGTCGGTCTTCTCAGTGTATGCCCAATACATCTCCACTTCCTTCCAGTGCATATTTGTTGGATGATAGGTTCTTGCTTCGTTGGTTCGTCGCCAACCAGAGTTCCTTGTTGCTTATTCTTTCTAACCATCTGATCTTCAGTATTGAGCGTAGGCAGATGTTGATGAATGTCTGTAGTTTGTTGGAAGTGCTTTTTGTGACGTGCCAAGTTTCCGAGCCATACAGAAGCACTGACTTGACTGGATTGGTGTTAAAAATGCGGATGTTGTTCTTTGTGCTGAGTGCAGTAGATCTCCCCACTGACTTCAGATTAATGAATAATAATTTTTTTGTGGTTTTACCTAATGTCATCGATAAACATTTCTTCTTCTCCTTCGAGAAATATCTGAATATGCTTATTCAATATTCTGTTATCCGTTTCTTAACTCTAGGAATCAGGAGCTGCTGCTGAACAGCATGGATCTGCGCAAGTTCATGCGTCTACGTATGTGACTGTTGAAGATGCTGGTAAAAAGGGGTAAATTTACACATAAATATGTTTATCACTTAAAATTTACTAGTGATTACCTTTGAAGTTACTGCCCTTACTCTGGAGAACCAAATCACTCGCATTTCCTACTAGCACTTATTCTCTAATCAGTTTTTGATGTTAATATATTCACATAATTGGTCCTGTAAATGTGTTCTCACTAATGAAGTCATTCAGTAACCATGTGCATGTATATACCCTGGGCCAGAAGCTTAACGTGTTTAATATGAGTGCGTGAAACTACCCGGCTGACAAAATGTCCGCAGTTGGAGTAGCTTCCAAGTCTATAGCTTTTTAGTTGAAGTTCAGTCACCTAAACTGGTGACACAAAGCTTCACACCGTGGAAGAAACTGTTAGCTTGAAGTCGTCATAAGTCAAGCAGTTGACAGACTTATATGTTAAACATGGTCATTAAAATATTCTTTTATCCCTTATAGTTCAGTGTCAATCCACGTTAGCTGAAGCAGCCTGGAGGTGGACGACACCATGGAAAGTGGTAAACAAGGTCAATGTTGTCTACACTGAGCTATTTGCTGAAAGTAAAAAATGCTAATATAGCCTTTAAACTTCCATTAAACTGTCATGGCCATGGGACCGAAGAATGGCTGCAGAACTGTAATTTTCCAAGTGGTTTCTTTCAGTACTTTACTACTGCTATATAGAATCACACATTTCTCTCCATTATTTAAACTAAACGTTACTTGTTAGCATAAGAAACCTGTAATATGACTTATTTCCAACCTCTAAAGCTTAGAAAGAAACACCTCGTAGAATTTCTGACAAAGAATAAAGTAACAGCTGCACAGAAGCTTCAGTGACAGACAATGAGGATCAGGAAGTCTGCTTCAGCAGCTTTCCATCAACTGCGTTCAGCTAGGTAGTACCTGTAGTGAACACAAAGAGAAGTCAAGTAAACCAAATTATATCAAGTTAATTTTAATTACATTGAATATTTCCATCTAGACGTTTAGAAAAAGACTGATTGAGCGAAGAAGTGTATTCCTTTTCAATAAGGTCTTCATCTTCGGCTCTACACTAATATATAGTTTTACAATCTAATCAAATTACCAATCACGTGGTGATGTTTCGGAAATTATGATGTAAATAATCATTAGAGTTACTAAAATTAGAAATATGAAACCAGCTTTTCTTTGGTAAATGGAGTGACTTTAATGAATGTTCAGTCCTCTACAATAAGCGATTATGTGATACTAAGAAAGTAAATGAATATTAATGGGAACAAGAAGGGGAAGAGGTATACAAAGTAAACCTAGAAGTTACATCATGTTGCCGGTCATCGTAAGTGAAAGTGGTCGAATAAACTTCTTTCGGATACAAAGGTTAAATTTGTAAAGGTGGATTGGAATAGCCTGTGCTATGTGAAGTAATCAAGTGCGTAATCCATGAAGTAAATTAACTGGAATCTGATGGATGATTTTGAAGGCTTTTCTAGTAACCACTTGATGTACTGTGTCAACTAAGTGTGCAAGTATGGAGCTGTTTATAGTTTTAATTTGTGCCTTGTTCAACCATGATGAGTGGTGCTCATAAATTCGACGATGGAACTGCCTCATTGTACGCCCAATGTAACTAGCTCCACAGGAGCAGTTGAATTGATAAATACACATCTAAGTGGTAGAATCAGACAGTTTGTCTTGATTTCTTGCACCTAGAATCCGGTGGTTGTAGAAGGTGGGACATAATTTATCGGCTGGGAATGCTTTATGCAAGACTCTTTTTACGCATTGTGTGATGATCTCAATGGCAATGTCACTCTTAAATTCCAACTTCAAGAAGATTTGCTTCTTAGAAACTGTTGGCATTTGTTTTCTTAACCCTCATAATATTCATGTGCTTAGTTACAAACTTGTCTGGGTAGCCATACACTCAGGCATGAAAAGCTATATATTATGATACGAGATAGTAATACCAGTGTTATGAATCATAATTGGTTGCTTGAGTGTTATCTCTTCGGTACTATCCACTATAATCTCAGCATATTACAGTGTGATCTCAGAAGGCGATACTTATTAGCACTCCAGAGTCAACGTTGATTGGCTTGATTATCATAAGATTTGGAAGTAGGATGAAGGATCTAATACTATTCGAGGACAGTTAATAAGTGTTCATATCAGACAGTAGTTAACATCGGTCAAACTTAGTTTAGTTAGAAACATCCTGAATTTTCAGATTTTAAAAACACAGAACTAGAGTAACATCACCACGACAAAAACTCAAATTTCAAGTTGTACAAATAAACAACATTACAAACATAAGGAAGAATGTACAAAATGTGTGAGGAGAAAAACTGATGAGATGCAAACATTATTTTTTAATTTAAATGGATGATAAATAGTTTCATGTAGTCTCCGCATACTTTTATGGAACGACAGTAGAATGATCAATCATGTATGTATTCGCGTACAAATTACCTTGAGTTAATCTCACCAATATGATGTCAGCACTTTAAATCAGAAAAATGCAGTTTACAAGTGATCCCTTTTATTCAGTCCCTTGAAGATGTGATCAGCGCTTTACAATCATCGGTTTCTAATGTCTCCATAACCACTATTGGTTAGACTAGACTGATACCAACAATCAGTAGTTTCAAACGTTGGAGACACAGTTGATTTTAGCTATCCATAATTTTGGAGTGTGTGGTATCTAGAAGGGCTTTTCGCGATTTCGAATCACCTTGGTTGGCGTAAGTTCAAAACTGGACCAATTGAATCACATCATTTGCCTTCCAAGTATGTCATTAACTTCGACCTTGACTTTGAATAATTCCTTGACATGTCGACGGTGGTTCAATGACGTTTGTAACTGACTACCTGTAAATTCCTCACATATTCAACTTCAGCTTCTGTCTCATAGCCATACAGTAGAGCAGGGCATACCGTTGTGCAGTATGCATACTCCGTAAAAATTATCTAATTATATCATTGGTTAAGTTTTTCTCGTAGCTTGTTTACGTCACACTCAGTCAATCACAGGTGGTGCAGCCATGACGATGAATTTATGTGGTTAGAGTCCCCAACCAACTTATCAGCTATACCTAAACTAGGTTTTTATGAATACACCAGCTGTTTAAACCTTAACAAAAACTGGCCACTGGAGGCTTAACTGTACATCTGCCAGGTGCTAAATGCTTAATGCTGACCAAGCATTTTCGATCAAGTTTGAAGTGAATCAACGCAGACAGGTAATACAATGCTTAGATGCATTCTTCTTGACTTCGTCCTTGAATTGTGCTACCCTAAGCCATCAACAGGTTAAGGATTCCACATGGTTGCAGATATGCCTTGCTGAAGAGTGCTGACAAATGCAAAGCGCACTTATGAGGTTTCCTGCTGATGAATTCCCAGCATATAACACTAATAAGCTGTTTTGGTCTTTTCCTATTAACCTAACTAGCAATACTAATGCGTATTAACAGTTCATCTCAAAGGATGGGTCCAAAAGGGTACCAACTAGTATTTAGAGCTATCATCTGGGAAACGAAGAAGCAGCAATACTTGCTGAGGGCACCTGGGACATTTGAACCTAAGTACAAAATGAATGACTTCAAAATGGCAATGATACTTAGGTTGGAGGTGTCGAGTTCATTATCAAGTTCTGCAATCGATCCAGTGTCCTAAAGTATAATACAAATTAACTGCCCAGTTCCCCGTCGATTTCTGCAAATGTTCGACTCATTTCACTTATAAAGACAAAATTTCAATGATTTTTTATGCCAGTATATATCTGTCTAGTCATGCCACTGCCAATCAAGGCGGACACTAAGTCACCTGTTATTTTTTCCAACATTTCTACATACTAACGAATATTTCAAGTAGTATAACAGTAATTTCTTAAATTTTAGTGTTCGGAAAACCCTACAAGTCAGGACATTAGAATATATTTCTCAAATTCGTGATTTTTATATGGCTCCAGTTATTCGCTTTGTGTACAATACAGTAAGTTTCAAGTTTTGACTGTTAACTCCATTCTAACAAATCAAAATTTTACCTAATTAGAGTTTACTACTTGTCATTAATCAGTAGTATGAAAGCCAAACTTTCAACATTAGTTGCAGTACACTGAAATTCCTCACTGTCAGGGAATTTATGGCCTCTGCTACCTTATGCCTCTCCAAAAATAGTCTTATATAGTGTTTATGGATAGCAGTGACTGATTGAGTTTTTCGGTCAATCATTTCTGGAGTCAAGGGTATATGCCAGGGAGTTTGAATTTTCTGCGTTGTATCGCAAGACCGATTATTGGTGCTAATAACCAATACATGTCAGAAGAGGACAAACGAAGGTATTATGGATTTATTTCAGCCTCCGGTCTCTAATATAATTGCGAAGACGGTGTAAATCGACGGTAATTTATATGGAGGGGATGGCGATCACTAACAAGGACGGCGATAAACAGCTAATTAAGTGCTTCTTTTGGAAAACATTCACAGGGCTCAAGGAGCACGAGTTGCCTCCACACTCTTATGAGTTTTAAACTGTCAGAATTCTGAAATCTTATATATATATATATATATATATATATATGCCAAGAGTGGACCTACTTTTAATTTTATATTTACACTGGCGACCAACAGTGGAATCCAAGACGCACGTTCCGTCCTATATAGGTTTCATCAGCTAGATGTAACTGTCTCTCAGTGAGTGCTGCTATTCCCTCTGAGACTCGAACCCATTACCCAGCACTTAGAACGCCAAAACATTATTCACTAGGTGACTAGGGCATGATACCCGCCTCTCGCCTTGATTGCTTATCCAAGTACACCAAAAGCTTAGCTGGATTGACACAGGGAGAAGATTGGTCCTAGAAATAAAGTGAGGATGACTAAACACTACCTACCTTTATATGGGGTGGTGACTGCCGGTGAAATGTAAACCTGTGTCACAGCAGGACTTGAAACAGCAACCAGTCGACTACCACCCTCGTGCTATGTTAACTGAGTTATGAGATCCAGATCCAGATAACGTCTTTACTTTATTTGACTCAGTTTAGTTAATCCACTCCTAGACTGGTAGTACAAAGGCCACTGGTTTGAATTCTTCCTTGGACTTGGTTTTTACATCCCTTTCTATCATCACGGGTATCAACGATACCAATAATCCGTCAAATCGAGACAAGATCAGCGATTAGTCTTATCCCTTATTTTAGTTTCTGGCATGTCTGTATGCATACAAGTGAAGAAGTGGAGCGTTTATTTGACTATCGTAAGTTTTAATGAATACGAGACCGTACCGTAAATATTGATTACTTTCATTAACTAGCAAACTTATTTCATATTGTCATTGACAGAGTTCTAAGGTCAGATCTAACGTCAGTACAGAATACCTTCACTCATGAAGATTACTATGCATACAAGCTGAATTTCCTTAGATTCCAACAAGAAGCTGTAGTTTTTGGGATTGTTTGAGTCGGGTTTGAAAGCTATTCCTCACCGATGGTAGTGAACTGACAGTCACACTACGATGGAACAGTTGTAGTGTAACGTAATGGCTGGATGTTAATATGTCCGCTGTGAGGCCTAACAGCCATGATTTTGGTCCCATAGATGCAGACTGGCATGAGCTAACTGTCCAATACACCTTGATATCAGTGAATGGCACTAACTGCTCTAAAATTATTGTCTTTCACAAACTATTTACCTTTCTACACATATTTTGTGTCTATATATAGTGGCAATGTAATTTTAAATAGTCCATTCTATGCAGTAGTAAAGTATTTATCACCAGCTATTAGTTTTCATCTGTTTGTCGTCTTCTCACTCTTTCCTTCTGTTTTCAACACTTTCAGCTATCCTACATGACATTTCTCATCCTGTTCAGCTATCTTCTACTAGTTGACTTTCGAATAAACATTACGGTTGTTGAATATATTGTGATTGCATGGGTGATCACATTGTTTATAGAAGAAATTAAACAGGTAAGCAGTTGTTTCATGCGTTTTTAACCTCTTTCATTGTCGAATGATTTATTTCTCCTCCTAGTGTTGTTACTAGCGACGGTGAGTTGATTTCTGTAAGATTTTTAACTAGGAACTGACATCAGTTAGAGAAGGAGTAAAAACCAGGATGCACTGGATAGTTATTTAAACATGGTTTAGACTTCATCAGAAATACGAAATGAACAAATGACTCATCCTAGTATGCGACTGGTCATCCATGCGTACTCACGACCCCTGGAGGGATCGAACCATAGGCGGTTATGTTTCAAGGAGAAAAGCTCACTGTTGAGCTGCTGGTTTGGAGTCCAGTGGTTCACATTTTCCTACTTCTGTGAATTCAGGATACAAAACAACCATCTTTCGGTGACATCAGTAGGCATTCACTTCGCTTCTGACTTGGTTAACACCCATAGGTGAGATTTTCTGTTTAAAACTTCGCGAAGCCCATCTCTAAGAATGCCAATAATGAATACTAGATAGTAAATCAGTCTTGAGGTTTTTTAGGGATGTACTGACTTGGAGATCGTGAAGGATTCCTGGCTGCAAAGTGCTGAGGAGTCTCATATTTGGATGAAACAGCTATGCAGTGCTACTTAGTTTCCAATGGTTCTCCAACTGATGTCGGTCTGTGAGGAATACCACCTTGAAATAACTAAACCCCAAAACTGAACTACAAATATCTTTTTCTATCGACGGACTTCAGTCATTGGTGAGCATTATCCCACCCATTCTATTCTGTGGTTGTGTGTTAATACATGCATTGCAGTAGCCGAACATTTTTTCTCTACTGTTGATCAAACTGGGGTCTGTCACTCTATATTTAGCTAAATTCATATGTTCCGCTATTCTAACTGATCCTCTCCAACTAGTTTGGCCTATTTAATTGACTTCATAGTCATGAAATGAAATTTGATAGATTAGATTATTTCGCCTAATTGGTTTCATCGGATCCTTAGGGGAGCCGACAAAGTTTATCTCTGAGTGAGTTTGTAGATTTAAATGTCACCCTAATTCCAGCTTTGTTGAGGATCCTCAACAACATAATAGGGTGGGATAAAATCACTGTGTTTAACTCCAATATAATTAGGTGGAGATTGAGAGAGATTGATTACTGAATCTTTGTTCATCGAATCACCCAACACATGTGATAGAGATGACGCGATACCTATACCAGGGATATGGAAAATTCTACGACCAATAGAAACGAAGAATAAAAGGTGACGGAACTATTGAAAACGAATATTGAAAGTAGTGTGATTACATTGATATGATTATGAACAATGATAATTTATGCTTGAAGGGTAACCAAGTAAGTAATACTGTATCACTCACTGTGTGTTATAAACTAAATAGACAAATCTAACATGGGGATAACCTTCCTTTCACCTATCAGTAACCCTATTGGGTAATGTTCATGAACGTGTATGTCACGGCAAATGTACTCTACCCTATATGAAGAAATGACCTTAGAGATAAACAGAGATGGTCAGTACGTCTATTTTCTCCGCATAATGACGACTCATCCATTGTTATAAAAAAGATGATAGACTTATCATTAAGTAGCCTTTATAATTTGAATGCCTATTCTCAGATCCTACTTCCCAAGTTTCTAAAATTCTTTAGAATTTTACCGATGTTATGTAATACTCCTTGACTCTTTTGTTAGACTTATCTTCATGATTCTATTGATAATAACCTTTGACATTAAACTCCATGCATCGAATAATTTATCGTGGGGATAGTTATCTTCACTGTAAATTCCTTTTTTTTTCCTACAGGTTCGTTTAGATCTGAGCACAGAAACAATTTAGTACAGTTGTTGTTATTATAGATTAATCTAATGGGAAGTGGACGTAATACAAATATGCGGTTACATAAGTTAATCAGCGCGGTAATAATATTAGTGATTTCTATAGGAAAACAGTGCATGGTTATGTTGTATCGTTAGCCGACAGAAATAGGATATTGTGGACCAATGGTAGGATGATTAACGTGTTCCCCGCAAAACCTGAAGGTCTAGAATCAGTTCTTGGCAGGGTGATGAGTGAGTAATGCTGAGGAGTCCCATACTAGGACGAAACAGATGTTTGTTGTCCATAAGTTTCCAGTGGTTCTTTAACTAAACACCAGGATTTGTTAGGATAACAAAAATCCCAAAATAGAAAAATAATTATAGGGAAGATTGGTTGCAAAACGCTATGGAATCACTTTTTAACAATAATCACCATCAGTAATGTATGTTATGAGAATGTGATCCATGAAATGAAGGTCCCAGCGATAGGAAAAGAAAATAAAGTGCTGGTTGAGAACACACTACTCACAATCAAGAACCAGTTAAACACAACCTCTGGATGCTTTTTATTCCCTCTTGTGTTATAAATGCGGGAATTAGTCATATATATATCAGTATCAACATAGGACCGGGTAAAGTTGCCACACCTCATATCACTACATCAAGTAGAAAGGTAGTGACGTGAAGGATGGAGATAAGAGAGTGCAGTCAAAAGAAATATAAAGTATGAGAAGAAAGGAAAGAGGAGTGACAAAATGGTGAGATTCAGTATAGCGTTGTTAATATGAGGATAATGTGTGTATACATCTGCGCCACTGACTTCGGTTCTGAGCCATATCACTTAGGGTCTCCAGCCACTGGTTCCTCTTGTCCCGTGGACCCCAACCACCTAGTCTTCATCGCCCTGCATGGCTTAAACCAACAGTCAGAGACTTCATACATTGGTGCCATGTTTTAGTCTGGCCACCTCGAGCCATTTTCCAGCCTGCACCTACTTCGACCAACATCGTGTGACGAGGCAATCGGTGACTGGGCATACAAAGTACGTGTCACAACCATCTCAGTCGATGAAAGTTCACAACCTCGTCAACTGACTCACCTCTACTCCCTAAAACTCTACACCTGACTCCTGCGCTAGTCACGTGGTGACACCACGGAATACGGCCTTCATGATGAAGGCAACACTGGTCAAACACCTGAGGCCTTCTTATGTCTTTCACCTTCAATGGCCATGTTTCTCAGCCACATAGTAGAACCGAGCGGACTGCTGTGCAGTACACGCGACTCTTAATAGACAATCGGATATCACGGCGGCGCCACAGGTTGCGTAAATTGGCAAAAGCCAATCGAGCCTTTTGTATTCATGCAGAGATTTCATCGGCCATTGAGCGACAAGGATTAATTTCCAGGTAAGTGAAGTGGTTAACAAACTCAACCACTTCACTCTCTATTGTTAGCCGCGGCACCGTTGAAGACCAGTCCTGGAGCAAAAATTTGCATTTAAATGGTGAAAACTGCATCCCATATATATATATATATATATATATATATATATATATATATATATATATATATATATATATATGACTTCAGATCCAAATCTGACAGCAAATGCCAGTTCCATAGAGGTTGTGGAAAAATCCTGCTGACTAGAACGAACAAGCATGAAATCACTGTGAAGTAGACCCCCTACTAATTGCTTTTAAGCTACTCACTCTATGAAAAAAACTACCTAGAATATGATATGATTGAAGCTTTACTCATAGGTGTAGAAGAATAAAAACCTCACTGGATAGCATTAAACTCATACTGTCACACATGAGAAATTGTCTCTAGCTGTATTATACTGGAAGCATTATAGTGTGTTGATTATCTCTAGAAGTTTATAAGCGTAGAATGAAGCAATTTTATTGAGATTTATCATTTTACAATGATTTTGATCATTTTTATGAATTTTACTGGATAAATTTTTATCATTTTAAAATGTTTATTTGTTATTTCATTCTGTCTTTCTGTCTTTGATATTGCTATTCACTGATAAAAACAAAATTGACCCACTACTATATTGGATAAATATTAGATTGCTTGGGTAAGTTCTATATATTGAACTGTATCTATGGTTATTTTGCTCACCCCATTCGTACTGTAAAAAAGAAAAATGATAATCACAAGTATCTTGAAGATTTTATCCAACCATTTTGCATTTCATTTTTAAACTATTATGCTTTATTTCATGTTTGTTGTAGGGTTTTACTTCTTTTTTTATCAGGATAAATGATACTTTCCAGACACACAAAAGTATTTGAACGTACTGTTATTCATCGAAGACTGATATCAGTTGGAGGAACAAAGGAAACCTGGGAGCACTGGACAGCTGTTTCGTCCTAGTATGGGACTGCTCAGTAGTGCGCACCCACGACCTCGCACCATCAGGTTCCGCGGCCAGCGTGTTACCATTGAGCCACTGGGTCCGAATCCAATGCTCAAACCAGCGCAAACCGCCACCCAATGTCATCGTTTATATGTGTGTTTATGTGTTGAGCAGTCAAGTGGATGCAGTAATCTTCAGTATGGTCGTCAATCAACACCCAATAACGATTTTAGTATCTAATTAAAGTTGTATGATAGTCAATTTACATTTTGATTAGATAAAAATTTCTCTAGGTGTGGTGTGAGTTTTTCATCTAAGTAGAGAGACAATATGCCTAGTCTTTTGGGAGAAAACACTAGTGAAATTTTTTAATAGTTTTCTCATTTTTATCTAAATTATAAGGTATACGTAATATATTGTTGCTGTTTGTGACTTACTGGTCTAGTGGATAAGGCTCTAGCGTTTGAGGTGGTAAGTTCGGAGCTCTAGTGTTATGTTGGACAACATTACTCAGTGGGAAGCAGGAGCATCCGGTTGACAAGTCCCAAGCAGGACGAAATGCGTATCCTGAGGTTATCAGTGAACGTTATCAAGTAACAATATTAGCTGAAATGTATCAAAGAGGAAGTGGAAAACTGTCACCAGTTATTCAGCATTTCAAACACAATACTTCAAGAAGTATTCTACTATTTAACCATATGATGGGATTCCACCAGCTGGTATTTTGAAACATTTAAACAAAGAGTGATGAGGAAACCGATACTATTTTATCATGTTGAATTCAGTGACCGGCAGCTTCGTGGTTTGATCTCACATCTATATTTAGTGATACGTGATGTTTATTTTCAATCTAATGATACTTTAGTCAACACTTCACTCTAGAGTGGGTGGTGTTAAAGCCTGTGGGATATATGGTCCAATCACATTAGTCCGCTCAGAAATATCCATAAAACTGTTTATCTGCTTTTCATTCAAGAATTCGTTTCATGGCAGCGTCGTTTACTCAATACCTCCACCATATACTGACAGTACCTCGAAGATATTTACAACTGTCTCATATCTTCAGTCTTAATGACTTTGTTTCATATTTGTTGAACAGAACAGTGTAAACTGTAAGACGAGTGTTCGATACCACTTCAGATTTGAAAAAATCAATATGAAAAGGAAATTAGATCATTATGTATTAGTTTTCAGCACACGACAGACGATATGTTTCATTTCCGTATATGATATTTCGATGAAAAAACATTCCAAACAAACAAATTACAACCAAACCCATATCATCCTGGAGGCGGAAGTGAAGAGTCTGCTGACGTACACACACATACACACACAACTCACATTGATTAGTTACTTAGGTTGTTAATCTGATAATTCGGTTAAGAGATATGCAACATGGAGACTGTCACTTTGGCAGCATACTTTACAAAATTGATTGTAGCTGGAGAAAGCGATTCATACACAGGGAATAGGTAGGGAGCAAAAAAATATCACCATTTGGAAATATCAGCTTCAGTGAGTAATGAAGTGAGGAGTTCCCCTCTGTAAGCTCTTTACTGACTTATTCCAAAGGAATCAAAAACTGAAGTTTGGCAATAAGTAAACAGGCTTAGTAGATCAAAAGAATTTTCAAAGCTACTCGATAGCAACTAAGAGTGAAACCAAAGGGATTTATTTCATTCCTTTAACCGAGCATATTCTAATTCCAAAGAAGATTGGTGAACGCATTGGGAACCGGATCCAGCGGTTGGAACTTCCAGAGTAGTAGTAGTAATCTACTGGTTGGTTGGAATTCAAAGGTTACTTTCTACGAGACTTCCAGTAGTTATATGTCAGGATTTCTAAATACTTAGTATGTCAAGTTTCACAAACCGCTGGAGGTTTTCTGTTTTCTGGAACAAGGGGTAGACCGTGAGATCCTATATATCAATGTCCATCTTGTATTCCAGCAAGTCTTCATACTTTTTACAAATAGTGACATAAAAAACAGATATAAGAACAATTTTTCTCCTAAACCATGCGTTCATAAGGTCGTAATAGTGGTCTCAAGTCAACCCAACTACATGAAAGTAGATGTGCACGTTTCATTGTTACTTTCATACGCTTATTTCCACTCCTACAATATTTTTCGTGAGTAATTCTGTCTACTTTAAATTAATAAAGTAGCTAAAAACAAAATCGTAAATAATTGGAGCTGGGATTTTTGCATTAGAGGTGACTCGTGTTCTACCGACAATAAACCAAACTCATCTTTTCGCTTCAATCTTTTTGTACTAATCTCTAGGCTGTATTGTCCGGTATCAGTTTCAGGACTTATATTTCTGATGGATGGAATAAATTAGATTGTGCTGGTTTGGCATTGTATATTGTCGGCTTTATATTACGTTTAGTTGTGTTACTACGGTTGGGTGGAGGAGAGAATATTGATTTTCAACATGAACGCTATTACATTGTAACAGATCCTATACTCGATCCTTCTCGTATCTGTCTTGCAATTAGTCTGTTCACATTCTATATACGCTTAATGTATACATTTAGCTTTCACATTGCATTAGGACCCAAGTTGATCATGATTGGAAAAATGGTGAGTCCCAGTTATCTCCTACTTTGTATTCACTTTTCACTTTAATCATTTCCTTTAAATTGTGTGACTGTTGATATGCACACCTGAGGTTAATTTTAGAATGGGTTAATCTCTGCAAGTGTTGAAAAAGTCTATTCGTTAGGATTGTGTAAGTTTGTTGTCCTTCAGTAATCTTAAAGTAAACCCTGAGATGACCATCACCTCAAAACATGAGTCACTTCATAGACAAACTTTGATTTCTTCGTGCAGTCCAATATGTTTAGGCAAACTACACTCAATTCTCGAATAAAATATAATTCAGGGTGAGTACAGAGTCATTTGGACACTTGACCTTGTTCTAACCTTCATTGTTGCAGTAATTGGTTAGGCAACACTAGAGGACAAAGTCACTGAGGTCAGGTTAAGGAATACTAGAGGAGAACCAATCACTTTGAACATATAACTGGAAGTCAGCCAGAATCACTGGATGTTACAATCAGTAAGGCCCCACTACAGCCCTTCCGTGAACTGTCTTTTTCAACGCGATGTCAGGTATAGTCGAAAACCAAACTTGATTTCATCACCAGCGTCTGCTTTTCATCTTTTGCTTGCTTAAAATGGTCCTATCCAAGTAGAAAATAACTTTAGGGCCGCCTAACAGTCCAATATCCCGATGAAATAGCACGTCTGTGATGTTGGAAGCAATTCTCACTGCTTCAGCCTCACTTTCTATCTGGACGGTGATTTTAGTATCTAGTCATGATGAATGAGAAGTATTTTGTCAGTGATAACTTCATCTTCAAAGAAGATCTAAGACATAAAAATGAATAACCGTCGCTTCATATCATCACTAACAGACTTTTGTCTTCTGTACGCTCCACATATCAACCAGTGGCTTCCTCTGACACTGAGCAGTTATTTTCCTACAAAAAAGAGCATACTTTGTTTGTTCCAGTTAGCTGACTGTCAATACACAATTGGAAAACAAGATTAAGATGGGAAAAACAAGATGCGAACAACATTCATAGATGATATTTCATTGGGCAATGCCCATGTGTTTTGATTGGTCATTCGATGTCATTTAGCAGGTATATTATATATTTGGATAACACTAAAGGTTAAAAAGTCTCATGCATGAAACTGGATATTAGAGAGCTCAAAAACTATTAAAACTACCTGAATACCTACCACTCATTTATTTTCATTATCATAAAAGCAAGGATTATAAGTGACATATATCAGCTAAAATTTTAGCTACTTAAATTCAGCTTTAGTCTGAAATTCTTCAGTGATGAAGCTACTAACAACCAGCTTGTGAGACGTCCTGAGGGTACAAACCGAAATTTAATTTGATAGTGTTCTTAATGATCCTTTATTTTAATATATTAACTGAGACGTATGGAAGTTCTTCTTAGATATATCAGAGGGTTACAAATCCTCTGAACTATATACTTGAACAAAGTAAGCTATTAAAACATAATCTTAAGGTGCGTTAGGCAATTTATCAGTAGTATTCATTCGAGGTGTGCCGCCTTTGAAGTGAAAGCAGAAGTAAGACAAGGCTATCGCCTACTATCGATGATGATCTTCCCTGATTGTGGTCGACTGGATCATACGGCAAACCGTGAGGAGTGAGAAGAGGGACATACGCTGGACTGAAGAGAAGAACCTAGAAGATGTGGATGTCGCCGATGATGATTTATGTCTAATGTCTTGCGGCACAAACTTGAAGATCTACAGGCGAAAACTAACAGGCTGACAGAAGAGGCAGGGTAGCGAAGACGCGACTTCAAGTGGACGTAGAGAAGACGGAGGTGATGAAGATACTCAACCAACAACAGCATCAACAACAAGCACCAGTCACCATCAACAAGGGAAATCTAAAGGAAGTAGTCTCTTTCACCTACCTACCTACCTACCTGCATAGGCAGCATCGTTTCAACTAAAGGCGGCATAGACGAGGATGTCACAGCCAGGATCGGAAAAGCAACACAGGCGTTCATTAATTTGAAATCAGTATGGAGATCTACTGCACTCAGCACAAAGAACAACATCCGCATTTTTAACACCAATCCAGTTAAGTCAGTGCTTCTGTATGGCTCGGAAACTTGGCACGTCACAAAAAGCACTTCCAACAAACTACAGACATTCATCGACATCCGCTTACGCTCATTACTGAAGATCAAATGGTTAGAAAGAATAAACAACAAGGAACTCTGGTTGGCGACGAACCAACGAAGCAAGAACCTATCATCCAACAAATATGCACTGGAAGGAAGTGGAGATGTATTGGGCATACACTGAGAAGACCGACTGAGGATACCAGATGTCAGGTCAGGTCGTCGAGTGGAATCCGAAGGTGAAACGATGAGTTGAGCGTCCGAGGCGAGGATGACATGGATGAGATGGTGTGAGGAAGAAATGAAAGTTCCTATAACTGTATGTTCAATATTGTACACTAAACAGGCATGTATGCAGCAGTACACAAACTGCTGACGTCAAATTACCTGGAGAGCAAGAAAGAGAAGGTGTCATCATTTACCTTTTTATCACAAATTCAAATTCATAATTCAGTATTTGCTAAGACAATTGATTTCCATTCAGTAGTTGATTAGTGTCTTTCTCATCATGAGACTTGATGATCCCATATTGAAACTTGCTTACGGTTGTGTATATACACTTCTGAGGGTCTTAAGACCAAAATAAAACAATTATTATCCATTAGTCTCCAACTGATTTCATTCCGTAGGAAAAATTCTCATCAGTTAAAGTATAGTAGGTTGTCAGTAGGTTGTATTAGCCGCCATCTGGATGCAATACGAAAAGAATAAAAGTAATCTCCGAAAATTTCGCCTAATTTCAGAGTAATCTGTTCCACTCTAAGTCAAATGTTAGGTCATCATCATCATCATCATCATTATCAACATAGGACCAGGCATTACTGCGTAACGGTCCGAGTTGCCACACCTCATATCAGCACATCAAGTAAAAAGGTAGTGAGGCGAAGGATGAAGATAAGTGAATGCAGTCAAGAGGAATATAAAGTACGAGAAGAAAGGAAAAAGGAGTGACAAAATGGTGAGATTCGATATAGCGTTGTTAAGATGAGATGAGATGTTAGGACTTTTACTCAAATCATTATCATAAGTAATATGACTATCTAGATGAGTTTAAGAAGGCTGACTGTTTAACCTGTGAAATGATTAACTTTATAATTTGATTGGTGGTCTGTAGAATGAAGTAGATCTATGATATCGGATGTCAGTTGTTCAGTATTACTAGTCAACAGCAGTAAAAGAAACTAAACCATCTGATTCCAACTCTGGGGTTGAAATGTAAGGAACTACTCGTAAAACCTGGTGGAATTGTACTCACTCATTTTGTGGGTTGAGAGTATACATTTTTTTGGAACCCAGAAGAATCATGTGATAGCCGTCAAGTGCTCTCAGATTTTTAATATCGTTCTAACTGATGATCGGTTATGATGAAAATGAATTCATTCATTTGCGTCTATTGTTGACTGGTTACTGAGTAGAAGTCAATGTTTCACCGGGATTGAACTGTCTTTTTTTTGTACTGTAGACGCCCCTATAACTAGAAAGAAAGTTAGTTGGCTTGAAACAATTAGGCAGGAGACTCTTAACCAACGTCTTATGGTTTTTGTAAATTATCACTGATAAATAAATGTGACTTTTACTTGGAAGCTTCCAATACGCTTCATCTTTTGTCGGAATCAAAGGTATTGCCATTGAGCTATATGATTCAGGGTTGTGAATCTCTTAAGGAAAGTCAGTTTGCACCAAAATGTAGATAATTTCAAGGAGTGTCTAACAAAACAAGACGTGGAATGACAGTTAAGTCTACGAATTCCCACTGACTGTCATCAGTCATCTAGCATACTATAGATCTGTTAGGATCAGTGAATCAGCTAGCATAATGGAGTAACGTCATCTGGTGGAATATTAACAACTCGAGAGCATTGCTAGGCACTGTTCCATCCCGATTTGATATATAGTTAAATAATACGCAACCGTAACTTGAAGAACAGTTGAGCAAAGGACCACATAGATGCATCTCAACCTACTGGCCTACATTTGCTCACTTTATAGTTATAAAATGTACTGAAATTCTGTTTTACTTTATTCAATCCAAACAGGTAACCAATGACTTGATCCCATTTATGATTATTTTAACTGTGATTATGGTTGGTTATGCGGTAGCGGCTCAGTCAATTGCATATCCTAACGGTTTATTCACCAAAGAGAATATGACTTTGAGTAAGTTTAACTGATTACGATAAAGATTCGTGTTATTGAGCTTTTTTGCCGACTGACTAATTTTGTTGTGAAGTTACATATAGTCTGAATTATTGATTCTTAGCGGGAAGATGAGTGACGGAAAGCCACATATCAATCGGATAAATCCCATATCAGATTGGCGCTCTCTCTTAAAAGTACTCAGAATGAATCACTAAATTGGTGATGCATTTTGAACTCTATATATTGAAAGTTATGATTGTGTAGTTTATATCAGTCACGTCATTCAGCGTATCAGTCAGTCAGTCAGTCAGTAACAACATGGGACCCCGCTTCGATGTGAGGCTGCCATACCTCACATTAACATGCGGAATAATAGGAAAAAAGTAATATAATTCAAGGAAGTTTGGAGAAAGTAACAAACAGACAAACCAGTCTGGAAACTAGCACACAAGCACACTGGTTCAAGCTGTCACACTTCATAGTGGTATACAGAGAAAACGTGGATAGAACAAGACTGACATCAAAGTAGACAAAGTTGAGTGAGAGAATAAACAATCTGATGACGAAGGTTAGTGCGAATATTCAAGCTTTAGAAGATGTCAAAGAGTAAATACATCTGCCGCACTGGACTGATTTTCAGCCGTCTCAACAAGTCTTCAACCAATGATACCGATTGCCTCCCGGCCCCCAGCCAAGCAGACTACATCTCTTTACGAGGCTCATTAACTTTTGCCACGTCTTGGTTTGGCCACCTCTAACCCTCTTCCAACATAATCTAGCTTTCCCTAGAATGCTCAGTACATGTCCATGTTGTATCAGTCGACTAAGTTTCACAACCTTATCAATCCATGTGCTTGTCATGCTCTAGTACCCTTTGCCAGACCTTAACATTGCTCACACGATGGTTCCAACAAACGCGAGTAATGCTATAAAGCCACCTATGATGAAAACCATGTAATCGCTTTAAGTTTTCTGCTTTCGACGACCATGTCTCATAGCAGTGTAACAGGAGAAAATGGACTACAGTGCTATATACTCATCCTTTGATAGGTAGTAGGGTGTCTCATCAAAAGGTCTTCTGTATCCCAGCAGAGCTGTCATCAGCAGATGTACTCAAATTTCTCCTCAACGCTTTCAGAAGACCCTGCATTTTGTCAGCACCTTCATCCAACATGACAATATCATCTACATACTCCAAGTCAGTCAGATAGCCTTCAAAGATCAATTACTGTGAAGTTACACCTACCTAAGGTTATGTCTTTTAGTATATCTACAGCTAATCTAAACAAGAACAATGACAGAGGGCATTCCCAGGAAGCAGTAGAACTAATATAGGAAGGAATCGGGCAAGTAATGCGTCACATAATGCTTAAGATGTATATGTGCTAATGAGATTGCCTCTGAGCTATGGATATTGGGTGTTGTGTGTTCACCAACCTGAAAATACAAAAGTAGTACCATAACTCAGCCAAACAGTCAGAAACTTCCTACACCGATCTGGTCCCTCTTAACCTGTTTTGTGGTCGGACTTTGATTCAGTTAAAATAAAACGTCAGGGAACAAGGTGACTAAATATGTATAACAAATATTCGATATGTGTAGCTCAACTACACTGAAGCTGAATTACAATTCATTTGAATTTCATTGTTCATCCTCAGTCACCTGATGTTATCAGATGGAGGTATGAAGTACAAGTTATCTCAACAAAAAGATGCAGAACTTTCTGAGAAAATATCTGTCGTACGATCTCTGGGTAAAACTTACAGCAGAATCAGTCAAGAGGAATAAACTCTTTAAAAGATGTCACAGAAAAGTAGGGAGACTATTAAAACAAGATAAATAAAAATACCAATTATGAGATGATAAGTTGATGACTGAACAACGACCTTAACTTTCAAAAGGTTTGATGGTCGAAAAATCATTATCGATAAAAGTCTCCAGTATGTATACACAACAAGCTTCAGGTGGAATGAAATATGTGAATATTAAGATCTGAACATACGAAAAGGCTAACAAAACTGATCTTCAATTCATTAATGTATACAGATGCGTTCTTAGGCGTACGTATCAAAAAGTCTGATGTTGATTACGCAAAGTGGCTAGCGATGGGATCTATCATGCGCATTTCATCCCATTTAGAGTCTAAAAAAACTGAAATAATCTACTTTTTTTTATACCATAACGAATTCTCGAATGCTCATTGTTCACCGACAAAGCCTAGATGGAAGGTAAACTCATTAGTTGTGATAGAAAGTGGTCTAAATGGAAATCAACATTTTAAGTTGTTAACCGCTATAGTAGAAGTTGTGAATTTCAACTCTCATTTCATGTTACTGTGTAGTCAAGAAAACCCTTATTGGACAATTTTGTCCTACAGCTGGTCAGTTATAATAAATATCCAACTTTTCACCTGGTAGTTTTATGTGTTTATAAAAACTGGATATAACTAATATTTTTTTTTCAAATTAAGTGTTTTCTTCACAGTCATAGACCAGTCTGTAACTACAGTAAGTGTCTTGAATAAAAGCGCAGCTCCTATTGCTCACCCGTCATGTACAAGATTCTATCATAATCAGCCTACTCATACTCAAAGTAGGCAAACGTGACCTCCAATTGTCATTACTTTTTCTGGCCAACTCAGCAAAGTAAAATCAGTATCTGAACTGAATACTGAGTGACTAGAAAAGCAGAAAAACATTCAGTCATACGTAACGGCTGTGAGGAGAAAATTTGAAAAACAAACCTATTCCATCTTACTTACCTAGTAGTGCCTAGCAGTGAAGTCTAGGACACATATTTTATCCCATTTGAGACGCATCAGTTGGATTTACCTGGGCCTCAGTGAGTGATGTTTTCCTCACTTATCGTTCCAAACATTTTGAGTTCCCCTGATGGTTAACACCAGATGAACTGTAACAGTTAATTTTTGGGCAATATCAAGTTGTCTGCATGGGAGCCCATTTGTCAGCAGTGGTAGATCTATTCAATCTAAAATAGCAATGGGAAATACTAAGTAACAAGAAATAACTAACCTTTTCGTTGGTTTATTATTCAATTGGAAAGTATTAATTTAATAAACTTACATAGTAAAACGCTAAGTATCTATGTCTCTGACCATCTGTGGATGCTGTGACCGACCGATTTCCTTCATGTTACTCTCGGATGCCCAACTCGTCGTTTCCCATTTGGGTTCCACTCGATGGCCTGGTCTAGCCTAGGGCGTGATGTACCAAAACCATCTTCTCAGTGCATGCCCAATCCATCCCCACTTTCTTCCTTCTCATATTTGTTGGGTGATAGGTTCTTACTTCGTTGGTCCTTTGCCCGTCGGACTTCCTTGTTGCTTATTCTTATTATTCTGGCCATCCGATCGATCTTCAGTATCGTGTTAGCGTAGGCGGCAGCTGCTGATGTTGTATGTCTACAGTTTGTTGGAAATGCATTCCATAACCTGCCAAGTCTCTCAACTATCATATAGAAGCACTGACTTACTTGACTGAATTAGTGTTGAAAATTCGAATCTTGTTCACGCTTCATGTTGAGTGTAGTAGATCTCCACACTGATTTCAGATTTATGTAGGAAGGCTTGCCTTGCTGTCTTTCTCATCCTGGCTGGCTTAGACATCTTGATCTGTGCCGCCTGTAGTTGAAATGATGCTGCCTAGGTAGGTAGGTGAAATAGATAACTTCCTTTAGCTTTCTCTCGTTGACGGTGATTGGTGCTTGTTGTTATTGCTGTTATGGTTGTTGTTGGTTGGGTATCTTCATCGCCTCTGTCTTCTCCACGTTCACTTGAAAGAAAGTCCCGTCTTCGCTGCCCTGCCTCTTCTTCCAACTTGTCATTTTACTCCTGTAGATCTTCGAGTTTGTGCGACATAACATACCATACATAAATCACCATTGGCAAAATCCGAATCTTCTAGGATCTTTTCCTCGGTCCAGCCAACGCATGCCCATCTTCTCGCTTTTCACAGTTTGTTGCATGATCCGGTCCAGTCCAGTTGACCACAAACAGGAAGAGCATCGGTGGTAGTAGGCAGCCTTGTCTTACTCCCATCTTCACTTCAAAGGTGTCACTGAGCTTTCCACGGTGAATCACTTGACATGTAGCTTCGTTATACAGCTATTGAATGAGGTTAATAAAGGTTTATGGCACTACAACCGTAGTGTTGCAGCAGCTGGCAAATTACTTCTCGTTCGAGGCTATCAAAGGCCTTTTCGAAGTCGATGAAGTTGAGGTAATGATCCAGTTAACTGCCATTCTATGCTCTGTTTCATGATGATACGTAGTGTTGCAGTTTGATTAGTACATGGTTTGTTCTTCCTGAAGCCAGCCCTTCTATAAGTAGTAATGCGGAATCGTACGCTCAGCTGTTGAACCAATCCACGGAGTTTCTCACACCTAATGTGCTTGATGCAGATGAATATTTGTGAGTTAAAATCCGCTTCAAACAAAAAAAAATTAGTCATAATACCAGCCCCGTCACTACCACGTAATAAAATTCTCTTCGAAATATACTACTACTACTGAACTAATTGAGTAGTTAGGAACTATTCAGGTTGATCTATAGATTTCACCAGTCAGATCAAAGTGATCTAAAAACTGGACGGCCGTTTTATTCTTTGGGGGTCGAGGAGGACAAATACTCAACGATGACTTAGGATGATGGTCGTGGTATGTCGTGAACTGACAGGAGTTGGAAATATGGCCTACTGGACGTGGCTGAGTGGCTCAATGGTAACATGCTGGTGGCAGGGCCGATCTGCTGTGGGGTCTTCAGTGCGCGCTTCTGATGCGTCCTGAACTAGGGCAGGACAGCTGTCCGCTGTTTCCAGGTTTCCAATATTCATCCAATTGATGTCAGCCCATGACATATACCAACTTGAAATCAACAGATCCCTAATAACTTTTAAGTTGTTTCTTGGCTACTCAATTGAAGTGCCAACAGGGTTTCTTTCCTCATTTTCAACCTTTCATATCTTTCTTCTCCTCGAAAATCGAAATGATACAAACGTGTATCAAAGAATCCTATAGTGTAGAAAATACTAACATTTCAATGTCTAAAACCATACTGAATGAAATCTCTTTAATCAATAAGTGTTTAAATAACTTTTTCAAAATATTTTTGCCTCAACATGAATCTCCTGGATGAAATTTTTTGATAACCGGTTTCTTAGTTACAGTAGGTTCTCAATCAGGATGACGACGACGATGATGATAATGGTCAGTATTTTTAGCTTGAAGTTAACTTCCATCGGAATGCACATCTGTATACGTCATATTTTATTTATGACCCACTCCTCCAGATATGTATTGAAGCAAAATAAATGTAAGAAATCAACGTCTAATTTATTATTTATCTTGACCGATAAAAGTGGTTTCTGTTAATAATTAATCATGAAATATTATCCACAAACAGAGGGGAACAATAATTAGTTGCTTATCCATTATTATATTATTTGTCCCTTGGGTTCCTAATGGAACATAGGGCTTCACTAGCATGTCTCCAGTGAACTCCGTTCTCTGAAATATTTTGAACCTGAATCCACGACAGCCCAGAAGCTCTCCTTTCTTCTTCACACGATCTCCTCCATGTCACCCTCACCTCGGACGCCAAACTCGTCGTTTCCCATCTGGGTTCCACTCAAGGGCCTGGCCTGACGCATGATGTTCCCAGTTGGTCTTCTCAGTGTATACCCAATCCATCTCCATTTTCGTCTCCTGCATATTTGTTGGATGGTAGGTTCTTGATTCTTTGGTTCGTTGTCAGCCAGCCAGAGTTCTTTGTTGCTTATTCTTTCTGGCCATCTGATCTTCAGTGACGAGGCAGCGTAGGCAGTTGTTGATGAGTGTCTGTAGTTTGTTGGAAATGCCTTTCGTAACTCGCCAAGTCTCTGAGCTATACAGAAACACTAACTTAACACTGGTGTTGAAAATCCGGATGTTGCTCACGCTTTATGCTGAGTGCAGTGCAGAAGATCTCCACACTGGTTTCAGGTTTGTGAAGGAAGGCCTGTCTTGCTTTCTTTTCGATCCTGGTTTTGACACCCTAATCTGTGTCTGTGCCGCCTATAGTTGAACCAGTGCTGCGTAGATAGGTGAAAGGGACTACTTCCTTTAAATTTCTCCCGTTGATGGTGATTGGAGCAGTTGCTTATCTCATACTTATTATTTGATTTGCACGACTGTTGTCACCGGTTTGATCTTTATGAATGTTTAAGGATATTAAGTTGACAGATCTCATGCTTTCGTTGTATGGTTAGTTCTTGTACTACTCTAAGTGTCGCTATTTTTGTTTACTTTTTTTCAACTCTTCCACCCTATCAACCATTCCACCTGTTGGTATGTACAGACTCCGAGATCAAACATATGACATTTGCAGATATTATCTTCTCAATGTATACAACTGCTTATTTTCAAATGTTTGGTGATTTCAGTTTAGATGCTTTACAAGGAGAAGGTAGGTTGTATTTTCATCGCAATCTTCAGTTCAGTCATTACTTCATGAATAACTTATTCTTTCTTAGATCAGTAACCTATAATTTTGTAATGATATTTGAATAGCTTTATGTACAAAATAGAACGTGTAGCTTTATTCAGCTATAAATAGCTAATGACTATTCAGCTTGTATCAATTTGTAAGTGATAGGTAGCTGGTCTGATTTCAACTTTGTATCTGCAATTGTGCTTATAAATTTTAGCTTTTAAAAAACTACTACTTGCGAGTAGTTTAGAACTTATTTAGTAATTTATGGTTGCAATAGGCTTACATATGCATTATGCATTGGTTAATTAACTAGTCAGTGAAACTAGGCTTATAGGCACTCACTTAGCTAACTTCTGAAAATGATCGTAAAAATGGTATTCTTATAGTAGTAGTAATGGATGAAGAAGGAATTTGTAGGTTTGACTACATCATTTTGAATCAGTATTTTTCTGGACAGAATGAAACAATCAAAATGTATAGTACGTCGCATGTACAGTATGTGTGTGTGTGGTTCATCGGGGAACTGTGGCCCATTAGTTTAGCCAGCTGACTTCCAACCACCGGACTACACCTTCGAACACCACCCTAACTGTCCAGGTTGAGGTGGCCAAGTGGTTTCATTAATCCTTCATTCAGTAGGTGTGGCTCACTGACTACTGTAAAAAACCACACGTTTTTCTCGATCGATTAGCTTAGTGATATGACCATTGATTTTGGTGACTCAATTCTGAGATCCACTTTGTCACGGTGTTTGATGCGAATAATTATTTGGTAGGAATCTCTGGATGATCCATTTCTTGTCTACTGATATTCATAGACAAGGTATTGTCTCAGTCTTGGGGAAATCCATTTTCTCTAAGATATTGAAACCCACATCTTTGACTTCAGCACAGAATAACCTAGGTAATCGATGCACGAAGCTAATATTAATCGGCTACCTTAATTTTAGTTTATTATACCGGAAGAAAGTTAGTAACTTTCACTACCTACATCATTTCCGTAGATTGTCAAAAACTTCAACCTACAAATTAGCAAATTTTGAGTTGGCTGTCTATAAAACTCTACACTTTCAAATGTGTAGTTGGAACCCTGTGAAGTAAAGTAATGAACGTCAGGCCAGAGTGATTTTGGTCTGAAATCGAAGGCAATATCACTACCTCTTTGAAAATGCATGTATCCTCAGCTCTTATAATCTAGCGCAATTTATTTAAAGCAGTAATCTTCACAGTTTCGCATCATATGACAAACCACTGAAAGTCTAAGGTAACTAGAGAGCTGTTTATTCGTCGTTCAAGATTCCTTAACAATGAACACGTAATATTATGCAAGAAGCCGTTACTGAAATGATTTAGTCTTGCTGTGAGTATGTTAGTATCTAACCACCGTAATGCAAGCCACAGCTTCAATTGTTCCAGTGTATTTAAATTAGCAGTGTAGCGAAATAAACTTCTATTGAAGCCACTTGTTGCTAATAAAGGAACGGCTATCTAGTGTTCCCCGAGCTTTCAATCGTTCTTCAACTGATGAAGGCAACTTTGAAATTAATCACACTCCACAAAACTTATACTTGAATTATGATTTTCGAAATGAACTTTTAATATCGATTTAGTTTGAGCTACACGAATACCATATCAAATGTGACTATTTTTGCCCTTATTTTTCTCTCAACAGACCGTACATGTCAGAATCATATGTGTCCAACAAAGACATCCCGTTGGCTTGTGCCTATTATGCTAGGATTCTATGTATTGCTAACTAATATACTGATGTTCAACTTACTTATTGCCATGTTTTCGTAAGTAATTCTTATTGATTTCAATTTGATCATATATGTATACATAAAAAAATGGTACTGGAAAACAGGATGTTTGATGAGTTTGGTTAAATCATACAAGCGTAACTGGAGTTAGCATGTTCCATCAAACAATAAACTAAATTGTGGTGGTTAGAAGTAGAGTCCAGGATGCTTATTTCTTCTTATTTGGGATCTGTCAGCTGAACATACCTGAAGGTGTCTTCTATTGAGTGTTGTTCCCTCTAAGACTTTAGTCAAGGACCTTACACTTCAAATGGCAGACTCTTATCAACCAAACCATTGAGTGTCTATAGCCACGCCTTGTGCTACGGGTATAGTTTTGGTATAATTGCCTGTGTTATACCGTCGTTGATTGGACTGAATTGATCGGTTTCTATTGGTATATGGACTTCTGTGTGGATACCTCGATATTATCCAGGTGGGGACAACATCATTCACGGGGAGGCAGGTACATCCAGACGACGAGTCCCAAATAGGACAAAATGCGCATCTTGGATTCCACTACTAGCTACCATCCATCTTTACTTTAATCAGAACACAGATAATATCGAGGCATCCGCACAGGAGCCCATATACCAATAGAGACCGATCAACTGGGTCCAATCAACGACGGTATGATACAAGCAATTATACTATAACCTGATATTGCTTTAAATAACTTCTTCAGGTTTTACAGTTATAAATCCATGATAATGAGTGAAATACAGTGACCGAAATAAGGCATGATGCACAATTATTACTGTATTGAAAAAGTCAGTATTTTGGGAGAATGGAGATCAAATCGAATCTAACTGTAGAATTGCGATGAATTAAGAGAATGACAGATAGATGTAGGAATCCCACCTGAGATAGTTAAGGAACTGCTATTAAAGTGCAACATGAATGTTCACTTTATGTTTAACAACGAGTTATATCGACAAGTAGATGGGGTTGTAATGGGTTCTCCTTTGGTTCCCACGGTAGCGGACATCTTTTTAACCAAACCTGAAAAGGTTGCACTTGTGGACAAACTTGATAAACTAGACTATTATTGCCAGTACATAGATGATACGTTCGTCATTTATAATAATGGCTAGAATAAAGATAATCTTGTAAATAACTTCAATAATGTTTACCTATCTATCAATTTCCCCTGCGAGGAAGAACAAGGGAGTAGTATTCCTTTCCTAGATGTCCTCCTCACCAAGAAAGTGGATGGATATATTAAGAGGAGTATTCTCCTAAAGAACACATGAACTGGTCAATATATTCACTTTCATAGGTTCACACTGATTCAGTATAAAAGAAACCTGGTCAAATATCTGAGTTACAGAATAAGAAACATTTGTTCAGTTGACTGTATTGAAAAAGAAATGAATAAGCTGAAGATAACATCTCAGCAAAATGAGTATCCACTAAACTTCATAAATAAACACCTGTCGAAACCTAGAGAGAAGATAAAGATAGATAATCTTGGTAAGGAGTCTGTATATCTTAGACTAAGTTTCAAAGGTGATACTGCCTTGGATATCTTACAACATTGATTAAGTAGATCAGTCAAAAAGATATTCAATGCAGCGAATCTTTTTGTCAGCTTCTCAACCGAACTATTACTGACACAGCGAATCAAGGATAGGTTACCTATGATGGTCACTTCAATGCACAGTTATGAGTTCAACTGCTGCTGTGGAGCTAGTTACATGGAACGAACTCGAATGGTTCTTTCCATGCGCGCTCGTGAATATGTACCATCTTGGTTAGGCAAAGTAATGGCAAACACCATCAACAGTGCAATCCTCTCATATCTAGTAGACACCAGATATCAGATTAAGGTAGATCCCACTTCTTCTTCTGTCATATTTCGTCTCCTTTACAATCTCCTTAAAGGTGCAAAACATCGCACCTCATCCATAGGTGAAGGCATGGGAATCAACGCAAGAGAACTGTACCCATGAGTTCAAAGGAAACATGCACATCCACTTTGTTCGCCTTGGCCCACAATAGGGTCGACACGTTCTTTATGAACTTTCCTACCACTAATTGCACATTTCAACCTCCAATCCCTCTCCTTTATATTGCGATTAAATTGATAAACGTTCATTTTCTTATATCACTGGTTTTACGTCCTTCTGTAATCATACCACCACTACAGGGAGTCATTTCCAACCGTGACGTAATACTCCACATTTATTATTCTCTATTTCGTTATAGTATTCACATGATTTTCAGCCGACTTGACCCTTGGTAAACACACAGACACACACACACATTCATGACCCAATACATGTATATAAATCAACCATTATCAGCAGTTTTTGTCTCATCGTTTCGCAATTGTTCTGTCAATATTGATTTCATTGCACAACTAACACACTAGACTGATAACCATTCGACCATTCCATTCGATTTGATCTCCATTCTCCCAAAATACTGACTGTTTCAACATAGTAATAGTTGTACAACATGCCTTATTTTGGCTATTGTATTTCACTCATTCTCATGGATTTATAACTGTAGAACCTGAAGAAGAAGTTATTGAAAACAATATTGTTCTGAATAATCTGTACGGATCTTTAAATAACATGATATACACCATTTCGAGACCATCTAATCGCAGAGAACAAATCTTATTGGATAGTTCAAGGTTGTTTAGTGTGTATCAAGTACATTTTGATTATGATTAGGCTATCTGAGAATGGCGTAGTTTAGCAGATTAGTATTTGTACTGAGTGATGGCTAAAGGCCAGACCTCGTGGCTCAGTTGTCAGAGCACCCTGCCGGTAACTCGGTGATCGCTGGTTCGAATCCGGCTAAGGTCCAGATTTCCGTCTCACCTTCAATCACCGCTCAGTCCAACTGCGTTTGTCAGCATCGCAATGTTGAATGTTTCTCAGTTAGGCGGTTTCTAATAGATATCAAGGGATTGTTGAGGAATTGAATTATAAATATAGGTGCCGGATACATAATCACATACCAGTATATGATTATATTCTCTTAAGTTAACAAACATTATACAACCACTGAGAACTATAGTTTATTCAACGACCCACTCAGTGTTATTCTTGGGGTCAGATTTCTACCTCATCTTTAGGAGGAAATCATAGTGTTTGCAATTAATTACTGTAACATTCAAATGTAAAATTAGGGAAAAGACTGTGCTGGTCACTGTGTGACTACTACTGCGAAGCATCCGAATAACTTGAGTTCTTACCTATCCTGATCAGAGTTTCCCATGAATTTCTTCAGACTGATCATTAATAAAAAGTGTATTCAATAGTGGCCGTCAGAAATTCATGAAGTAATGCTCCATACATGAAATATTTGACGTTTGTAGCTATGTTAAAGATATTGGTATGGAGATGAACAGTCTTCAGTGAAACCAGCCCTACTTTGTTATCAGTATAACCAATATACACCTTGTATCTGTTTATCTTCCAAGTTAAACAGGAAAATCTCACTCCTATTTCTAGTCAAGAGTTACAGTGTTCAGTCACTAAGTGAATAAATCTTTGAACCAATGGTTATGAAAATTTTCCATTGAATAAGAACTGTGGTTGTTGATGTTCACTTAAACCATTTCCAAATTGGCTGTCGGACTTCTGATTCCCATTAACTACCTCTGATATATCAGATTATGGAACGTTAATTACACAGAAGGTTATTTTCTAACTACCTAGAGATATTTAACTAACAAATAGTCAATATAACAAAATTATTTTACTGTTTATATATAAGCTACTATTTAATTTCAAGTAGCACAACTAAATACTTTAATTTTTCTCTGTTTTGATTTTGGTTTAATAAATACCAAATTTAGTAAGACTTATGAAGAAATTGAAAGCGCATCAACATACTACTGGAATTATCAAAGATATCAGATGATCAATGATTATGTACACCGATCACCACTTGCTCCACCAATAATTATTGTATGGCATTTCTATGAAGCTTATAAAGCAATTGGAAATCAGTGTGCAAGTTTAAGAAATGCTGAGACGACAAAGTATAATCCATTTTGTAAGTATAATTACTTCATATCGTTTAAGAATGATATGGTTGACTTATAAACCATGGTATGTTTTTAACCTAATGGGTTTTCAGATACTCCAACCGAATCATATCTTGTTGATGGTTTCATTAACAAGCATCCTGTGTATTTGTCACTTGTAGTCATCCAATCACTGAATATGAATTAAAGTGTACAACGATGGTGAGTCTCTCAGCTGGCTGACCTGAATACAAAATAGCCGATTGATTTTGGTAGACGACTTAATGCATCTAATCCAGTTCTAGAGGAGTAGAATCACAAGTCAAATATATCAATGGTAACTCCTCTGACTGTAGCAGCTGGCGACACAGTTCATCATCAGACGGGAGGCATCAGTCTCTTTGAAGTCTTAGAAATGCCTTGCTGACAAGTGCTAAGAAGCATGACTATTGTATACTGGGTGTCTTTCAACAGCCTCTAACCACTTAACACCGAGTGAAATAACCCAACTTACATATCACTTAACACAGGCAAAATAAATATAGTAAACATGACCATTATCCTTTCACTAGGTGTAATAGTTCACCAAAAGTTCTATTACTAAAGTAAAGAAAACCAACAGGTGCTATGGATACAGGAAAATCTTTTCGACAACTTAATTTGAAGTCTGTACATTTGTGAATATATGACTTAAGAGGTGGAAAGTTTCAGACGAATTTTCCGTCACATGACCATGTCAATTGAATATAAGTCTAGAAGAGAAGTGAGAAAGTGTCACATAACATGGAGAACAGTCTGGAACATTTTGTCAATCAAGAGAATAAAAGTATTCTATTGGCTTTAGCCTTCGACCGAAGATTTATTGTTCCTGAACTTTCTGTCTTTTGAATTCTACATTTGGAAATTTACAGGCTGCAAAACAAACTCGTCTAAAAGACAATTATCCTCGTTGTAATCAAGTTTTTTAGGCGGTAGCACAAATGAGGATGTCACAGCCAGGATCGGAAAAGCAATACAGGCATCATTAATTTGAAATCAGTGTGAAGATCTACTGCACTCAGCACAAAGAACAACATCTGCATTTTTAACACCAATCCAGTCAAGTCAGCTCTGCTATATGGTTCAGAAACTTGGGGCGTCACGAAAAACATTTCCAACAAACTACAGACATTCATCAACAGCTGCCTAAGCTGGCTCATCACTGAAGCTCAGATGGTTAGAAAGAATAAGCAACAAGGAACTCTGGTTGAAGACGAACCAACGAAGCAAGAACCTATCATCCAACAAATATGCACTGGAAGGAAGTGGAGATGTATTGGGCATACACTGAGAAGACCGACTGAGGATACCAGGTGTCAGGTCAGGTCGTCGAGTGGAACCCGAAGGTGAAACGATGAGTTGGGTGTCCGAGGTGAGGGTGACATGGATGAGATGGTGTGAGGAAGAAATGAAAGTTTCTGGTCAGTCGTGGAGCAAGGTTGAAAAGACTGCAGAGAATGGTTGAGTGGAATGGAGGTGTGCTACTGAAGGTGTATGTCCCACTAGGAACCAAAGGGGCAAATAATAATAATAATCAATTTTTCGTTTGTACTGTGATTAAAGTGAAGTGTTGCCTTAGCGCGGTTGCATTCCGTTGGATGCATACCTGGGTAGACTCAATTATCTTATTCAGAAAAGACTGTATATGAAGAACGGGTCACTGAACCAACTTACGCATTGATGTTTGTTTGAATAAATGAGAGATTAGAAAGGTTTGGATAATTACTGACGCAAACTTCTGCTAAAGAAATCTAAGCATTGGATGAATGTTATCTTTCCTATAAAATATTAACCAATCTCCCCCATAAATAGCATATATTCTGACTCTTACAAGCATTTTCAGATCTGTATTTATCCATTTCTTAGATTTCTATTCATGTAGTATTCTAACACAGTACACTTTAGACGAGAATATGTAGGAGAACATTCTACCGATTCTACAGTTTACTGTGGATGTAGTGCTCAATACCTTCGACAGGTAGACAGGCAGCCAGATAGTTGGATAAACAGGCAGGTGGGCGGTAAGAGAAATAGAAGCACAGACAGAGCAGTAGGAAGCTGTGCGAGAATACTGTACATTTAATCCTCTTCATCATCAATGAACCTGTAGCTCACAATCCCTTGAAGGTTTAAATTTCCATAACTCAGTGAGAAATACCGCCTTTAAGCTTTTTAACCCATGGACAAAATGTGATGCTTTAATGATGAAAATAACTAGAGAGGACTTAGTAAGAATGACCAACTTTTTCACTGCTGGAGATTTTCTATGTTGACGAACGTCAATGAGTAAGAAGCCTTGCAAACTGCTTCAAACTGTACAACTACAGTTACTTCAGGTATACTTTGTGATAACAATAATTCACTGGTTAATTTATAGATATGACTCACTCATTTTTACTATTTTTATAGGTGTACGCTTTACTGATATAAAAAAAGAAAGAGAAATGGTCAAATGGGAACACATGAAGGCTATGGACTACTTAAGAGAACCTTCAACAAAGGCTACAGGAAAAAGAGGTGTTGCAGAGTCTCGAGCTGTTGTATTTCGTGGTGGTGGTGGTGTTGGTCCTGGTCAAGGGCCAGTTATGGATTTAAAAAGTGAAATGTCAAGTGTTACAGAGGTAAGACAAACTCACAATAAATGTCACCATCCTCTAACCCTTAACATCAGTTTCACAATGGATAACATACTGGTGTTTGAAACGATAGGTTCTAGGTTTAAGATCCAGTAAGAATTCCGTTATTCACTAGGATGCGAGTATATGACGGGTTTCTTGTCCTACTTGAGAGTCGTTAGCCACACTAACCTGCCGCTGAGTAAGCGACGTATCTCTGCCATGACTCGAATTTTAGACTGACCCCTTCGGAAACCACAGAGCCATCTGTTAGACCACTGAGCCACTACGGACCCCTAGTGTTAGACGGGTATGGTTTAAGTGTTATTACCGGTCATGGATTCTACTGCTTCCCACCGTATATGATTGATATATCGAGGCATCCGCACAGGAACTCATGTGTCGATTCAGTCCACTCAACGATGCAATGATGCAAACAACAATATTGGCATACTTTCAGTTTATATGGATAATAATATGACATTATGCTATTAGTTTAATCTACATACAGGTTTAGCAAACTGTGTAGGTCGAATCGAATCGTATTCAGCAATCTTGTGCACACTTGTGCAGCCGGTAAACAGCCATATCTTTTGTGTAAAGGTTGGTGATTGTAGCTGGTTGTCCAAGCCCCAGTAGGCGAAGTGGGGTTTGGACCTACGGCCCACTGGTTAATAATCAGTTCTCTAAACCAGTGAGCCATAGATCCACGAAGGATGTGTTCGGGTATTTGGATTCCACAAGGAGATTCATCAGTCACATAAAGGTAATCTAAACATTCTATGACATTTCCACTCATCTGAATGTAGACTCAGTCGTGTAATAGTCGAATACATGAAAGTGTGTCATTTATTTATACTAACCGAATTCGACTGACCAATACACTATGTGGTACGATTCGTTATCTTTCCTCAACATCTACATGTTAGGTCCTTAATTATTATTTGTGACCATTTGGCTTTTGGGAAACTACTTATTAATGTCACAGTTGAATCGAGTGAAATCTATGAGTTATAATGAGTAACCTTGAGGCAGATTAGGCAGTTTTTCAATAAATTGTACCTTTCTATCATTTTATCCCAAGCAAAATATTAGGCCGCATCATTCTGGAGAGGCTAAAGGATGCACTGGATTCAAAACTACGACCGCAGCAGGCTGGCTGGATTCAGGAAGTACAGATCATGTGCGGATCAAATTGCAACGCTTCGCATCATCATAGAACAGAGTACAGAATGACAGTCAACTCTCTATCTCAAATTTATCCACTTTGAAAAGGCCTTTAACAGTGTCGACCAAGAAGTAATTTGATAACTGCTCCAACACTACGGAAATCCACAAAGCTTTATCAATCTCATTCAACAACTATTTAAGAAGACGCCACATGCCATGTAATTCACAACGGGAAGCTCGGTGATTTTTTGAAGTGAAGACAGGAGTAAGACAAGGCTGCCTACTATCACCACCAATGATCTTCCTGATTGCAGTGGAGTGGATCATGCAGGAAACCGTGAGGAGTGAGAAGAGGGACATAAGCTGGACTGACAAAAAGATCCTAGAAGATTTGCATTTCTCCGATGACTTGTGTCTGATATCGCACAAACTCGAAGATCTACAGGCGAAAACTAACAAGTTGGCAGAAGAGGAAGTGCAGCGAAGATGGGACTTCAAGTGAATGTAGAGAAGACAGAGGTGATGAAGATATTCAAGCAACAACACCACCAACAACAACAAGCATCAGTCACCATTAAAGGGAGAAATCCAAAGGAAGTAGCCTACCTAGACAGCATCGTTTCAGCTACAGGCGGCACAGGCACAGACCAGGGTGCCAAAACCGGTATCAAAAGACAGCAAGACGGGCGTTCATTAGCCTGAAACCAGTGTGGAGATCCACGTCACTGCATTCAGCATGTAAAACAATATCCAGATTTTCAACACCAATCCAGTCAAGTCAGTGCTTCTGTATAGCTTAGAGACTTGGCGCGTTACGAAAGGCATTTCCAACAAACTACAGACATTCATCAACAACTGTTTTTTCTGGCTCGTCACTGAACCCCAGATGACCAGAAAGAATAAGCAACGAGGAACTCTGGCTGTCAACGAACCAACCAAGAACCCATCGTTCAACAAATATGTAGGATACGAAAGTGGAGATGAATTGGGCATACACTTAGAAGACCATTCGGAGACATCACATGCCAGGCCAGTTGCTCGAGTGAAACCCAGATGGGAAGCGACGTATTGGGCGTTCGAGGCGAGGTTGACATGGAGGAGATCGTTTGAGGAAGAAATGGAAGCTTGTAGGCAGTCGTGGTGCGAGGTTGAAAATACTGCAGAGAAGAGAGTGGAATGGAGACATGCTAGTGACGCGGTATGTTCCACTAGGAACTTAAGAGACAAATAATAATGATCTAAGCATTTTACCTTTATTTCAAAAATTGAGGTGGTCTATATTATTATTAGTCCCTTGGGTTCCTAATGGAACATAGAACTTCAGTAGCACGTCTCCAGTGAACTCCGTTCTCTGAAATCTTTTACCCTGGCTCCACGACAGCCAAGAAGCTCTCATTTCTTCTTCACAGGATCTCCTCCATGTCATCCTCACCTCGGATGCCCAACTCATCGCTTCCTATCGCTTCTGCCAACTTGTTAGTTTTCGCCTGTAGATCTTCGAGTTTGTGCGATATCAGACACAAGTCATCGGAGAAATGCAAATCTTCTAGGATCTTTTTGTCAGTCCAGCTTATGTCCCTCTTCTCACTCCTCACGGTTTCCTGCATGATCCACTCCACTGCAATCAGGAAGATCATTGGTGGTGATAGTAGGCAGCCTTGTCTTACTCCTGTCTTCACTTCAAAAAAATCACCGAGCTTCCCGTTGTGAATTACATGGCATGTGGCGTCTTCTTAAATAGTTGTTGAATGAGATTGATAAAGCTTTGTGGATTTCCGTAGTGTTGGAGCAGTTATCAAATTACTTCTTGGTCGACACTGTTAAAGGCCTTTTCAAAGTGGATAAATTTGAGATAGAGAGTTGACTGTCATTCTGTACTCTGTTCTATGATGATGCGAAGCGTTGCAATTTGATCCGCACATGATCTGTACTTCCTGAATCCAGCCAGCCTGCTGCGGTCGTAGTTTTGAATCCAGTGCATCCTTTAGCCTCTCCAGAATGATGCGGCTGAATATTTTGCTTGCTGTGGGTGGACAGGAGAGTGATTCCGCACCAGTGCATGCAAACACTGAGATCTCCCTTCTTCAAGAGTTCGACCAGGCAATCCTTCTTCCAATCAACTGGCAGATACCTTCTCTTCCCTCCACACCTTCTACAATAGTGGTGTGAATATGTCCGCTGTTGTCTCTGTGTCTGTTCTCAGTGCTTCTGGCGGTTCCTTTCTGGTCCTGCTGCCTTCCCGCATTTCAGTAGCTTTATGGCGTTCATGACTTCGACTTTTGTTGGAGGATTCATGTTCACTTGTAGTTCTGTAGCTGGGCTGCAGGTGATATTTCTGAACGAAGTGCAGGTAGTGGTGGTGGTGGTGGTGTTGATGGTGGTCGATTCAACAGCTTTTTGAAGTTGTCGGCTCATCGTTTCCTTTGTTTCTCTTCTTTCGGAATTCAATTTCTATCATCATCATCTTTCATTGGTTTCATGTGTGTTGATCTCTTCCCTCTGAGATGGTAACCTGATTATTTGGTACAATGTTGTCAGGTCTCTCCTACCAGCCCTCAGTCTGTTCTGCTTCACTTGCCAGTGTTTCGTAGAAGTGGCTTTTGTCTTTCCGTGCACTCTTCTTCACTTCTTTGTCCCGTGTATTGTTTTTCCACATTGTACTCAGTTCCTCCTCTCGTTGTGCATCCTTACACTGATTTATCTTCTGCTTCACCATCCTCCTCTCCTTACTCTATCAGCTTCCTCCATGTGTCCCTCGAGATCCATTCATCATCTTCAGTTTCCGAGTGTTGAACTTGAACCGTGGTCTATCACCAGCTTTACTGAAGGCTTTTAACTTGATTTGGAAGGTTCTTTGCACTAGATATAGTCTGAACCTATATCATCCCCTCTTCTTGACCTTGTGTCTAGTTGGCTGACTGCGTCTCCACTTTCTTCACATTGAGACGAAGTCGATTTGATTTTTAGTGTGTCCTGGTGTCTGGTGAGATCCATGTCACTTTGTGGATATCCTTGTGCTTGAACACACTGCCTCGCCTCCAATCACCAAATCGTTGAATGCACAGAATCCTGCAAACAATTCTCCATTCTCGTTCATCACCTCACCGAGCGCTTCTCGATCCATGGCTAGTTATCTTCCTGTGTTGTCCCCTCCCAGTTTCGCATTCATGTTACCCCACCCATTAGAATTTTGATGTCGCCAACTGGGGTGTGGTCTTGTCCAGTGTTTACTGCAGTTGTCTGTAGAATTCCTCCTCCTTCTCTTGATATGCATTATTTGTAGGTGCACAGCGTAGCATTGTATGATTGTGACCTTCCTTCCTTTTGAGTTGAACCTTGCTGTCATGATCCTGATAGTTGAGGAGATTGGTTGCCACTGCATGAGAGACAGCCTTCGACGCTGTTCAAGCGGACATCATGATAGCCACTCCATAACTCAGTGTGCTCATGGTTGTCGTGTGGGTGACAATATTGGAGTAGATTATTGATTCTCCAGTTGATAGTTTGGAGAGTCCACTCCCATTCCATCCGCTTTCGCAAATTCCAAGCACTTCACTGTGATACCTCTTCATCTTGTTTGCAATCTGGGCTACCTCGCTTTGTTCAAACATGGTGCGGACATTCCATGTCCCCACGTTTACTTTTGCTTTCATGAGAGGAGAGGAGACACATCGGCTAATTGGCTTCCCGAAGGCCTTGACCAACTGGCCTCATTTAACCTCTCCGATTCCAGGGAGGAATAATTTTGTTACTATTTTTTTATATTTTGTTTGTGCTTTGAAGTTTGTTTAGCGATTAGATTTGTTTTACGGTGTAGGGTTGCTAGCCGTATGCCAACTTTCTCTCTTTACCCGAGCTTATGACCAGCTGGTAACTAGTGAACTAGTTAACCAGGCGTGGTTTTGTGGTCTATATACCACTCAGTAATGAATAAATACTTGACTGTTTGCTGTGATTCTGGAAAGGTGGTAGTCGACTATCTTATTGCAAAGGATGGTGGGTAGATAAATTCCCGTTCTAACTACTCTGTATTCGAACACTCACAAGAGTCAGGAAGCCTGTACTCAGGTATTAGGTGAGTTGCGTACTTCGAGTTTGACTCTTCACGGATATCCACTCTCTCCATTCCCGTTTTATCTTGTGCTTATGAAGGTCTTCATCTCTTAGTCTGATTGGCTTTTCACTGGAGACAGTAATATCTGAATAAACCTCTTAGATTTAACTTTGAAGTATCACAATAAGCAAATCATCAGCTTGACCATTCTGATGAATTCTATTGTCATGTAGATGTTTTCCACTCTGACTTAATTATTACACTCAGACTCAAATATCTTTTTGACACATTAGTAGTTAGGATCTTCCTTCTTACCAACTTTTAACTGTTTTACTAAGCAGGGAAATGTACGTTGACTTAAGCACTTAGAACGTAAGGTGCAATCTGAAGATTCCAGTACCTTAAGCTACCTATTAACTTCTCATCTTTGCGAAAGAATTCATTACGCTTGCAGCACTCAGTATCTTGTAAGCGCTGAGTATTATGTTAAGGACTAGTCGAAAGACTTCTGCCCTTCTTAGTTTGGTATACCAATGACGGATAGTGGTTAGCAGTGGAGCCCATGACTCTCCTGTAACCCTATTTCCAACTCATCAGTTAGATATGCCTACGTCCCTGTAAGCCATACTACCGCCACTAGGACTCGAACTCGGAACCGATTGGCCCAAGAGCCATAGAGTCTTCCATCATACCACCGCTTCCCAGTGGCCACTTCCTGTGTGACCGGTGTGATTTTAGTGTTTTTTTGCATTATCCCGTCACCGAGTGGACAGAACTAATCGGTCTCTACTGGTATATAGACTGTTGCCAGGATGCCTTGATATTGCCTCTGTTTGAATCTAACCAGTCGCTGTCCATTTGAGAATCTACTGAGTACTCATGCTTTAGCAGCATTATCTGTTATCTCAAGTTAGTATTCACCGTGGACAGGCGCATTAGTTGGAGAATCATTGGAAACCTGGGAGCACTGGACAGTGTGGGACTTCTCAGCATTGCACACCCATAACCATGCTGGAGGTCCAATCCAGGACCTTCAGTTTTCGCGGTCAACATGTTGCTTTTAAGCAACTGTGTTGGGATAGAATAATTTGTATTTTTCTATTTCTGTCAGTTAGTGAAATAGCTCGACCTTCATCCAGTGCCACTAGTGAGTACCCGTTGTCCAGTCCGACTTGATTTGTCCTACCCGTCGAGATTTCCCATTAGAACTTCTGGAGATCTCATCTCAAAATAAGTCACTCATTAAATAACACTGGACAACAATTCATTTTAAAGGTGATAAATGATGACTTGGAGCCAGTAAAATCCCTACAAAACTCTGTTATCTAACCAATAACCCCCCCCCCCCAAATGAATTACTGACCAGTGCTAATTTGTATCTTACTTGGAGATCAATTTATCGAATTTCTAATGAGAATCTATGAGCAATATGGTTAGGTATGTCAGAAGTGAGATGAAATATTCATCACTGGGATTAATTGATGGCGATGCTGTAATGGTATTTCATAGAAAGAGAACAATGTGAACCCCTGGGTTCTAATCCCGTAGCCAAATGGCAACATAATCACACCCCTGGTCAAGAGTGCGCTTGGTGATGTTTCGCCAAGTGACCTCTAGCTACGTTTCGACAAATCTGGGGTATCGTAAAATTCCGAAGATTATGATTAGGTTCACATCGGTAGTTGAATACAACAGAAGTTATTCTGGAGTGCAGCAGCTCCACCAGATCTGAATTTTAGGCCTAACTTATGCAACCAACCCCTTTATAAGTACCAAAGAAATGGTTCATAGTTATTCCTTATCGATTTAATGTTGTTTTAATGCATATGTCATTATGTATCGAATGTTTTTTCGTCTGTTCCTAACAAAATAGGGTATTGGTATGGAGTTAGAAAAACGTTTCAAAGAGATAGATAATCAGTTTCAACGATTCAATGATGTTGATTCACGTTTGAATGATGTAACGCAATTACTGACAAATTTATCTGAGGTAATCAGTAATATGACAGAAACTCAACAACGAGTAAGTTGAAATTTTGCAGAGAAATGAGTTTTGTTAAATCTTGCTACTTATTGTTTGCAAGTAGTATATTTCGTTTCACAGATTTTAAGATATTACAAACAAAATTAGGCTATATAAACGATTACACTAAACTGTTATTTGTCCTGAATTCCGTTGCCAGCTGCTACCAGATAGATTACATTGAACATGTTAGAAAAATTTTAGCATGTGAACGAATACTTTTTTCAGCAACTGCCATGTCGACACTATTGCTTGTAACTTTCTGTCTTCGATTTGACCGAATTCATTGGTTTCTATTGGATACCCCAACATTTCCTGAAGTTTCGGTTTGGTAGTAAGGCCGGATAATGTCTATCAGGGTACATGCTTCATCTTATTTTGGGAGCAGACTATCATATCCTGATTTTTATGAGCAATATGTTTCTAAACAGAAGTGTCTTCAAACCAGACCTTCCGTAATGTATGAAACCATAATTATTACTTATAAAAGCGCGATCTTCGTTTACATTTATTTCAGGTAAAGTCTCTTGATATCATTTATCAACGTGTAGAAATCGATCAGATGACTTAAGTGGAAGCAAACAAAACTGGCTGAATACAGAAAAAATGACATTTAACTAACCAGTTGCAGTCAATGTAGGTAATGCGTTTTGCACTGCTAAGTGAAGAAACCGTACTCAGTAGTTGAATATATCAAAAACCTATAGGAAACCAACATACATACAGTCTTGGACATGTGTCATCCAGTTTTGTACTATATACCTTTACAGAATTCTTCAAGTTACAACAATTATTCTAAAAGTCATGCTATGAATAGTACACTCTGATCGAAAAACTCCAGTGGTTGTATGAAAGTTTATATCAGTTGCTACTAAGTCTGGAATATCACTCTGAGAATAGTCTATAAAAATCTGCGGACTTATCATTTGGAATGATGGATCTCCGGGAATGCTTTCTGTCTTATTAGATCTGAATATCGACCGACGCATTAACTTGTAGAAACAAAGCAGTTGGATTATGCGCTGACTTTATAATAACCTTGTTGTAATGTTTTAGTCTAGTACGGGCTAGTTTTAAAATAATCTAAAGTGTGTGAACATTATCTCGATTAGTAACCACTTATCCTGTAGACACTATGAGAATCGTCAAACTTGTTGAGACATATCGAAAGATCAGTATATTTAACTGCTGAAAACTAGCGATTACATGAAGAAGAGACTGAGGTTTAATTAGTCATACAGGGATGATTTTGGTTTAATGTATTTAAACGTACGTAAACCTAGCTATGAGTAGTTCCTTAGGACCACTTCTAGCTGATATTTATATATCACATATAGAAAATCTGACTAGTGATCTCATCGCTAAAGTTTCTCCTTACAAGAGATATGTTAATGACATCATAGTGATTTGTGAGATGCATGAGGATGTGGCTTGTCTACCAAAAAGACTTAACACCTTACCAACTCATATAAGCCTAACTTGTGAGAAAGAGAACAATAACCCTCTGCCATTCTTAGACATACTCCTGAGTTGACGAAAAGATGATTCAGTAAGACGGTCATTTTACTGAAAGCCTGTATGGACAGGACAATACCTGAATTTTCATAGTTTTTGTCCAATCCAATACAAATGAAGTCTAGTAAAATGCCTGTTTAATAGGATCTGTCGCATCAGTACACCAGATACGGTGGATGAAGACATCAAATTACTGACCAAATCACTTATGGAAAATGGATATCCGATGAGGTTCATGAACCTTTTTAGAGGTCAAGTAGCACCAAAGTCAACTTTATACACGTCTCCTAAGATAAGTGTCCATATCACTCTACCATACAGAGGGGAGTTGACTAGTATAATTTTAAGATGCAGACTGACATCAGACATTGAGAAAACATATTAAGCAGCTAATCTAATCATTGAGGAAAAAACAAAACACATACTTGACCACAAACCTAAACACAGCATCAGTGATTACGTCACATCCCATTCTGTTTACCAGCTTACATGTGTGTGTGTGTGTGTGGTCACACATACATAATGAGGGGTAATCGAGCCAGGCATTTGAGGGTGGGAGAACATGTACGTAAATGGCTTCAAAACCAAATAGAGTATGAAACCTTGATAAACGCTGGTGGGAGATGACCCTCTTCATCTCTAGCTAAACATATCATAGAAACAGGTCACAAAATTAATATTTACACAGCTTTCAAAGTTTTATATAGAAATAGTCAAGGACGTATACTGAGATTTGTGGAAGCCATCGCCAAACATAAATTGAAACCGCCTTTATGTGTAAAAAAACCCACTTTGGTAAACTTTGTTTTCTTACCAAGATTAGGATCAACTATATCACTTCCTGTTTGTTCTCTTCTTTCTCAATTTTAATCCCTTATTATCTGATTAGTTGTATTTGTCCTCTCACTCTTCGATTTAATATATATTGACTTGACAAGTGTGTATGTGATCAGACTGTTCACAATGTACTGCACAAAACACATCACATTGTTCAGATAAACTTTATCTTCTAATTATGCAATCGAAATTCAACAAAGACAGTTGTCATGAAAAAACGTTGTTGTTTATGAGTTATCATACAGTTTATCAGTAGACCGCATTACTTTTCCATCACTCTTCATTTTAGATTATTCGACAAATAAGTGAACTGCCTACATGTCAGTGTAATGAATTCACTGATGAAGTGGTTCCTGTGAAAAAATCTTCAACATCCACAACAGATCCAACACCAGTGGAGACTAGGAAACGGACAAAATTAGAAGTGGCAATTCAGTCTGCTTTGGAAGCAGCTAAAGATGTTCTTCGACCACCTACACCACCTCCTCCGCCTCCACCTCCACCACCTCCACCTAGGTAAGTGATATGCAAATCTCAGTACATGTTATGGTAGACACAAGTAAGTTTACAACCCACGCTGCAAATAATTGGCTATATAGCTAACACAGCATATGATATACATCCTGACTACTACCATGGTATGGCTATATGTTAGCAGTGGCATGTAGATACATTTGAAGTAAGTTTTTGTTACTCATGAAGGGAACTAACAAACACTCAGTTGGAACGATATAATCCACCAGGGAGGATTAAAACTCATTAGAAAATATTTGACAGCGACTATTAGTGTTTACCGACGTTTATTAGTGTTAAAAAGACTTTAGAAAGTGATAACCTGTCTAACTAGACATTTCACTCTCCAAATTCAAGTCATTGGTTTTAATATACTTCCAATGAATGCAGTCAAATAACTAGATAATATCAGTGCTTATCAGTGTCTTGTTTCGAGATGAGTAGCCCACGGTTCTAAGGAGGATTTGTGACCAAAAGGGTCAGACGCTATTAGTAGTAGCAGTGTGAGTAGTAGTAGTAGTAGTAGTAGTAGTAGTAGTAGTAGTAGTAGTAGTAGTAGTAGTAGTAGTAGTAGTAGTAGTAGTAGTAGTAGTAGTAGTAGTAGTAGTAGTAGTAGTAGTAGTAGTAGTAGTAGTAGTAGTAGTAGTAGTAGTAGTAGTAGTAGTAGTAGTAGTAGTAGTAGTAGTAGTAGTAGTAGTAGTAGTAGTAGTAGTAGTAGTAGTAGTAGTAGTAGTAGTAGTAGTAGTAGTAGTAGTAGTAGTAGTAGTAGTAGTAGTAGTAGTAGTAGTAGTAGTAGTAGTAGTAGTAGTAGTAGTAGTAGTAGTAGTAGTAGTAGTAGTAGTAGTAGTAGTAGTAGTAGTAGTAGTAGTAGTAGTAGTAGTAGTAGTAGTAGTAGTAGTAGTAGTAGTAGTAGTAGTAGTAGTAGTAGTAGTAGTAGTAGTAGTAGTAGTAGTAGTAGTAGTAGTAGTAGTAGTAGTAGTAGTAGTAGTAGTAGTAGTAGTAGTAGTAGTAGTAGTAGTAGTAGTAGTAGTAGTAGTAGTAGGAAACTACAAGTACTACTACTGAGACGCAGAAAGTAATGTTTATTATTGACGTCTTGCATAGTAGTCATGAGATTTTGTTCACATTCCACTAAAACAGTCATTTGCAAAATGTGATGCATCTCCTCTTTTGCTTCTATCTCGATTCGCTCTTAATACGTCCATACTGTCTCTTGTATTTCTCTGGGTAGAATCTTTACCCATTACTGGTAATTCCCCATGATTTCTGCCACCCTCTCAACACATACTATTGATATCCATTTTGACCAGCAGCACCCAGTATAGTGGTAGTAATTAGTGAGCCACTAGATCTCAACCTAGTGGCTGAGTGGCAACGCACCCATTATGATAGCAGATTTTCCTAAACTAACTCTCAGTTCCATGGGTGTGCACTGGTGATGAACTCTATTACAGGACGAAACAGTTATCCAATGCGCTCAAGTTTTCATGGTCCCTCCAGATGATGTCAATTAGTGTTAAAAACTATCCAAAAATATCATTAATTATAGGATGATATATGAAGCTAACTATAAAATACTTACTTCTGTGTGGTTCCTCAGTTTCTATATTCCGATCTTTTAGCATAGTCCTTAGAGTAAAGATCGAAGTAAACTTGCTCTGCTAACTTACTTCATGATTGGTTTATGCTTTACAGCCTATTTCACCCTGTAACTGGCAATTTTTACAAGAGTAAGGGTTCGGCTGGCCATAAGGGATAACTAGATTGTCGGAAACAAGAAGAGTACACCTTAAGATAGTTATTTACCTCATCCAGTTCATTCACTTCTACTCAGAAGTGGACAAGAAGTGGTCACCAGTGGATAACCGATGTAGGTATCTAATCTTTAGTGCTTAGCACTGATCGCAGTCTGTTGGTCAGGCTTTGCAATATAGCAACTACAGGAAGTGGTTTGACAATACTGTTCACTGTATTTGGACGTCACATGTTATGACTTAATAAGCCAAAACCCTTGGACCTAGATTAGATGCTTGTTGACACTCAGCAGCGAAAAATATCAGCAGCAATTTAATAACCAAGAACCTATTGCTGAACATATATGCAGAAGGAAGTGGAGATGGAATGGGCATACACTGAGAAGGCCGACTGGGAACATCACATGCCAGGCCAGTTGCTCTAGTGGAGCTCAGATGGGAAGCGACGAGTTGGGCGTCCGAGGCGAGGTTGACATGGAGGAGATGGTGTGAGGAGGAAATGAGAGCTTCTGGGCTGTCATGGAGCCAGGTTCAAAAGATTTCAGAGAACGGAGTTCACTGGAGACGTGCTGCTGAAGCCCTATGTTCCATTAGGAACCCAAGGGACAAATAATAATAATAATAATAATAATAATAATAATAATAATAATAATAATAATAATAATAATAATGTGATAATTGGTTTCTTTTGGTGATTCGAAGTCTTGCTTCTATGGTTCTTGTGAATAATCCACTTCCAAAGGGTAAAATTCGTGACCTGAATAGTCTGTGATTTCAGCTTTGAGTGGTACAGATCTAAAACCAATAACCAAACACCAATTGCCACATGGCTACATTTAACCCTTGGCGCTGAGTGCCAAAAAACACAAAAACTAGGTTCAGTGGGTATTCCCGATTGACTAGGAACGTCTAACGCTTAAAGTGTACTAATCAAGGTGTGCTGAATAGATCTAAAGGTGTCTTCAATTTAAGGGTATATTTAAAAGCTAGATGTAGACAAAAATAGGTAAGCCCCATCATAAATTCAATTTTACACTACTTATTTTATAAATAAACAAAAAATTTTACATTCTATTTCTAGAGAATCCCCGGTACTTTTAGCTGCTGTAGTCCCCGGATCAGAGGATGATTCAAGTGGTTCAGAAGAAGGTGGAGATCCTTCTGCTGATCCGACACTGGTGCCTCAAGTACCAGATATGAAGACTGGTCGCGTGATAGAAAGAAATTTAGGTGATCATCGTCTATGGAGAATGGCTCCGTTTAACTTTGAAAAATATCCTGGAATGCGAATGAATGTACCACCGGAAAGAATGGCGTGGACAGTAAGTGATTTACTCAGTGTAGACTATCTGTTCCCAATAATTTATAGCTGTACTATTTTCATAATTCCTGTAGAACCAAACGTTAATGAGGGGAAACTTTGAGGACAACCAATCAGGTTAGAGATGAGTTATTCAAGGTCATTTGTTACCTACGTTTAACGCTTAGTTGACTTTGCATAAACTGATGAATTATGACAAAGATTACGTTGCAGGTTGTATGCAAAATTTAGCAGAGTAGGTAATGTGGTTGAAATAAATGTATGTCTTTGGAAACTGAAATATAATCTAGGAAGACGATTGAAACAGGACTGGGTAAGTTATAACATACCCAAAGAGGGAAAATTTCCTCAATATAATTCAGATCATATAGTCTCATGCAGATTAGTGGTAATACAGGCAGTAGTATGCCTTCAACAAGGATAAACCTATCGAAAATCTAGATATCTTTATTTTTCCTATAAAACATTTATAAATTGTGAATAAAGTACTATTAACCTTAATAATTACGTCGACTCATACTCTTCATTCTGATTCGTCAGCTCATACTTGAACATGATTGGCCGTCATTAATGTTTAGTTCTACCGTAATTTCTTTTAAGTAGAACTCGAGTTTTACACCAATGAGAATGTCATGACACACATGTAAATACGTACTTAGGCTTGACTTTGAAGACCACTGTAGCAACAATTGAAGTAACCAATTAGACTTCTTTATTTTAGACAATTAAAAATTCCCATTAGATATCATGTGGTTTGGTTATGTGGCCTTAATTCCAGCCTTATTGAGAACCCTACGTAAAGTTTTTCATGTTTCTTTCTTATATGTTAATACAATAGAGGTTTTGAACCTATTTTTACTCGCATTGTCAACATCAAATCTAATACGGAGTCGCAGTCTACCATAATACCCAAGTTTTGCACTTTTATTAAAGCTAACTATTAGTATGCTGAGATTGAAACTAATGCGTGTTGTAAAGCAGGAAATTTTGAAATGTTCAGGAACTAAACACATTGTGTCAATGATGGGTCGTGGCTAGCAGTGGAATCCAGGATGCTCATTTCGTCCTATTTCGGACTCTTCAGCTGGATGTACCTACTTCCCAGTGAGTGATGTTATTCCTACCTGCTGACGAGTCCCAAATAGGACGAAATGCGCATCCTGGATTCCACTGCTAGCTACGATCCATCATTAATATAATTAGAACACTGGCAATATCAAGGCATACGCACAGGAGCCCATATGCTAATGGAGACCAATCGATTGGGTCCAATCAACGACGGTATCATATAAAAACAATTATACTAAAAACCAAACACATTGTACTGCCAATTAATTTGAAATGTAGACGTTTCTTCTTGTCGTTATGACAAATTATACAGTTACAGTGTTACAAAATGATATTTTCACTTTCATGCAGTGATAACTGGTTAGTTGTAAGTTTCTTGGAAATATACGTCAAGCTTCACAAAAATTAACCAACTGAATACTGCTTTCTATGTATCCTTAGTTGTACGTTTCAAAGATTTTGGCCCTATGAAATATGTCGCTGGAATTTACTGAAATAGAATATTTAATCAATCCTTTCATAGAAATCACAAAACCAAGCAATTTTTTCAATCAGATGTGCCTTTCTTATCGTAGTCTGGTATGAGATAATAAATGGTGTACATGAAACTACTCGTTAAAATACTTTGAATACATGAAAATCATAGTCACCGCTAACTTCGAAAAACTTCAGGACAATAAATCAAACGAATGGATTCAGTCATAAGAGAACAGTTATGGTTGACTGATTTAGGCACTTATCCATCCATCCATCCATCCATCGAAATCAACATAGGACTAGGTATTACTGCGTTACGCTCCAAGTTGGCATAGCTCATATCAATACATCAAGTTAAACGGCAGTGAAGTGGAAGTTGAAAAAAAGAAATAAAAAGCACTAAAAGAGATAAAGGGGGAATGAGAAAACGGTGAGATTCGGTATACCGTCGTTAAGATGAGGATAATATGTGTATACATCTGCGCCACTGACTTCGATTCTAAACCATGTGATCACTTAGAGTCTTCAACCACTGCGGACCCAAAACAGCTAGTCTGCATCACCCCACAGTCAGAAAACTCAAAAGTTGATACCATGGTTTAGTCTGGCCACGTCGGACCTTTTTCCAGCCTGAACCTACTTCAGCCAACATTGTGTAACAAGGCAATCAGTGACTAGGCATACGTAACACATGTCCCGACTATCTCAGTCGATGAAGGTTCATAACCTCGTCAAGTGACTTACCTCTTCTCCCTAAAACTGTACACCTGACTCCTGCGCCAGTCACGTGGTGACATCACGGGAAACGGCCTTTGTGATGAAGGCAACACTGGTCAAACACCTGAGGCCTTCTTATGTCTTTCACCTTCAATGGCCATGTTCCGCAGCCATACAGTAGAACAGAGCGGACTGCTGTGCAGTACACGCTACTCTTAATAGACAATCGGATATCACGGCGGCTCCACAGGTTGCGTAAATTGGCAAAAGCCAATCGAGCCTTTTGTATTCATGCAGAGATTTCATCGACCGTTGAGCCACCAGGGCTAATTTCACTCTACTTTCCAGGTAAGTGAAGTGATTAACACACTCAGCCACCACACTGTTTATTGTAAACCGTGGCACTGCTCAAGACCAATCCTGGAGCAACAATTTGGACTTAAATGGTGAGAAACGCATCCCAAAACATTCTTAAATCTCCACTCAAAGTGTCCAGAAGACTCTGAATCTTGTCAGCATCTTCACCCATCAGGACTATGTCATTTGCGTATTCTTGATCTAACGAAAATTCTTCCGCAATTAGGTCGTCTAATCAGGTGACGAGAGAGAGACCTTCATATGAATATCTATGATAAAATTGAATAAGAATGGCGAGAATGGGCACCCTTGACGGGCACTGTTTGATGAGCATAGCTCCCCAGACATCTCACCATAAGCTTCTAAAACATTCACGAGTGTCCGAGTAAGTGATATACTTACTCGGCACGCCTTTCAGTGAGAGACATTGCCATAAGACTTTTCGATCAACAGAGTTGAATATACTCATGGTTTTGAATGATTTCCTAAGAGCTTTGTGTATTTTGTTTTAGGAACCTCTCCAGTTAAATGGATAATAAGGCCTTGATAAATAAGGAAAACTGGCTTTACAATGCTATATACATGAAATAAAAAGCTAGTTTAGTTCATTGGATAACTGATAAGTTGTCTTCTTTCGAAAAAATATATTGCTGCTATCAAAACGCATACCACTGTGGTCCTAAGAAAACACATACTCTCCCTAAAAGTTCAAACCTGCTTCTTGTAATACCTTGTAGGTGTAGTCATAGTAGGAAAACAGAATGAAGAGTCAATCATCAAATGAGTTGAAGTAATGACTTTTTTAAATATTAATTAGCCTTTACATCATAAGTGATATAACTTTCAGGCCCAATGTATTCAACATTGACTTAGTTCTAGCAATCAGTTTGATGGCGTTCTCGTGAAGCTAGCAAGCAAAGTACTGCACTACCTGTTGACATCAGTCAATAGGATCATCTTTCGAATTCTGTGTAAATTAATTCCCTCTCACAAGCCCAACTCCTTGTCATATGGTGCTGCATTCAAAGACCTTATCACCGAGATACTCATCTCAAAAGTTATCCCGTTAAGGAATGTGCAATCTTTGCTGATTGATCTACTTACAAAACTCATATTAGATAATGCAGCGGTTTTGCTTTATATATTCTTTGGTTATATATACATGAGAGTAGACACTTGGACGATAACCTTCAGAGTTCACCTTTGATATTAGCTCAGTTCCCCAGTAAGCAGAAAAGGTGTGAAGATAGCAGGTGCATTACAAAGTCAAAACATGTACAAAATACAACGGTTTATATACATATTTACAATGGCCTAGACTAGTTTGAGGCACTTTTAGAAGTGTATGTCTCAATGGTTTTGCCTATTCGACTAATCTGACGTTTGTGGTTCAAGTTCAACACTCGGAAACTGAACTGAAGGACGAAACCACAGAGAAAATCTTCACGACAGCCATCAACACAAAATGGGAGATATCGAGCAACATCCCTGAAGAAACATGTGTGGATGAGCACTGGAACTCCTTGAAAGAGATGTGGAAAGAAACCTGCACAGCCGTATTAGGGAGGAAGAAGAAAGAAGATGAGGAATGGATCTCGAGGGATACACGGAGGAAGCTGATAGAGTAAGGAGAGGAGGATGGTGAAGCAGAAGATAAATCAGTGTAAGGATGCACAACGAGAAGAGGAACTGAGTACAATGTAGAAAAACACTACACTGGACAAAGAAGTGAGGAAGAGAGCACGGAAAGACAAAAGACACTTCTACGAAACACTGGCAAGTGAAGCAGAAGAGACTGAGGGCTGGTAGGAGAGACCTGACAACATTGTATCAAATAACCAGGTTACCATCTGAGAGGGAAGAGATCAACACATATGAAACCAATAAGAGATGATGATAGAAATTGAATTCCGAAAGAAGAGAAACAAAGGAAACGATGAGCCGACCACTTCAAAAAGCTGTTGAATCGACCACCATCAACACCAACACCACTACCACTTCTACCTGCACTTCGTCCAGAAATACCACCTGCAGTCGCTGAACTACAAGTGAACATGAATCCTGTGACAAAAGTCGAAGTCATGAATGCCATAAAGCTACTGAAAGCAGCAGGACCAGATGGAATCCCACCAGAAGTGCTGAGAACAGACACAGAGACAACACCTGACATGCTCACACCACTATTGCAGAAGGTGTGGAAGGAAGAGAAGGTATCTGCCGGTTGGTTGGAAGAAGGACTGCCTTGTCAAACTCTTGAAGAATGGAGATCTCAGTGTTTGCAAGAACTGGCGCGGGATCACTCTTTTCTCCAACCCAAGCAGATGGGTTCACGTGCTTTTCTCAAAACTTTAAAGCTACACGATTGATTTTGAAAACCTTCAAGGATTTAGGACTTCCTTATAAATATTAGCTGAGGACATCAAGTGTCAGGCCAGGCCCTCGAGTGGGACCCAGATGGGAAGCGACTAGTTGGGCGTCCGAGGGTGACATGGAGAAGATGAGGAAGAAATGAGAGCTTTTGGGCTGTCGTGGAACCAGGTTCAAAAGTTTGCGAAGAACAGAGTGTAATGGAGACGTGCTACTGAATTTCTATGTTCCATTAGGAACCCAAGGGAAAAATAATAGTAATAATAATATGGGTATAAGCACTTTTATCAAACAATGTAACTGATGAGAACAAGCATATAGTAAAAAAACCTTTTTCACTATCTCAACTTGAAATGACACAATTTTCATATTTTCTGTTTCATAACAGGTTGAATATCCAGACTACTTTGCCTACGATGCATGTGAAGAAGTGTTATTATTCCCATCAGAAGAAGCACATGACGGAGAAAAGTAAGCAAAATCATTTTAACCCCATTACCTATCACAAACGCATGTACCATTGAAGCCTTCAACTTGTCGTCTTCATCAATCTTCAGTTCGCCTTGTTTTGATTTTTAACTTTACAAAGATGCATATAATATGAGTACTAAAATCCTCATCTTATAATGGCTTACTAACAGTTAATTTATATTATCTTATCTGTCAAAGTATTGTGGCATGTTCTATAGTGCATGTTGGACATCCTTTTTGATACTGTCTATATCTTGATAACTTTTTTCAATCAACTGCTTGACTATAACTTGGTTAAACTTCCTGCCAAAGTGTCATCCACTAGGCGACTGGGGAACGATAGACACCTGCTACGAAACGGCGGTCAGTTGTTTTTTATTGATACTTATAGTTTCCCGTTGATATACTGGGGCGAATTGCTCAACCTCTGTTGGCAGATGGGCCCCTATGCGGATGCCTGGATATCGCCTGCGTATCCAGTATATTGTAGACTATTTGGTAGCTAACTGGGGAATCCAAGTTGTACGTTTCCAACTGTAACATTTTTTCATCAGTCTGATGTGTGGAGGTAACTTTATAATTCTAATAATTCAACGCAGGTAGCATAAAAGTTATGCCGTATGCAGAGGATCAGCAACTCAATGGTTGTAGTGTTGCAGCTGAGCATAAAAAACTTCCAGGCTTCAAGGTATTTTGATTTTAAACTACTGTTTAAACAACCCCTTCTCCCTACTACCATCAGTACAGTTTAAAAGGAGTTTTCAAGATAACTACTAGTCTCTGCAGTTTCAAGACGTCTTAGAAACCTTATAGCTTCTGTCCATTTCCTTATCATCTTTGAGAGGTTTGACGGGTGGCTTATATCACAGGTTGACAAAAGTAAAAGAAGGTGAGGCATTGAATCCCAAACCATACTGATTGAGTAATTATTTGCTTGTCACAAAATGTTATGGATCTAGAGGTCTTGGATAGACACTACTGTTAAGTGCCGAACTGGGGTCAAACAAATGTCCAATGCTCCCAGGTTTTTTAATGGTTCAGCACCTGGTATCAGTCTGTGATGGAAACCACCTTCAAACAATCGGCCAATTCAAACAAACCACTAAAGTGGAACATATAAATTTAACCCGAATGCACAGCTTGTTTCATTCCTTAGTTTTAAAATATAATAAAAGCATCTGGAACATGGGGCAGCACAAACACTTCAGACTATCTGACTGACAAAATCAACGGAGGATCTCACGTACAGGTGCCACACTTCACATAAGTGTAGAAAGAACAGCTGGGTAGAAAAAGAGTGATATCAAAGTGTAGTGGGCGTTGCTGGTAAGAATGGATATAAGTAGTATATATTGAGAGGGTGGCAGAAATCATAGGGAGTTACCAACAGTGTGTAAGGATTCTGCCCAGAGAAACGCAAGGCACATTGCAGACATACGAAGAGCAAGTGAAGAGAGAAGCAGAAGAGGAAGTGAAGCACATTTTGGAAATGACGGTTTTAGTGCAAGGTGTACCATATTGAACAACTACTGCATCACCTGTCATCAATAAACATTCCTTCTTTCGTTTCGACCTCGTTTTCTTCAAAAGTGTATAAAATTGTATGAAAAAATAAGCAATCCGAAGACAAAGGCTGGTGTTCAAGCTTTATAAGACATCGCCATTGCAACTGATTTTCCACCACGTCACCAAGAGCCCTCAGCTACTGATTCCTATCTTCTCAGGGACAAGTACCAAGCAGTCTGCATATCCCCGCACAGCTCTGATCAACATATACGAACTTCATGGACTGGTGCCACGTGTTGGTCTGGCCAACATGAGCCCTCTTCCAGCCTAATCCAACTTACCTTAGCATGGCACGTCGAAGTAGGCGGGTGGCTCGGGATACGTAGTACATGTCTATGCTATATCAATCGACGAAGGTTTACAATCTCATCAACCAACTAGCCTGTTTTACCTGGCACTTTTTGACTGACCTCAGTATTGCTCATACAGTGGTTCCACTAAACTCGAGCAATGATCAGCACCTTATATATTCTACTTTTAACAGCCGCGTCTGACAGCAGTACAAAGGAACAAAACGAACTGTAGCATAGTTTACTCCTCCCTTGATAGACAGTCGGGTATCTCGTCACTCGGTGCCACAGATGACAAGTTGACAAATACCAAACGAGCTGTCTGTATCCAAGCTGATCTTTTGTCAGCAACCAGCTTGATGCAACTCCTTGGGGAAGTGAAATGGTCGACACGTTCGAGCACTTCATTACTGATCCTTAAAGAGGGAGTAGATGCAGACCAGTCCTGGAGTATCATCTTACATTTGATATTTGACATGAAACGCATGCCAAACATACTTAAATTTCTTCTCAAGGCTTTCAGTACACCCTGAATTTTTCCAGCTTTTTCCCCTAGCAGGACAATATCGTCTCCATACTTCAAGTCAATTCCTGTGAAGTACTTAAGGTACTTAAGGTCATGTCCATTAGTATGTCTATGACGAAGTTGGACAGGAATGGTGGCAGTGTACATCCATAGCGGATGACACTGGTTGTCATCATCTCTGTTTATGTAATCAGCCAAGCATCAATACTTAAATTAGACATATAAGATTTCAGATAATTTAGACAATCATGAGTCTTCATAGTACATAGCTAAGTACACTGTCTAATATAAAAGTAGGGGGTGATTAAACATGGTCAAAGTGAAAAACTCTCAGTTACCAAACGATTTCAGTTTGGAAGTTGACGTTAAAACTAGGGGTCATTAACAGAAGAAGTCATTGTCTCAAGATATTTAAAAATGTTACCTAAAGACCCACTTAAAGGTTTTGCTGTGTCTCTTCAGTCCTTAGTGTTATCTTTCTATAAGAAGGTATCTGGTACACAAGTGTAGAGCTTGGGCATTATGGTAGTATAAAATTACAAGTCAGTTCACTCATTAGATATATGACACAATAGGAAACTTTTATCAACTAAGTAACTTTTGAACGCATTTCACTACTATTCACAAGTACACTGAAGCAATTTTACTTTTATAATTTATGCTTAGGTACTTAGAGTACTGCAATACCCTAGTTTCAGTGGAGGTCGTACTTTTCAAAGATTCTCGGTTAGTACTGAATCATTCCTATGACAACACATGTACTGGATGTTAGTTAGATTGGTGAAAAATGAAGCATTACTTCGCTCCTCTTCCTAGCTATTTTGGATTTCATGAATAACGTCATATAATATACAAATAAACGCGGAATTTGTTGAACGAGTACAGTCAGATAATCAAAGTATAGGATTGTTATTATTATTATTTGCCACTTGGGTTCCTAGTTGAACATACACCTTCGGAAGCACTGCTCCATTCCATGAGCATGTCCGCTGTTGTCTCTGTGTCTGTTCTCAGCACTTCTGGCGGGATTCCATCTGGTCCTACTGCTTTCCCGCATTTCAGTAGCTTTGTGGCGTTCATGACTTCGACTTTTGTCACAGGATTCATGTTCACTTGTAGTTCAGCGACTGCAGGTGGTATTTCTGGACGAAGTGCAGGTAGAAGTGGTAGTGGTGTTGGTGTTGATGGTGGTCGATTCAACAGCTTTTTGAAGTGGTCGGCTCATCGTTTCCTTTGTTTCTCTTCTTTCGGAATTCAATTTCTATCATCATCTCTTATTGGTTTCATATGTGTTGATCTCTTCCCTCTCAGATGGTAACCTGGTTATTTGATACAATGTTGTCAGGTCTCTCCTACCAGCCCTCAGTCTCTTCTGCTTCACTTGCCAGTGTTTCGTAGAAGTGTCTTTTGTCTTTCCGTGCTCTCTTCCTCACTTCTTTGTCCAGTGTAGTGTTTTTCTACATTGTACTCAGTTCCTCTTCTCGTTGTGCATCCTTACACTGATTTATCTTCTGCTTCACCATCCTCCTCTCCTTACTCTATCAGCTTCCTCCGTGTATCCCTCGAGATCCATTCCTCATCTTCTTTCTTCTTCCTCCCTAATACGGCTGTGCAGGTTTCTTTCCACATCTCTTTCAAGGAGTTCCAGTGCTCATCCACACATGTTTCTTCAGGGATGTTGCTCGATATCTCCCATTTTGTGTTGATGGCTGTCGTGAAGATTTTCTCTGTGGTTTCGTCCTTCAGTTCAGTTTCCGAGTGTTGAACTTGAACCGTGGTCTATCACCAGCTTCCTTGAGGGCTTTTAACTTGATTTGGAAGATTCCTTGCACTAGGCAGTGTTCTGAACCTATATCCTCCCCTCTTCTTGACCTTGTGTCATGTAGGCTGACTGCGTCTCCACTTACTTCACATTGAGAGGAAGTCGATTTGATTTTTGGTGTGTCCTGTTGTCTGGTGAAATCCATGTCGCTTTGTGGATATCTTTGTGCTTGAACACACTGCCTCGTCTCCAATCACCAAATCGTTGAATGCACAGAATTCTGCAAACAATTCTCCATTCTCGTTCATCACCTCATCGAGCGCTTCTCGACTCATGCTTAGTTATTTTCCTGTGTTGTCCCCTCCCAGTTTCGCATTCATGTCACCCCACCCATTAGAATTTTGATGTCTCCAACTGGGGTGGGGGTCTTGTCCAGTGTTGATTGAAGTTGTCTGTAGAATTCCTCCTCCTTCTCTTGATATGCATTATTTGTAGGTGCACAGTGTAGCGTTGTATGATTGTGACCTTCCTTCCTTTTGAGTTGAACCTTGCTGTCATGATCCTGATAGTTGAGGAGATTGGTTGCCACTGCATGAGAGACAGCCTTCGACGCTGTTCAAGGGGACATCATGATAGCCACTCCATAACTCAGTGTGCTCATGATTGTCGTCTGGGTGACAATATTGGAGTAGATTATTGATCCTCCAGTTGATAGTTTGGAGAGTCCACTCCCCTTCCATCTGATTTCGCAAATTACAAGCACTTCAATGTGATACTTTCTCATCTCCTTTGAAATCTGGGCTGCCTTACTGGGTTCAAACATGGTGCGGACATTCCATATCCCCACGTTTACTTTCACTTTCATTGAGAGGAGAGGAGACACATCGGCTAATTGGCTTCCCGAAGGCCTTGACCAACTGGCGTCATTTAACCTCTCCGATTCCAGGGAGGAATAATTTTGTTTTTATTTTTTATATTTTGTTTGTGCTTTGAAGTTTGTTTAGCGATTAGATTTGTTTTACGGTGTAGGGTTGTTTGCCCTATGCCCAACCTTACCTGTCTACGCGGGCTTATGACCCGCTAGTAACTAGTAAACTAGTTAACTAGGCGAGGTTCTTTTCCTTGGATAGTGAACCTAAATGTGATATGTAGTCTGACAGACAGTCTGGCTATCACCATGCATGCCGCGACCCACAGTACAACCGAAAAGTAAGGTAATAAAATTCTTAAAATCCAACTTATTTCGGTAACGGGAGAAGTTTATTACTGAAGGTTTCAGGATAAGATTATTCAAATATTCGTATCAACCATGTGACCAACGAAAACTGAAGAGGGCCAAGTAATTGAAACTCCTTAACAAAACACACTTATGATCACGTGTAGAGCTAAACCCGATATCATTGGGTCTTGTGTAGAGCACTACATTATTCAAACATTGCATTGGATTCAATGTTTTATGTTTTCTAAGATTTTAAAACTTGCACTAAAGCATAACCACCATCCTATATTATCAGTAACGCCTATCCTTAAACTTCGCTTGAATGACGTCACAGGACAAAGTTGTTTATCAAAACTTCAGAGGTTCCGGTCCAAAGAATACCACCGGTGAATGATGAACCGTTTGGATTGTGACGCGTTCGCTAAAAAATGACTGTGTCGGGGTGGAATTTACAAGAGATTATGGATGTACACGGCTGGTAAATCCTACATTGAGATGAAACAGTCATCTGCTATTCCTTGATTTCGAACAGTTCTTCAGAGGACGTGATGAAGCTTAACCAACGTCAATCAATTTTTTGCAGATCCTCTAAATAAGTGTAGATTGTTTATTTATTGAAACCAATGTCCAGTTTTGGCGATAAGAATAATTCATCATCATTTGAGGATATTTAGAAAGTCCTATTTACCTTAAAAGTGGTCAAATGGCATGATCTTAGCCTTTCGAAACCGAGTCTGAAAATAGCATAGTTACCTCGAATAGACAGTGATGTATGCAATACATCGGAAACTTCCCAGAAGCCCTTAACAATTGTCTTTAAGACAAAATGCATCATTTCTTTATGACATTCCTTCCTTCTATTTACCGACATACTTGTAGTTCTCCGTTGGTTTGTTGGATCAACGTGGCATAGTGGATAACGCCTTGACTTTTGGAGCAGTAGGTACGACGGTAGGAACAACATCACTCACTGAGGTGGAGGTACGTTAGGCTGACGGGTCTCGAATATGATGGAGGGCACTTCCTGGACTCCTCCGCTAGCCACAACCAACCAGATTCTTCCCTTCTGAAACTGCATGCCATTCTTTCACTAACTTGCTTAGAAACTTGATGGTAAATCTTAAATTCTGTAGTGAGGGAGAGCCCTAATCCTCTTCAAGCCTGAAACTGTCCACGTGTTTCGAAAGAAGTAGTGATATCAGAGAGAACAATATTTTGCAACCTGTTCGCTGATTAGAAAAGTGGCTAGTTTGAGCTGTGGTTAAGCATACAGCATTTTCGGTTTCGGAGGCTTCATCGAACAGTTTTGAGAAAACGTTATATATTATTTTTTTTCCCTTGAGTTCCCAGTTGAACATGGGGCTTCAATAGCACGCCTCCATTTCACTCTGCTCTCTGTAGTCTCTTCAACCTGGCTCTATGATTGCACACAAGCTTTCAACTCCTCCTCACATCATCTCCTCCATGTCACCCTCGAACACCTAAATCGTCGCTTCCAATCTGGGTTCCACTCAACAACCTGGTATGTGATGTCCTCAGTCGGCCATCTCAGTGTATGCCCAATCCAACACATCTCCAATTTCTTCCCAATTTTTGTTGGGTAATAGGTTCTTGCTTCGTTGGCTCGTCGCCAGCCACAATTCCTTGTTGCTTATTCTTATTATTCTGACCATCTGATCTTCAGTATCGAGTGAGTGTAGGCGGCAGCTGTTGATGAGTGTGTGTAGTTTGTTGAAAGTGCTTTTCGTGACACGCCGAGATTCTGCAGCATATATAGCAGCACTGACATGACTGAGATTGGTGTTGAAAATCTGGATGTTGTTCACGCATTGTGCTGAGTGCAGTGTTGTGGATCTCTACACTGATTTCAGATTAGTGAAGGAGAGTCTGTCTTGCCTTTCCGATCCTGGTTTTGATGTTGTCGTCTGTGTCGCCTGTAGTTGAGACAATGCTCCCTTGCCTAGGTACGTGAAATAGACTACTTCACTTGGGTTTCTCCTGTTGGTGGTGATTGTTGCTTGTTATTGATGCTGTTGTTGGTTGGGTATCTTCATCACCTGTGTCTTGTCTACATTCACTTGAATTCGCATGTTCGCTGCCCTGCCTCTTCTGTCAACTTGTTAGTTTTCGCCTGTAGATATTCGAGTTCGTGCCACAAGACATTAGACACAAATCATCATCATCATCATCATCATCATCATGATGATCATGATCATGATCGGCGAAATCCAAATCTTCTAGTATGTCTTCATCGATCAGACAGCGTATGGCCATCTTCTCGCTCCTCACTGTTTGCTGCATGATTCAGTCTACTACAATCAAGAAGATCATTGGTGGTGATAGTAGGCAGTCTTGTCTTACTCCAGTTTTCAATTCACTTCAGAGGTGTTGTTGAGCTTTTCAATGTGAATTACTTGGTATGTGGCATCTTTGTATAGCTGATGAATGAGGTTGATAAAGATGTGTGGTATTCCGCAGTATTGAAGTAACTGCCAAATTACTGTTCGGTCGACGCTGTTGAAGGCTTTTTCAAAGTGGATGAAGTTGAGGTAGAGAGTTGACTGCCATTCTATTCTCTGTTCTTTGATTATTCATAGCGTGGTGTTGCAACTTGATCTGCACATGATTTGTTCTACGTGAGCTAGCCTTATCCGGTTGTAGTTTTGAATCCAGCGCCTCCTTTAGTCTCTTCTGGATGATGAAGCATAATATTTTGCTTGGAGTTGACAGCAGCATGATTTGCCGCCAGTTCTTTCAAAGACTTAGGTCTCCCTTCTTCGGGAGTTTGACAAGGTAGCCCCTCTTCTAATCTACAGGTGCCTTTCTTTCCTTCCTTGCAAACCTTGTGCAGTGGTTGTGTGAGCACGTCCGCTGTTGTCTCTGTGTCTGTTTCCAGTGCTTCTGGTGGTGGTGTAATTTCATCTGGTCCCGCTGCCTTTCAGGATTTAAGCAGTTTTATGACATTCAAGACTTCTGCTTTTGTTGGAGGGCCTGTGTTCACTGGTAGTTCTGCGGTTGCTCGTGGTATTTCCGGATGAGTTGCAGGTGGTGCGGTTTTGAGAAAACTTTATAACTGATCCAAAATTTTAACTAGACATGAAACATATTCATACTGTGAAGTCATCGATACTTTACCCCATATTCCATTAATGACATGTTGATATTTCTAACTTTGTGAGTGCTTTCTTCATTGTACTGGTTATTATTTGGAGCCGTTTGCTGGGAAAACGTGAATGACTGTATTTAACATGCACAAATCACTACTGTCTCAAAGTAAATATCTTTGGTTTGACCTTCCGTATCCTGACAGTATTTTTGTATGATGGTACGACTGGTATCTTGAAGCATCTTGGCGATTATAACAGTCAGCTACTTCAGTCACTTAAGTCAAGCTACTTTGTGTGTACTTTACTTAACTCTTTGTTCAGCGTCCTACTGACTAGGTAAATAGAAAAAGTAAGGATAAAACTTTATTCATGATATCATATAATTGGATTAACTTTCGACTCTTTTATCGATGTCAATAGCACGTTGTTTAAAGGAAATAAATCTGAGTATTTTCTTCAGCATATTTCATTGAGTTCAACCTGATTGACTGTTTATTAAGTGTGTAGGCGTGCATTGAACCTGATTGGTTTACATCCCATGACCTACTTTTCTCATTGGTCGACTTGTTTTATTTGAATACATCGTGTCAACGTCCTTTCCACGTGATTGGTTGACTCTTCATAGTTGAATGTGAATCTGAACTCACTAACTGTTAATGACTTCTTATCTAACAAAGTGCATGCTAGCAGTATGAAATTAACCAGTAAGCTAACAATGCTTATCATGAATTGTATATAAAGTGCTGTATAACCTGCATAGTTATGCCAAATATATACCATCTTGCTTGCTCCTACGTGTAACGAATGCATACATCAGAATGTTATGAAGAAAAGCTGCATCACTGCATGAAAATTGCCATATACCCATTGAAGTAGAATGCGTATTACAGTTATTCTTGAAAGTTACAAACTAATTAATTAATTTTTTATCGTGAATTCTGAATCGATCGTCTGGTCACAACATCTTCTGCGTCCTGTTCAACTTTTATTAAATATATTTCAAAACATGTTATATTCTAATTCTACACACTGTAAATGACGATAATGTTAAATGAAGTTTTACGCATGGAAACGTCCTATTTACTTTTCAACACAGTGAAAATCTACGTAGTATAAATTTCAATCAGTATGATTCTAAAGCTAAATTACGCCGACAAAGTCTACTTGGTCGATATCGTTTAGATTCAACAACTGGAGCACCATTGAATCCAATGGGTAGGACAGGTTTGTTGGGTAAAGGTCTATTACCACGTTGGGGTCCAAATCATTCACTTGTATTATGTATTACACGATGGACAAGAGATACACGAACTGGTGCACAAGTGATTCGAAGTAATCGTGGTGTTCTACAGTATTTGGCATTGGAACGAAACAAGAGGCTATGTATGCCATGGGTAAGTTAGAAGGTCACTTTTTTTGATTAATCTATAACCGACTCTGTAATCAACAGATTGCTGAGATTAAAGTTCGAGCAACAATGTATTTTAATCCTTACACTCTCAATAGCTGCTGTCTCCATTCTTTTTCCAGTAATTGCTACAGCTACATGGAAATTCGTTTTATTGACAGAATTATCTGAGACGTTTTCAAGTTGGTATTCAACATAGACTGACATCAGTTGGATAAGCATTGGAAACCTAGGAGTAGTAGACAGCAATTTTGTCTTAATATGGCTCAGTGGTAACCAATAACTGTAACCTGGGAGTCCCCGGTTCGACCCCTGGCGGGATCATGAGCGTACACTACTGAGGAGTCCCATGCTGGAAAAAAACAGCCTTCCAGTGCTCCGAGGTTTCCAGTCTTTCTTCAACTGGTGACAATTCATGATGAATACCAACTTGAAGCCAATCAATCAGTCTCCACAAACCCTTAAATTCAATTACCTGAGATAGCTTAGGTTCGCTAGTCTGGTTTCAGTGATTCGACATGATGAGTGAATATGAAATAGGAAACCTAACTCTCATATAGTTGGATCATATATAACTATCTGTTCATTATAATTGGCAGCTAGGCCTCATACCTTATCTGGTAGGGCACAGGGCAAGTAATCTAGAGGCGGTTGACTCGAAGCCTGGTGTAACACAGGTTTTTATTTAGCCGTCGGTCATTACTGCCTCCTTACTTACACATGACTTGTTATATTTCATTTGAAGGTTAGAACATAGCTATCTTATTCTATATTAGATTTGTTTATTCGCTATATTACACTGCAATACAGGATTATTTGCTTGACAGAATTACATTCTACCACAGTGCCCAAGTTTTACACTGATATTAGTAACTGTCCCATGGTTTGGCAGACTAGTGTTGATAATGGATGATGATCAGAGGTGAAATGAAAATTTGAATCACGGTCGGATTCGAACCAGCGACCACTAGTCCCCCTACCCGATACTCTACCAACTGAACTACAAAATCCAACTACCGACCGCTCTCTACCTCTCTAATTCAGTTACATTTGAATTGGGATGAGAAGTCCTAACTAGCCAACCAATGTGAATATGAGTAGAAGATGGTAACGCTTCACTAATGAACATGGTAGTCGGGCAAAACTACTGGTGATTGAAGTGAAATAAAAACTGGTCATGCAGTCGGAGCTGGAGCTCAGTCGACAGAGCATCGAGCTAGTTCGCTGGTTCGAATCAAGCCGCGGTTCAAATTTTTATTTCACCGTTAGTCATCACCGAGTATCAATAATTTATCCTTGAGAGGTCCTCAAGTAAATAATACTGTATCATTGTGTGATGTATATATCAAATAAACAAATCCAATATGGAATTAGATTGTACTACAGTGCCCAAGTCATACACTGACACAAGGTGAATTACAAGTTGATCAGAAATGCAAACTGCGATAGTAGGATAAAATACTGGGGTGTTACATCATATGTTCTGACATAGGGCTTCGAGACTGTATGAGCTAATTAACAAAGTTACAGAGCTCTGTTACCTCAGAATTCAAACATGCATGTTTCTATTTAACAGGATATAAGTTGGAAACAGATGTAAAAAATATCTATCATATTTTGTCAGCTGAAGTTGTCAAATCATCAGCTACCATGGAGTGAGGTGTTACAAGAGAAATCTGCACCAGCTGTGGCAGTCTTAAGCGAAATATCTAAAGAAAAGACAACCATCTAAGTTTTTTTCGTCAGTTACTTCTCTCATCTGTTCAAGTAAGTCAATAGTTAAAGTGCTGGGCTGTGCATTCCAGTCTGCGATCACTACTCAGTTTATACACCCACTCACAAGTTACGCCTACAAAAGTTAACTTTTACGCCAAAATTCAAATCAGATAGGATCTGAGCTTTTATTAATGGAAGTCTCGGTATCAGTGTAGTTATGCTAATGATGAGTAATTAATCCAGGTGAATAAGAAAATTCATAGTCCTGATAAATGAATAAATTCTCTTGTCAGAGTACCATTCTTATTTGGAAGGTTAATAAATATCTAACTAATGATAATCATCATTCCAATTTTAAAGCTCTGAGACGTAAAGTTTATTCTTTGTTTGTTACGTGTCGGTCAATGTAAATCAATTGTTCAGCTGAGAATGTTAAAAATTATGACCATAGCAAATTTGTTGTCCGACTTCGTGTGCTTAGTTGATGCAACGGAGTAAGATAGGCATTTCAGACTCTCTGAAATGTCTACCTATGACAAACATGAGTGAACTGTCCTTAAAAAAACACTGCGTAAGTTGAACAATTTACAAATTATCGAGTTGTTAATGAATGAGTATCTACTGAGTTCATCAATGACTATGGAAACATATCTGAGAAGTAATAACCCAGTCAATTAACCAAACAGAAAAGACATTAAAAGTTATTGGCAAACTTTTCTGACGTTTAAGAAGTTTGACATCTCAGTTGTATATTCACCATCATGGTAAATTTCATTCAATTTGCAAACGAATAGTTAAAGAATGACGTCTCCGAGTGTGATACTAATATTATTTTTTCCCCTTGGGTTCATGGTTGAACATGGGGCTTCAATAGCACGCCTCCATTTCACTCTGCTCTCTGTAGTCTCTTCAACCTGGCTCTATGATTGCACACAAGCTTTCAACTCCTCCTCACATCATCTCCTCCATGTCACCCTCGAACACCTAAATCGTCGCTTCCAATCTGGGTTCCACTCAACAACCTGGTATGTGATGTCCTCAGTCGGCCATCTCAGTGTATGCCCAATCCAACACATCTCCAATTTCTTCCCAATTTTTGTTGGGTAATAGGTTCTTGCTTCGTTGGCTCGTCGCCAGCCACAATTCCTTGTTGCTTATTCTTATTATTCTGACCATCTGATCTTCAGTATCGAGTGAGTGTAGGCGGCAGCTGTTGATGAGTGTGTGTAGTTTGTTGAAAGTGCTTTTCGTGACACGCCGAGATTCTGCAGCATATATAGCAGCACTGACATGACTGAGATTGGTGTTGAAAATCTGGATGTTGTTCACGCATTGTGCTGAGTGCAGTGTTGTGGATCTCTACACTGATTTCAGATTAGTGAAGGAGAGTCTGTCTTGCCTTTCCGATCCTGGTTTTGATGTTGTCGTCTGTGTCGCCTGTAGTTGAGACAATGCTCCCTTGCCTAGGTACGTGAAATAGACTACTTCACTTGGGTTTCTCCTGTTGGTGGTGATTGTTGCTTGTTATTGATGCTGTTGTTGGTTGGGTATCTTCATCACCTGTGTCTTGTCTACATTCACTTGAATTCGCATGTTCGCTGCCCTGCCTCTTCTGTCAACTTGTTAGTTTTCGCCTGTAGATATTCGAGTTCGTGCCACAAGACATTAGACACAAATCATCATCATCATCATCATCATCATCATCATCATCATCATCATCATCATCATCATCATCATCATCATCATCATCATCATCATCATCATGATCATGATCGGCGAAATCCAAATCTTCTGATGTGTCTTCATCGATCAGACAGCGTATGGCCATCTTCTCGCTCCTCACTGTTTGCTGCATGATCCAGTCCACTAGAATCAGGAGGATCTTTGGTGGTGATAGTAGGCAGCCTTGTCTTATTCCTGTCTTCAATTCACTTCAAAGGTGTTGTTGAGCTTTTCAATGTGAATTACTTGGTATGTGGCATCTTTGAATAGCTGTTGAATGAGGTTGATAAAGATATGTGGTATTCCGTAGTGTTGAAGCAGCTGCCGAGTGTGGTACTGGTTGACGCGAATTTGAATCTCTCTTAAAATCATCATTTCCCTCGAATTTACAGACACCTGGCTAACGATTACTAAATTTCTATGAACACAAATGATGCAGGACTTTCTGTCTATCACAATCTACACCACCTAACACCAAGTTCAAAGTTTTAGAAAGGATACAACCTAATTAAGTGAATGGTTCTGAAACACCTCCACCATTTTTCCGTGTGTGCACTGTTGTCTAGCAACTTGCAGACAGATTTTGTACTTGTTTACCAAGATGAGGCTTAAAATCTCTTGGAAATTCGAAGCTGGATGGCTTAGGATGTGACTATATGACATGAATGTTTACAGAGACCTGTTTCCATACAATGACCTAATCAGTACTCAAATCTTAAGTTTATCATCCATAATTTTTCTTCGATGAGCAGACTTATATCCCATCTTTTCATAGCTATTTCTCAAAACTTTGACACTATACATCTGCTTGAATACAGAATTTTTTCTTTCAACTAGTTTCTGATCAAATGTAAAGACAAAAGAGGCAAATAAACTATCAATAGGTCAGTAATCTTACCTTCTGTTGTTTTTCATTTTTAGTATTTAACCGATCATACAAGCAGATGTGATTTTGATGAATGCATACCGAAGTTAATTAGCAGTTTAATCACTAGACGTGCACGTGCTATGCTTCCAGAAAGACGAGTAGACAGATTGTTGAAACGAATTGAAAAAGCTGAGGTTACACAGGTAAGAAAATTATGATATACATAGTAAATTATTCTTTAAAAATTAACTAAATGAATTGTAAAATCAAGGTGTCTAAATTTTGTTTGCTGACGGTTTTTATACAATTAAATTGTTATATCAAGTGATCAATTGTTGAGAGACAACAAGGGGGGGGGGGAATATAATGGCTATTAGGTGATGATCGAAAATGAAATGGAAACTTGGGCCGCGGCCGAACTCGAACCCATGACCACCAGGTTCCCGGCCCAATGCTCTACCAACTGAGCTACGAGGTTCGACTACCGGCGGCGGTCCAAATTTTTATTTCACCTTCAATCCCCACCCAGTATAAGTAATAATCAATATTAGAATAATTATTATAATAGTCATAATCGTTTGTGAGATGAATGAAAGGAAGAGTCTTGTTTCCATAGATAAAGCTATACGGACAGCGATGGCAAAGAAAAAGGTTGTACAAACTTCTGAACACCCAAACTCGCTCTGTTCAGTCGGATTCCGATGACTTCTGCTGTATGTAAAAGACGAACTCGTAAAGCATGAGTAAGATTACAAGGAATATGATAAATGGCAATAAAGGCGTTACGAATGTTAACTCGGCGATCAGTGTCAATCAGATGAGAGATTATTGAGCTTCGTATCGATCTGATTTTCTCTTTACTTAACCATAAAGGTTGATGTTCGGCGATTCAGCGATGGATTTGCCTAACTGTAAGTCCATTGTAACTAGCTCCACAGGAGTGGTTAAATTGGCAAATGCCTATAGAAGAGATGAAGTCAAATAGTCTGTCTTTTATTCACATGGTCATCATTGCCCATCTGTAGCACGTAATATTTCAACAAACTGACTGTCAAAATAATATCTTTAAACAAAATAACTTTAGCATCTGAATGATGTTAATAATAATCGTACTAAAGGCAACGATGTGAAACAGCCAGCTGGTGTTTGATTAATCTCTGGTTGGAAATGCAGAGTGAATAGTAAACTGAGAGTAAGTTATGTAGTGTTGTGTGCATTGGTTCATTTAGCCAGTACAAAAATTCGCGATTTGAGGAATAGTAATATAATATAGGCTTATTTACCTTCAGTGTGACGGCTTTTTATTCATTTTGTTGTTAAATTAAAAAAAAGGCTATTTGAAAACATTTTAGGAAAAGTAGAAGAGTACATGATACACAAAAAAGACATTTATTCAAACGATTAAAGTAATCTGAAGTTCCAATGAGAAGTCGTGACCTGTGGGACAAACCTGGCGGACGTAATGACAAATACTCAACGATGACATTGGGTAATGGTCATTCTATGTCGTTAACTGACAGAAGTTGGAAGTATGGAGCATTGTTTCTAAGATCTAGTGGCTAGTGGGTAACGTGCTGGTTACCGGACCTGAATGTCTGGGGTTCTATCCCTGGCGGGGTCATGAGTGCGCACTGCTAAAGAGTCCTATACTATAACGGTACAGTACTCCATTGTTCCCAAGCTTCCAATATTCCTTCAAACGATGTCATTGCATGGTCTGTGTTAACTTGAAATCAATATATCTCCACAAACTGAAAGGTTTTGATTGAATATATTCATTGAGAAGTTTTCGGGTAACCAAAGGTTTAAACAGGCTGCTGATACCTCCCATGTTAATGAATAGACCCACAGGCTTTTTAAAATAAACCCTGAAAATGGGTTGGTCGAATTAATTACATTTTTGTTATCCTTAACTTAAGAAACAATTTCCAAAGGCCCGAAATTCTATTGCAACGAATAGGTAATAATATAACGGATAGACAGAAGTAAGAAAATGTGAACGATTGAACTGTTACCTAGTTAATTTCCAGTGCTCTTCACGAGAGAATTGATGGTCTTAAGTCCGATTCACTGTGGGCTCGTAAGTGCACACTACCAAGGAATCCCGGACTGGAGCCCCCAGGCTTTAAAACCAATATTGGTTCATGATATGTATTGTCTTGAAACCAGCTAATCCCCGAAAAGCCCAAAAATAAAGTAGCATATTGGTTTCAGAAATGAGTCTTCACAGATCTTTCTTATCATATTCAAGTGAAGAGACTGGATGTGAAGAAAATATCATTTTCTGGGAAAATCTACTAGCCAAATCAACTAATAGTTAGCTTATGTACCGAATAGGGAATTGTAATTAAACAGTAATTGATTTCAGGTTGAAAATTCATTGTAGACTGGCATTAATTAGAGGAAAGTTAGGAAACTGGGAGCACAGGAGAGCTGTTTTATCCTAGCATGGGACTCCTCAGTAGTGTGCACGCATGACACCACCAGGGATAGAAAAACGAGAACCCTCAGATTTCATGGCTAGAACCTTATCATGATGAATTCTAACCAGAAATCAATTAATAAATCTCCACTAACCTCCAAATAGAAAAATAATTACACCAGTGATGTTATAAACATAAACATTACTGCTGATAAACTATTTTTCACTATTTACCTCAATGGAAGGCTTTACAAATAGTTGGTAAGGGGATACAAACCATTGAATACTCATTTGTAAGTCACCTGTCATTTCAAAATAAGCTGGCTAGTAGGATTCCTGAAATGTAGAGAAATAAGATAGTCAAAATACCAAGCTTTTAGCTATAACTATTTCCTTAGTAATTTGTTTTCAAATTTTATGAGTAACTCATGAACTATGACCGTTTCAACACTGAGAATCTTTATCTAGTGGACTGGCAGTGAATCCGAGTGTACATAAACTTTCATATATAATTCAACTGCGATCAGCTTCTACACGTTTACAGAGAAGTAATAGAATTGCTGTATCTTATCTGATACATTTCAGTATTTTAAATAATATACAGTTGTATACATCTTATCTGATATTTATCCAGTCATTTGAAAGATGTTTTTTTTTGGATTGCTTTTTATCATATTTTAGATTTTCAAAGGTTACCTTGATGATCAATTGAATGCTGACAGTGCATGGATGGAGACTGTTGTCATCAATTTGCATGAGTCTGAAAGTAAAGGAGCTCAAATTCCAGACGATATACTTAAGGTAAGTTATGTTTTACAATAACTTTAGTTTCAATATCTATGACTATGCTGGTGTAAAAGTCTAGATTGTATAAATACTTAGTTCTGAAGTTTGGAGAATATCCAAAGATGGAAATATGGTATTGAACAAATCAGAGAACTTAGCAAGTTGGGAGCGATCGACAGGGACCCATAGACCTCGGTTTCGCACTTGTTAGCACTCTACAGTAAGCTGTGCTTGAATCTTCGAAAGAAGTGGTGTTGCTCCTGAGATTTGGAACAAAAGTTATTCAGTGTTTCAGTCAGAGGTGTTAACACTGACCATTACTGGTTTCTTTTTAGAAGTATCAGTCAATAAACATGGTTCTGTTGAGGTATTGACTTGAACTTAGCACAAGAAATTGAATGTATCACTGTATTCATGCTTTCAATCTAGACGTCAGGCAATGGGCATTAAACAAGACAGGCATATCAGTCAATGTGGTTGTGTACTGTCTGAGACTGAGGTGGCTTGTTTGGAGATTCGTGGTGAAATGGCTGAAAATGAGTCACAGTGGAGCAGATGTATTCAGTCTTTGACATCTTCTAAAGCTCTGATGTTTCTTTTTCATCTCTTAAATCTTTTTGCCCATCTTGATATCAGTTATTTTCTGTACATCTGTTCTTTTCATGCTTCTGTGAAGCATGCCAAGTTAAACTCATGCACTTCTATAGAAGGCTCAATGTTGACTTTTTAGTCTGTCTTCTGTGTCATTGTACGCAAAAAGAGCAACAGTCATATTTTCGGTAAATGTACTACTGAGAAATAAATATAAGCATAAAATACATTTAACAGTATATATATAGCCAATTCTTTTTCGTCAACTCTGTCGGTATATCTTAGTTGTATTATGTTCTCTGAGCTGGGTTGTTTAATCATGGAGCTTTCATTGTCCTTCTAACTTCAATACAAAGTGAGCTGCCACAAATCGGTTCGTCAGGGTAGACTACTGAATCATTCACAAAGAGATATTGACAGCTCACTTCATATTGAAGTTAGTGCTTATGATGTCGTCCAGGAGAAAGACGATGAAAGCTCCACAATTAAGCAACCTGGCTTAGAGAACACAATACAATAAACATCATCCATTTGAGCTACAAATATTCTCCACCATTCCATCAGTATATTCTTGTCATTAGAAGACAGTATTGGTGATTTTTGCTGACTTCACCAGTAATGCATTTACATTCATCAAGTCATTAAGAGACAATTTTGTATTTCAGTTAGAAGTAATGAAGTGAGCCAACATAAATCCATTAGTGATAAGTTAAGTTACCCAATCCATAGCGCCTGGAAACAGTTAAATGGCACCACAGATAATTTGTATAGTTATTTATTCATCAAGATGTTTTTGAAGATTCAGCCATACTCAACGAAAAATCATTTAAGAATTTTGTAACATGGAATATCTTCAACTAGAAGTACATACAGTCAAATCAATGAGGATATAACTTAGTACATAGAAACTTCATGATAGTGATTCAATATTACCTAATAGATACATCACAGGTATAATTATTATTATTATTATTAGTCCCTTGGGTTCCTAGTGGAACATAGGGCTTCAGTAGCACGTCTCCAGTGACCTCTGTTCTCTGAGATCTTTTGAACCTGGCTTCATGACAGCCCACAAGCTCTCATTTCCTTCTCGCACGACCTCCTCCATGTCACCCTCAGCTGGGACGTCCAACTCGTCGCTTCCCATAGGGATTCCACTCGAGGGCCTGACGCGTGATGTCCTCAGTCGGCCTTCTCAGTGCATGGCCAATCCATCTCCACTTCTTCCTGCATATTTGTTGTGTGATAGGTTCTTGGTTGCTTCGTTCCCAGAGTTCCTTGTTGCTTATTCTTTCTGGCCATCTGATCTTCAGTAACGAGCGTAAGCAGTTGTTGATGATGTATAATTAGTTGCTGGAAAAAAATCCTACTATGGTTTACAATTTTGCCTTGATGTATTCATGTAGTTTTCTTCTATCAAGACAAAAATAAAATCAGTAGTTTATTCTGGATTTAGTTGATATTATTGATTTTTAGGAGTTGAATGGTTAGTTCAGCTGTTACTTTCTCTTTAAGAAACTGTATTCTTCGGACATTGTTCACTAGGATTCCTCGATACTCTCTGTCTTTATAAGAATTGGTAAATATATTGGTATATTGAATAGTTTCAGGGAAAAGTCACTGACACTTACAAGGAGTGATACGAATGTCACTCTCGTAGCAACATTGTACAATTCCTTACAGTAGGTGATCAACTACACTTACTATAAGAGGGTTGCTTATACCTCGGTATTCGAACCCGTATCCCCGATGACCATGAATCATCTCTTTAAACAGTTAATTCTTGGGATAAGCATAGACCTCTGATATCATTAATTACTTTTAAAAATACTTTATTTTCCATTCTGATATAACCTATCTGAACTTTATTGCTTTCCTTTAATCTCAGTTACTCAACGAACCTGGAACTGAGGAACAAGCCAAATGGATTGAAGTATCTCATAGTAGTAATCTACGCACAAGTCATAATTATATTCTTAAGAATGTTGCTGAGCTCCGAAGAGCTTTTTACTAACTATAGATTTTATCAATTAACTCAAAGGAACTAGATACAATCAAATGATAATTAATTATTTAAAAAAATTTATAAAAAAAAACAGAAGATAATGAAGATTTATTATTTTACAAAATGTATTCAATTAATTTTCCAGAAAGACTACTAATCCAAGAAGGGGACACCATTGAAACGAAAATACATCAGCTTAAAACATAAAGGAACATTGACTAAATTTTCCTGGACTTTATGTATTTAACAGGAGTGTTGTTCAACTGACCAATCAATTCACTGACAATTTTTTTCCAGTCTTGTATCTTAATTGATCTTCTTCACCTTCTTTTTATATGAAAGTGATGAGTTGATAGATATGTTATTTGAGTCCTCTGCATAATTACTGGAAAATAAAAGAAGGTAATACTCAATCATTAAGAGTTTCATTCCTTCACAATATAAGCTTTTTTAAAGAGTCAGTGTACATTAATTATAAACTGTTAGGAAAAATTTTCTACAGGAATAGATATAAGAATTACTGGAGACATAGTCCAAAAAATTGATTATCCTTATCAGTATTATCATTATTAGCATTATACAACAAAGAACTAGAAAGGATTATCATCATCATCATCATCATCATTATCAACATAGGACTAGGCATTACTGCGTAACGGTCCGAGTTGCCACACCTCATATCAGCACATCAAGTAAAAGGTAGTGAGGTGAAGGATGAAGATAAGTGAATGCAGTCAAAAGAAATATAAAGTACGAGAAGAAAGGAAAGAGGAGTGACAAAATGGTGAGATTCGGTATAGTGTCGTTAAGATGAGAATAATGTGTGTATACATCTGCGCCACCGACTTCGGTTCTGAGCCATGTGATCACCTAGGATCTCCAACCACTGGTTCCTCTTGGTTGGAGAGGATAACCACTATTCTATTGATTCTTGAATTGTTTTTGTGATCTGTATACGCCGGTTTACCTTTCGTGTAAGTTATTGAAGACGGGTGTTTACTGTTAAAAGTGTGACTACTTGGAAGTAGTATAAAATTAACAACTAAAATTTAGTATCGTATCATGCTAATTTCTCTGTAGTTTCCTGACTTTAATTTTCACATTTATTCTGAAACAGTTTCATTCAACATAAACGGATGGTTCACCAAAGGTGGCCACACTCGGACACCTCAAGTTATCTTGGATTGTTTATCTTCGGTGACCACATCTCATAGGTTTTTCAGGATATCTTTACTAACAAGTTAATCATGATGGACTTAACATTTTGATCAGACTTCTTCTTACCAAATTTTGAATCACAGCCTACACAAGCACAAAAATATCAAAATTCGGAATAGCCTTGTTATTTAGTAACGATGGGAAATTACAGGTATCAAACAACAAATGATACCCACTACACAAAAAGTGACTGTCGTTCTCCAGTAGCCTAGTTTATTATTATTCGTCCCTTTGATTCCTGATGAAACATTGAGTTTTAGTAGCACATCTCCACTGCACTCTATTCTCTACAGTCTTTTCAACCTGGCTCCACGACTGCCCAAAAGCTTTCATTTCTTCCTCATATGATCTCCTCCATGTCAACCTCGCCTCGGATGCCCAACTCGTCGTTTCCCCTTTTGGGTCCTGCTTGATTGACTGGCCTGGCCCGTGATATCCCCAAATGGTCTTCACAGTATATGTCCAATCCAATTCACCTCTGCTTTCTTCTGCATGTTTGTTAGACGATGGGTTCTTAGTTGGTTCATTGCTAGAGTTCCTTGTTGCCCTAGCCTAGTGGAGCGGCGGATAATGGGTTTGAGTCTCAGTGGGAACAACATCATTCAATGGCATGCAAGCGCATCCGACTGACGATTCCACTGCTAGTCATTAAGAGAAATCCAACATCTGGAAAAAAATACATTGATACCAGCACATGTGTTAAATGAAAAGCATAGTATTCATAGGGATAATGTTGACATCTGCTCACACTCTTCGTCCTATTTAGAACTCTTCAGCCGGATATACCTGCTTCCCAGTGAGCAGTGTTGCTTACACTAAGGCTTGAAGCCATGACTGGTTACTTCAAACGCCATAGTGCTATCCAATTGCCACTATTCATCACCAGTATACAACTGAATCACAGGCAGTATCGAATCATCCACACAGGAGCCCAAATGCCAATAAAGACCGAACAGTTCAATTTACTTAACGACGGGATAATACAGATGACAACATTAAAACTCATTTTGTTTAAAATAATGCTGGGTGTTTCAATTTCTTTGGCATGGTTTATATCAAATTGAAGTGAATGTCCTTTGTTATTTGTTGAAACTTGGAGCAGGTACCTCCAGCTAATGAGTCCCAAATAGGGTAAAACCCACATGCTGGTTCTCAATGCTAGCCACCAGCAAGTCAATCATAACAATGAGTGTTTTTGTTTTAGAGTTTTCGATAAACTTCTATCCAACTGCTTTGGATACCTTATTGAGAAATTCCATATATCCATACATGATTCACTTCTTACCTAATCTTGTCTAGCGTAATGTCACACCAACTGATCATGTAATCGCCATAGAGAGAATAGATTCCTAGTTGACTTCAAACTAATCATAGACTATACATTATCCACAATCTCATCAAATCTTTTACTTACAAGCCTCCCGATTATCTATACGAGTATCCTTATTGGAATATAAAGTGTCTATAAACGGAGGAAGTCAGAAACGTTTTGCTATTACTCAAGATACATTGCTAGAATCGCGATTTATTAACCATACCTTCACCCAATAAAAAAGGAAGGAAGGAAGAAAACACTGTTTGAAATTATAATCTAATTTTCGTTAGAATTTTATCACCGGAAATTCTAGGATGCTTTGTAAGATTTTTAAAATATACACTACTATAAATCGATTCATTGTAGGGTTTGTTTAAAGGAGAATTTTTATATGAACAAGGCACAAATATCTGAGAAGATGAGGTTAGGTAGGGTGGTGATAACTTGTTTATGCTTAAATTGAACAGATTTTCTTTTCCGACTCCAGCCAACATGCGATCCCGACCAAGTGTGCGCATAATGTAATTTGATTTCAACTGTAAATCGGCATTTGTTGGAGTATCAAAGTCATTCTGTCAAAGGAAAGTACGAGATGAATGTGTATTTAAAATAAATGGGAATAAAATAAACATTTTCTTACCCAGGATAAATGTCTTATCAGCTGTGTGATCTGATGTCTGACTGTGACCTCGATTTGTGTCTGGATTTATTCACCAAGTTTAGTACATAAAATTTATATAGATTAAATACCTACAACTAACTTCAGTATGAAGTGAGCCATAAATATCTCTACGTGAGTGATTTAGCACCTTGCCCTGAAGATGTGGTCTGTGATTGGTTGTTTCCTTCGATTGTAGTGTCGTTGACTGTGTAGCCTTTCCTGTTGCCTGTTCCTCTGCTTGACCTCTAACCTTTCTGTCTTTTATTATCTCTCTCATTGGTTGGTAGATTGGGTCTATATCTACACATCTGTTGATTGCTGACTGACTGACTGACCTGAATGCCAAGCTCCTAGGAATCCTCCGATATTCTTTTGTTTCCCCTGATAAAGTTTCTTTTATCAGGAGATGCTTATCCCGTGCATTATCAACTACAAAGTCATCGACAGAAATCAATAAACTCATTGTCGTACCATACATAAAGAATATATCAGAAACCATGACAAGATTACTGAGACCACTTGGAATTGGTGTGGCCACTCGTTAACCAACAAATCCACTCTAAACACTATTATGCAGACCAAAGGATGCAACAACTAAAGAAGATAAACCAAATATCATTTACAAAATCAACTCCAATAACTGTAGTCAACACTATAATGGACAAAGTGATAGCCCTCTTCACCTTCGTCTACATGAGCGCCAATCTACTATTAAACGCCACGACATTTCGTCACTCATTTCAATGTGTGTGTGGATAATTATGGACATGAATTCAATTTTGACAATGTAGAAATTTTGGAGGGAGAGAGGAACCATAAAAACTACCAGAGAATTCCTAGAAGCTTGGCATTCAGGTCAGTCAGTCAGTCAGCAATCAACAGTTGTATAGACATAGACCCAATCTATCAACGAAACAATGAGAAGGATGATAAACGACAGAAAGATCAGAGGTCAAGCAGAGGAACAGGCAACAGGAAAGGCTGTACAGTCAATGACACAACAATCGGAGGAAACAACCAATCACAGACCGCACCTTCAGGGCAAGGTGCTAAACCACTCACGGAGAGACATTGACAGCTCATTTCATAGTGAAGTTAGTGCTGATGATGTCGTCTAGGAGGAAGATGATGAAAGCTTCATGACTAAACAACCCAGCTTAGAGAACACAATACAACCAAGACATACATTTCGAACAACCAGATCACATATTTACGTGTTAAGGCAGTATTATATATGAAAAGTGAAAATGGGGGAAGGACAAATATGACATTAACGTATTCAATAATACGAAAGATAATAATAAAAGGAGAATGATAAGATTTGAAGATAAAGTTGGTAATGCGATAAATTAAGCATGAACAAAATAGGTTTAGCATAGGGACATATTCTTTTTGAGCACTCAAAGAAGCTAGCACTTCAACGAAACTAAGTATACGATTTTGACAGTTTCAGTATAGTATTGTGGAGACCGTTTTAATATCAATTCTATGACATTTTTCAATAATGTTTATTGTGATGGATGATGATGGTTTTCTACCACTTACACTTATCGATGTTTACAAACAAAGCTGCATTTGTAACCATTTTGTTATATGTTCCACCATCATCATGTGTAAATTTCTATTAATCCTCTGTATATATGTTTCTACATACAAATGTGAACTAATTACATGCAGTGAGCTTTGATATAATTGATTATACAGTGTTTGGGTCAGTGTTGCAACTAAGATAAGCCTAGTTGCATAGTATGTTTCGCTGATGACAGATATTAGCCTTTGTTATAAAATTACTCTGCAAGATTCCTCTCTGTGTGGTAACACAATATAAACTTATTTCTTCGGAATAGAATGCAGAGTGAGTTTCAGCACTGATTGATTTCTGCAACAGTTTATGAACTTCAATGGACATCCAGCCTCAGTTAATGTAATGTTTCAGTTAGTATTTTGAAATCATCATCCATTGAGTGTTATGAACAAATAAGCTGAATCCTTATGAATAGGTACATTATCAAACCTCATTTGCACTGTTTCTTGTATATAGACTGTTTCGTCGAACCGCCTTACGTATCCAAGAACGGCAGACGGTCATCTTTCTCTTCTTCATAAGTTTTGTGGGCTGGGTTAAATCATTCCAACAAAAATGTCGCATCTTAATGCTTGCCATATCTCACAATTGCATTATCAACGTATCTCATACAGAGAGTAACTTTACCAACGAGATA